TGCCTTTTTTAAACGTTGCCGGGTTGACTTTATTTCCGTGTTCTTGTAGTGTGAAGTTAGCGTAGAACCTGGGGGTTAAGTACACTACAACGGAATTTTGTGTTTTTAGATTTTGTAAATTTCAAATAAAAAGGTTGGATGTGGTTTGTACATCGACATGAACACCAAATTCTCGAATTTTCTTTTTTAAGATGGTAGTTACGCCCTCTGGTGGCCATTCTTAGAACTTGAAAATATTTTCCAGCGATTCTTCATAACCGATTTACCCAATAATGGTTTTTACCCCTAAGTCATACAACAAAGGTTCCCAAGATATGACCGAGGAACAGTCTTATTGGGTCACCCGGTACATGTACAACCATTTATGAATATCAGATTATTAAACAAATACATACAACCTAATTAATAAACATTTTAATAATATCAGGAAGGTAAATCAGCCACAATTTCCCGAAGTATTCGGCGAACTCCCCCAATTTAAATACAGGGTGTACACTTTTATTTCTTTTATTTTAGTCTCTTTGAATCGATTGAATGTTTTTTATTGCTGTCGATTACATCACAACAAAGGGTACACCCTATATAGGAGTAACGCATCGAACCAAGTACCCCCTGTGTGACATTTGAATTTATAAAACAAATATCACACTAAGGTGAGAGGAAACCTATGGTGTTAAAATGTGCAAAAAAGCGAATTTTTCGAACTGTGTGGGACTTTTGGAAAAACGATAGGTAGGGGCTTTTAGGTGAGCCCTTGGGCCACCACAGAGCCCTTATTCTCCGCGTGCAAAACTCAGTCACACTCACAAAATGCTTCAGCCCGGTCCTAGTTATTTTTTGTTTCCCCATTTGGTACTATCCCAAAAGGAAAAGATGTCCTTAAAAAACAAGCTAATCTAACTTCAGGCTGGTCTGAATAGTGAGTTCCCCTAAAATAATTTATAACCAAATAATTACTGGTGGCGTGGCGTGGTGTAATTTTAGTCAACAAATCCTGTTACTCAGAAAGTAAGTAAATTCTGGTTGACCTGCGATCTCGCTCTTTACTGGTAAATACTCAAAAATAAAGGCAAAAAATGAAAATAATAAAATATCAAAATAGACCTTTTTTTGTTTAAAAATTGTATCGAAAGTGCTACTTTTTTTCACGTTTTTACTGTGTGTCCATGGTGTTTAGTCCTTTGTCTAGAAGTCAGCAGTAAGGCAACTCTCACACCGAGGCTACAAGCAATAAGCGACTGGACTGGCAATATGCAACACGTAATATTATCGGGTGCACCTATTCGACAAGTTTCATGAGCTATACTCGTTTTCAATCGAACAGAAGGTATTGCTAGTTATGGCAACATTTATTTCTGGCGATACGCAGTGCATGTTGAAAAGCGATAAATATTGCATTGTCTATCAAGATTTGCTTCGGTGAGATGAGAGATAATGTCAAAATAATGTTGCATATTGCGTATCGACAGTTGCTAGTTGTTCTAATGTGCGGCCTCCGATTTAATTCATTGTAAAATAGGTACAACCTAAATTGCGAATTACAATGATATTCAATATTATGGGTTATTAAGGATCACTATGCACAAAAATTTCGTGTACAACACATGTTGAAAGTGTCTGAAAGTATCACTTTCAAAACAAACAAGTAACTATTAATAAGCCAAAACAGATTTTAACACATTTATTTATAATTATTATTGTTAGGTATGGCTATGGATGAAAATGATGATACACGTACACTCATTAAAATCGAACCAAAACAAGAAGAAGAGATCCATTCCTTTCTTGAGGAACACATTTCAGTAAGCAACGAAGTTTTGGTGACAATAAAGAAAGAAATTACCAGTACACTGTGTTCTAAATCTCTTGATAATGAAGAGGTACAACAACACTCTGGTCTACAACAGCATCTTTTAACTCTCTGTAAGACAGTGTCTAAGGATTTTAAATGTGCTCATTGTGATTATGGGACAAATACTAAGGACAGTTTCAAACGACATCTTTTAAGACATAAAGTTTCTAAAGATTTCAAGTGTGCTACTTGTGATTATGGTACAAATCTTAAATATGCTTACAACCGACATCTTTTACAACATAAAGTTTCTAAGAACTTTAAATGTGTTACTTGTGGTTATGGGACAAATTTTGAACATGTCTTCAAACGACATCTTTTAAAACATAAAGTCTCTAAGAACTTTAAATGTGCTACTTGTGGTTATGGGACACATTTGAAACATGTCTTCAAACGACATCTTTTAAAACATGAGCTTTCTAAGGATTTGAAATGTGATCATTGTAATTATGCAACAAATGGTAAATACAACTTAAAAAGACATCTTTTAAAACACAAAGTTTCTAAGGATTTTAAATGTGATAATTGTAATTATGGGACAAATGATAAAGACGTTTTCAAACAACATCTTTTAAAACATAATGTTTCTAAGGCTTTTAAATGTGATCATTGTGATTTTGGCACAAATGTTAAATACTACTACACACAACATCTTTTAAAACATAAAGTTTCTAAGGATTTGAAATGTGATCATTGTGATTATGGGACAAATGTTAAATACTGCTATACACAACATCTTTTAAAACATAAAATTTCTAAGGATTTTAATTGTGGTAATTGTGATTATGCAACAAATTTTAAATGCAACTTAAAAAGACATCTTTTAAAACATAAGGTTTCTAAGGATTTTAAATGTGATCATTGTGATTATGGGACAAATGTTAAATACTACTATAAACGACATCTTTTAAAACACAAAGTTTCTAAGGCTTTTAAATGTGATCATTGTGATTTTGGCACACATCTTAAATACTACTACACACAACATCTTTTAAAACATACAGTTTCTAACTATTTTAAATGTGCTAATTGTGATTATGAGACCCACACAAAAACTAAATTGATCCAACACCTTTTATCACATCAAGTTTCTAAGGAGTTGAAATGTGCTGACTGTGGCTATAAGACAATTTTTAAAAGCAACTTTAAACAACACCTTTTAAAACACAAAGTTTCTAAGGATTTTAAATGTGCTAATTGTGATTATAGCACAAATATTAAAGACTACTATAAACGACATCTTGTAAAACACAAAGTTTCTAAGGATTTTAAATGTGATAATTGTGATTATGCAACAAATGTTAAATACGCCTTAAAAAGACATCTTTTAAAACATCAAGTTTCTAAGGCTTTTAAATGCGATGATTGTGATTTTGGCACACATCTTAAATACTACTACACAAAACATCTTTTAAAACATAAAAGTTCCTAAGAATTTTAAATGTGCTAACTGTGATTATGAGACAAACAATAATATTAACAAATATTAATTAAAATATTAACAAACTTAACTATTGGTAAAAATATGTGGAAATTATTGACCTCGCCACTCATATATCACACATAGATTCTAAACCGAAGAGTTTTGATTAGCATAATCTCGCCCCCGCAAGATAGGTAGCGTCGCCCCTCGTCCGGGGTTGCGAGCCTACAGTTGAAAGTCGAAGACAATCACGGAATTAGGTGTCGTAGCTCAATTTTGACTACAATTTTTACCGCCCCCGTGACTGCTTCATTCACGGAGAAAATGTTAGTTACAAACAACAAGTCAGTACATACATCAAACGAATCAGTAATTTCCACATATTAAAATAAAATGATCAAAACTTATATGAATGTTACTTCAGGGACAAGACCAAGTAATCAACATCAATAAACAAAGCAAGCATTACACCAAAGACGTAAACAATTACAAACAAAAAGTATAACGATATTAAACATGTCATTCAGCATTGCGGTTAAACCAAGTAAATTTCAAAAACAAAGATTGAAACACACAGAAAATATAAAATGCGGCATACAAAACACACATACGATATAAAGAAATGCAAAAATTACTACCTGCATTAAATATCGACAAACATTTATGGAGCGACGCGTTCACGTTCGCCATTATTCCAGATGGCGCAAATCGCTTTCCCCTCCTAAAAATTGCGTGGTTGCCAACAACCAAAATGTGTGCATCGTCGTAATTTGTGTATATAGGGTGGCACATATCAACGTGTTTATTGTTAAGACTGATCAATGTACCTATTTCACAAAATATATGTTCTTGAGGCAGAGAATTGTGTGTTATTAAAAAAATAACACCAGAAACCTTTAGTGAGAAGGTTTTTTTACAGGATACGTGTCAATCGAAATTGTGGTAGTGGTTTACGTTTACAAATTTGACAACCGGTTGCTACCGTTTTCATTATTTATCGCGTTTTGCTACATTAGTCGATAAAAAATCTGTTAGTTTCATAACGAACAGTTATAGAAGCACGTGTAAAGCTCACTGCGATATTTTGGGCCAAAAGTTTTATAAGCCAAAAATACTATCGGGTTTACCAAGAAAAAGTAAGCAACTTATATCTCAACTCATTCCTTATTTTGAACGAAAAAAAGATAAAGGTCGTCGACAGAGCTGGGTAAAAACTTTTCAAATTTTAAAATACAAAATAAGAAATGCTAATTTATTTTAAATACAATCGCATAATCATTCCTGCATAGGAAAACAAACGTTTCACAGGAGCCGAGTAAAGGAATTGTAGTTCAACATTACATAGGCATCACTACAACCATAGAACGATACAAAATTAGGTTTTTTGGCATAGGTTCAAAAATGTTTCAAATATAAAATAGAAAATACCTTGAGAAATCTATTTCAAATATAAAATAGTTTTTATAAGTTTATTTAAAATATAAAATTGTATTTTGTATTTTAAATACCTATTTAAAATAGATTAATTTGAAATAATTACCTAGCTCTGCTTGATTGACATTTAAGAAACAAACAATTCTATTAGAGTATTCAGATTTCAATTCTACTTATTCATATAATAACCCTTTATCATATCCACATTGACCATTGTTAACTTACCAAGATTACAGAGATGAGCTAGGTATTTGGCTTAGTTCAGTTTCGGTTTACACATACACACTGTATATTTGACAACCTTGAAATCAATGATTTTTGAACTTTGGTTAGGTAGAGTGAATTGTTACTTGTTCATTTTATTATGGGTTTTTAGTTATTAGTACCTTCATTATAACATAAATTCTTAAATTGAAGTTTATTTGAAAAAATGGATGAAGATAATTTGAACAGATTTTATCCCAACTTGGATATAGAGGAGCCAGATCCAGGTAAAGTAAACAAACTATTGGAAAAAAAATCAAAGAATGCCCAATATTTTGACATTTCCCTGTTTTTGAAAATTTTTAATTAAAATCTCACAATTTACAGACATAAACTACAAACATAACATGTCGAAGCAAAAAGGGAATAGTTGGTCCAATTACGCAGTAAGAATTATTGTTAGCACGGCGTCACATCCCTTAGAATACGCGAAAGTCCTAATCCAGGTGATTATCGGCTAAAAATGGTTCGTTACTCCGTTTATTTATTGTAGATCGGTCACGAACCGATTGCCCCCCGACCTACCACAACGTTATTCGGACGACCGGCCCTGAAACTACCAAACATTTTCGAATATGGCAAGTAACTAAATGTCGCATATTGCAAATTACAAAATTGCCCGCTTCAGTTAGGTATATCAAATCTGTTGACGGTTTAGTCGGTTGTTATCGTGGTTTTGTACCAAAAGTCTGTGGAAATTTGGCTAGCGCGATAGCCAGTCAGAAGGTAATTGATCACTTGGAAAGTGATAAAGAGGATGAGGAAGAACTCAGTGAAGCCGACGAGGATAAAAGGTATCTTGTGCAATTGAATAAGGATCTGTTCTATTTCGATTCTTATTCATTACTTGTGCTGTAATCTTGGATTAGTACAGCGCATTTGTTACAGGACCGAGCTATTTTTTAAAAGTGTAAAGAAAGATTTGGTTACTCGAGCCACTGCGATCGTAGTAAGCCACCCCTTTCATGTGGTAACAATTCGGATTATGGCACAGTTTGTGGGGAATGAAACGACATATAAGTAGGTACTACAACTTTCCTGTAACTTCATGTAGTGAATGGAACGTTTTTTAGCGGCCTTTTCGCTTCCATTATGCAAATATACAAGGAAAGTGGAGTGAAAGGTTTTTTTAGCGGATTAGTACCAAGAATACTAGGAGATGTGTTTTCGTTGCTCTTAGCCAGCGCACTAGCATACGCATTTAATACTTACGTATTTGAAGATAAAGAATTACAGATGTATACGTCGGCTACAATGTCTGTAAGGCAATGTCGGCAAGATCCGAAGTAATTGTACTCATGTGTAACTTTACAGTTCATTGCAAGTGCGATTACTTATCCTTTCCAAGTCGTTTCGAATTGCATGGCGGTCGCCGGTACATCATTAGCCGCAGGATCACCACCAAATATGCCGTTTTATAATTCGTGGCTGGACTGCTGGTCTGATTTATCGAGAAGAAATCAGTTGAAGCGAGGTTCTAGTCTGCTTATTCGTTACTACGTCGGACCCCAACTAATTATTGGGGGGCGAGCGATTCCAAGTGATAAAAACTTTGAGTTCATGAAATAATTCAATTTTTTGTGTAATAAACTTTTTGGTTGAATTAAATTCAATTTTAACATTTTCGAATTTTTGAAAAATTTTGTTTGTTGGCTAGCATGTATCTACGTCCTTTTGACGTCAGTGTAGAGGATCAGTGATTGAAATGTAAATACAGTGGACAGAAAATTTCAAATTGTGTCTTATTATGGAAGAGTACTAAAGTGCTGTTTAGTATTTTAGGCAACCAGTGACGAGCTTTGTCTATTTATTAGGCATTTGATATTATAAATTTGAATTGGTAGGGCCGTTGTCTAAAATTACGCAATAATTGTAAAGAGCAGGTAAGCAAGGGTTGTAGGTACTTATGGGCAAATTAATAAACGCAGAATTTTCAAGAAAACATTTATTTACAACTTTACTGTAAAATAATTAGAGAAAATATATTCTCTCTCTTTCTTGGGCCCACTCTGACAGACGGTGCGTAAGCAATATGAGAAAGGAGGTCCTCTAATTAACTTCTCCTGTTTTATGTGGTTCCGTTTGTAATGCTGGAGTAACCCATTCTCTTTTGATTTTGTTTTGTTTTGTCTAAATTGGTGGTAGTTCTGCGTTTTTGTACCTACTAATTTGATTTATCTTGTTTTTCATGCAAATTTATTGTCTTGTGTTTCGTTTTTATTAAGTTTGACTCCATATTTTTATTGTGCAATTCGAGATGTACTTCTCAATTTGTTGTCCTAGAGTGTGTGATGTACCCAGGCCAGTCCCGAGAGACTGCGCAACTCAAAATTTAAATTTCAAAACTTTCCCTCCCAAACTAACTGAACCCCACGGCACGTGATCGTCTAGACAAAGCTACCTAACCTGAATAACAGGACCACTTACTACGTTGTGTTTTTAAGAGTCGCTACAAGATATGTGTTGCTTGTCGGAGTGAGGATCAAGTAAGAAATACAAATAAAACAAGTACATGCTTTAAAAACGGAGATTTAATCCAAATAATTCGCATTGCAAGATTAAATTTAGAAAATGGTAGTTCACCGAGTACAAATATGACAAAAGGCTGGGAAAAAAGAACTGACCAAGAAAAAACCCAGCCAACAAATAAATATTGAACTTTATAGCAAAATTAGTCGTCTGTAATGGCATAAATGCATGTTGTCAAGTACATTAATACAATGTCGAATCCCAGGCTCCACTGGAATTCCTAAACAATCAATATTTCACACACATAACAAAAAAACAATCATAAAAACATTACAATAAATTCATATAATTTTGGATATTGGGTGATCAGTACAAATCCCACACCGAGTAGTCTTTAGTTGCTCTGGCCATGACATGTCAACATTGTATGAAATCACTAGGAGTTGGCCTCTCAGCAGAGCATTTCACACAGGAAGGATACCCCGATGGATACAAAAAAATAAAGGGCACAACGGGAACACGCCGTACGCATTTAGCAGATCCCTGCGCAAGTGAGGCCGGGACTTGCCTGCGCCCTCATGTACGACTAAGCGGGACCCCAACTCTTTCATTCACACATCTCTAGGGTCAGTCCAAAGTAACCAATGGCAAACTCGCACGCATACATAATCATAAACAAAATATACCTACAGAATTTACGTAGGCGTTGACAGTCAACATATTTGCACTGGCATAACAAAAACTGACACAAATTCGGTCACTACATGTCAGGGATCGACTAATCGGATTGATTAGCAATATCGGCAAGAAGGCTCTTTTCAAAGACACAACACAAAAAACAGTACATAAAATATATATCTCTGCGTATGTCAGTTCTGAACTTTAGCCAGCCTCTGCTACGTCAAATCGAGATATTAAATGTCGGTATCAAATATCAATATCAAATATAGCACAGTAAATATTAGAAACAAGTCACCCTGCCAAATATTAATAATCATAATCACCCGGTTCAAATAAATAGTAGGAGTATAACGATAGTATCACATTACAACAAACACAAAGAAACATGTCGTGGCAAACATTGGTATCAAGTAATTAATTCACAATGCCAAGTGCAATATGTAACAATCAACCACCTAACATACGTCACTCGCCCCCAGATGAGGCACCCTGTAAGTAAACAGTAACATATTCATGCAAACAATAGCGAAATGCGCTGCAATAAATTCAATAAATTAAAATGTAGTTCTGCATACTTGTATTGAATATAGCCCTAAGGGAACATACAGTATCTAAATATAAATAAAAACACGTAAATCAGTCAGTAATTCACAGTAGGACCAGTATAATTAAAAGTGCAATTTGTATCTAGAATGTGTTATAAATGGCGATAATCATGCGGTACGGGAATAACATTAAATTGGCAAATAGTCGAACACGATCATATCATTATTAGAGGGATGCAATAGACGTGGAGATAAAAAAATGAGTACATCACCTTTGTAATTGTCGAAGCTGCACGCACTATTCGCAACGTAAAGATTTACTTCTGGTCTCAACAAAAGCACGAATACTTCTGCCGCATTCTCCCCCCTTTTTTTTAAACAAATCTTAGACGAACATTGTTTATATGATCGTGATCCGAGCCGTCGGTTGATATGGATCATTAAGTCCCCTCGCATAGCGTAACATTTGACACTTTTATTGTAAATTATGGCCCATTTCTATGTAGAGCAGAAAAAAACACGTGTCCACGGAAACGAAACAAAGCGCAATCTTGACCCTTTTTTTTTGTCGCGCCAGGGTCGATTTCGGGATTATTTAAATCGAATTTTAGCGGGCTAATTCGGTTCTATCACAAGTGTTATGTCAGGTTTTTTCCTGGTGCCTTGTTCTATACGTAATTTATTTAATTGGTTTTTGTCTTTTCTTACGCACAAAACTCTATAGGTTTTATTAAATTCCCTTCCTCACTTCTTAACACATAAAAAGAGCCGCCAAGGATTTATGTTTATTTTGCCTTTATTCTTGAGTGGGCGGGGTTTCAGCCAAGGCTGCTCTACCAACCTAACCCACTACACATTTACAAATATCTATTGCCCGAACCAGGGACCCTTAGCACTATGATTCAGCTTTAACTGAACTGCGCCACATGGGCCGGCCATTTACCAACTCCTAAAAAAGATTACCAATATCCCGGACAATTAAACAAATGAATGTCCATACCTAAACATTCCAATGCTCTTTTTTAAAAATTGTTTATTTATTCAGCTCTGTAATTACCTACAAAATTTAATTCCTCAACCTCTCAAATGTCTTATTTTTAATACATTTAAATACAGATACAAAATGCACTTGTCATTCCAATATATTTCCAAATTTTCTTTTTGTGGTATCTTTGTAATGAACCGTTACCACCGCAATAACTACTGCTCTATACAAATCTTTTGTTTTTCTTATTACTTTGTAAACCACTTAAATCAGATTTATTTGAGTTTTATAAATTCAAATTTTTGTTTATATTTGTATAGTTAAGCGGAAGAGCAGCCTGAGGCCTCTAATAAATAAGACACTTATATGGGCTGTACTTAGACAACCCAGCACACTCACATTCTCAATGAAAATTCAAACCTTCCACTTATGTTCATACCTTTACATTATGCAACATGGCTGATTAGAGTAATCTCAAAATGAGAAGTACATCGTGACGTCATTTGTGCAAAGTATGAAAATGTGCCCGGGAGGGTCCATGATAACTCCTAAGGGGAGCGCGCGCGTTGACATTTGTGCATTGCCTCACACAGCAAATGTACTTTCAAACCTCAATTTAAAAACCCTACGATACGCTACGCGCAAAAAGTGATGACGTCACGATGTACTTCTCATTTTGAGACTACTTTAACTTTATTTGTCAAATGCGTCATAGAAAACCATATACAAATATTAGGTAAGTATCACTCCCTTATCGATGAAAAAAATTTCTTAGGAGTAAAAATCACTTCCTTATACTTATTTATTGGACCAATACAAAACATTTCTCTGTTTAATAATCAAAGCCGTACTCAAAATATGATTGATCAAAATTGTGAACTCGTACATATCCATCTTCTCCGCCCGAACTGTAGCTTTTACCATCAGGATGAAATGCAACACTATTAATTGGTCCAAAATGTCCTTTGACACGGCCAAATTCTTCTTCAAAAGCTAAATGGAAGAATCTAGAATCGAACTTTCCTATTCTGGCTGAAGTTGTTGTTACATCCATAGCATCCTGACCCCCGCCAAGTACAACATGTTCCAAAATCGGACTCACAGCTGCCGAATTAACAGGCCGTTCTGTCTTGTAAGTTTTAAGTAACATAAGATTATCAGAGTCAAATAGTTTAGCCGTATGATCTTTTGATGCAGTAATAAACATGGTCGCGTCTTTCGACATTTGCATATCCATTATCACCTTATCATGCTCTTTAATGTTGCTTATTTTTTTGCCCGTCTAAAAAAAGGAAATGAGTAAAATTACACTTTAAAAGAACACGCAAAACCTGTAGGTCCCATTGCATAATTTCCCCATCTTCATGCCCGGTTAATAGAGTTTCGTCTAACGCACCCCATATCAACGAAGACACTCTCGGACCATTTATGGGTATCCTCAAAATTGGAGAGGACTTGCCCAAACTTTCATCTGCATTTCTCACATCGATAATGTGAATTTCACATTGATGACCCATAGATTTATCGGTCGCGAATACTGCCATATTTGCCGAATAGCTAAAATTGCAAGCACGAACAGGTGAATTTGTGCTGATTGTCCCTATTGTGGTGCCAGTTTCGACATCCCATAATTTCAGTGAATTATCGCCAGCTCCAGATAAAAATCTGGTTGTTGTCCAGTCAATATCAATGCACCAAACCGCACCTTGATGGCCATTAAAGGTACCCAGACGTTCACCGTTTAAAGAGTACCAAACATTTGGGATAGTATCCTTTGAGGAAGAAAATAAGAGATCGCCCTCGCGATTGTATTTTATTTGCGTGATGGCACGTTCGTGCCCATGAAGAATGAGAGGTTTCTAAAATATTGAGGTTATAGGTACACAAATCTGTTTGTTAAAAATCTTTAAGTCGGTCTTAACAGTATCGATTTCTTACCATTTTGCTTTAGCGGTTCGTTTTAGATCTATTTTATAAACTCTGACACAGAGAATTATTTAAATTATTCTCAAAATTCACACCTGGATAACCACGAAATGACAGTTGACAGAAGTTCATGTTAAATGACTAACTTCAATTCATAAATCATCATTTGATGTACAGAGTGTATCACACTACCCGTAACAAGAGCTCATCCGATATCGTGTATATATATTTTTTTGAAAGGATCATTTTGTACTTAAAAGATATTAAACGATACAACGCTTGAAAAGGTTTTTGATTATAGGATTTCATCACAAAGTCGGGACGATTACGAATACGAATCATTAGTACCTAGTGAATTCGAATGATAATTGCTATTTGCAAACATTTCTAAATACAGAACCGAATACTAACAATTCATCTCCATGTCGGCATATCTGAAGGAGAATGATTTGAATTATTTGAAGCACTTTGTATACAATTGTTTTTTTTTCATGTTAAAGTGGGTGTGCCGTCGTGGGTACAATAATCACAGTGAAAAATGAACATAACCTAAACGTTTTAAATTAATACTCAACCGAAAATGAGCCAAAGATACGAAAAAATTGAATTTCTGGGCGAAGGCCAATTCGCAACTGTGTATAAAGCAAAAGATAAAGAAACCGATAACATAGTAGCTGTTAAGAAAATAAAAGCAGGGAGTAAAATAGAAGCACAGGATGGCATCAATCGAACAGCATTACGTGAAATCAAAATTCTACAAGAGCTCAACCACAAAAATTGCCTAGTTTTATTGGATGTCTTTAGTCAAGGATCTATGTCTAATGTATCTTTAGTTTTCGATTTTATGGACACAGATTTGGAAGTTATCATAAAAGATAACACGATTATACTAACCACTGCAAACATCAAATCGTACATGATACAAACTCTGCAGGGCTTAGAATACTTGCACTCGAATTGGATATTACATCGAGATTTAAAACCAAATAATTTACTGGTGAACGCAGCTGGCTTGTTGAAGATAGCAGATTTCGGCTTGGCAAAACTGTATGGTTCTCCCAATCGCATTAACACTCATCAAGTCGTCACGAGGTGGTATCGATCTCCGGAACTGTTATTTGGAGCCAAACAATATGGCGTTGGCGTCGACATGTGGGCAGTAGGATGTATTTTAGCCGAACTATTGCTACGTCTCCCATTTTTACCGGGCGAATCGGATTTGGATCAGCTCACCAAAATTTTTCAGGTCTTCGGTAATCCCACCGAGCAAAATTGGCCGAGCGTAAAGACACTAAGTGATTATGTAGAATTTAAGCCCTATCCTCCAGTTCAATTAAAAAACATTTTTATTGCCGCCGGCGACGATTTGTTGGATGTACTGGATGCTTTATTAGTTTTGAATCCGCTTAAAAGAAAACATTGTACGGAAACATTACAGATGCCATTTTTTAGTAACAAACCTGCGCCTACTGTTAGCAATAAACTACCTTTGCCGCAGAGTATTAAAAAAGTAAAAGATACGGAGAGGCCTTCGCTAAAAAGGAAATTGTTGAATTCTGCAGAAGGTGGTAATCTCTCTAAACGTTTGTTTTTCTAGCAATTTTGTAACTGAAAATGTATTTAATAAAAACTCAACTCACTAAAACAATTTCTGACCATGAACATAAGTAACAAAAATATTAATGATTTTAAGATTTGTTTTGTAAGTGTGTAAGAAAAGACAAGAACATATTAGATATTATATTATACGCACATTCCCAAGTGAGATACTTACCAGGACAAAACCTTCTTCGGGACAAAAACCTGGCAAAATTGCAGTAGGACAATAAAATGTAAAATGAGAAAAATGTACAAATCAAACATTTTAAATCGTACAAAAAAATCAGGTATCGAGTCAAATGTAGTAAATCAACAAGAGACATGATAAATACACGTGACAAACACATTAAACATCTATATGATCAATTTAGGCAAAACAAATAGTAAAATGGTAAATTGTATGTACGAAGAAGAACATGCGAAAAGCATAGCTCCACTCAAGCATCGACTTGTGAGAATGCCTAATAGTAAGTATTCATGTTAAAGTCCATTATCGCCCAAGTTAAACATATTATGTAAATGGAGAAAATGTTAATTAGAGGAAATAAAATGATATATTTGACAAATTTTTCGTATCTCGCCAAGTAAAACAGATATTGAGGTGGCCCTATTATCTCAGACGCACTGTATATTAAGATTTGTCTTGTGCTCTCGCGCAGTTGGCCGTGATTTTTCGGAATAGGATTCTGCGAAAAGGGCATAACGGAAACAAATTTGAAGGTTATCGCATTCTGGACCAAGTAAATACGTTCATTTTCCGGCCCCCCAATTTCACGGGAGCCCCAGCCGCTTGCTATGGCTTGAATAAAAAGCTAAATTGCGATTTGGCGGCCAAGTACAGAACGAGATTTGAAAATACCGCCAATTTTTGTATGAGAGCATTGCATCATGGGAAGGATGAATATTAAATATGGTGGTTCGTTTGTCATAGGATAACTACTAGTTGCGATTTTATAAATAATTTTTTATTCTTTATCCGTACACAGCAATTATTGTAAAAATTGTGATATGTAGCGTAGCGTAACTTATTCTCGATTAGTTTTATCAGTTTATACCAGTTTTGTTACATTAAGGGTCATTACTGATGAACCTAACCCAACGGTTTCACAAAGATTGAAAGGTAAACTTTTACTATTCAATTAAAACCTCAGTGTAGTGGGTGGCTGTCAAGAGCGCTCAATCTCTTAATGCCAGACTGTCCGTATTTAGGTTGATTTTTCCTTTGCAGGATACGCCAAGATGTTTTTTCGAACCTACACGACCGCCTCTTCTTCGCAAATGGAAGCGGCTCTTGCAAAGAAGGTGGTTAGTACATTTCTTGACAGTGTTAATCGTAACGCACATTTCAGGATGTGACTTTGCGAGAGCTTATGGACGAAGAAGATATAATTAACGAATGCAAGCTGCAGAATAAGGCTTTAATGGAATTGTAAGCGTCACCTGCAACTTCGGATGTGTGAATTTCTATTTGTGAATGTTGTAGTTTGGTCAAACCTGATGTAATAGAGGAATTAATAACGTTGACCACAGTAGAACCGTCGCCGGATATAGAGGAATGCACACGATTTAAATATTCAAACATAGCTTGCGAAATTTTAACATGCGACGTTCCTAGCATTAACGAAAGGTTGGCGAGCGATCAGGCTTTACTTTCGAAACTCTGTGCGTTTATAGACTGTGAGCCGCCTTTAAATCCGTTATTGGCTTCCTTCTTTAGTAAAATAATGGGTGTCCTTTTCGCTAAAAAGGCTGTGCAGGTTTGTGGTGTAGAAGAGAATTCTTTGTATATGTTCAGGAGTGTAACTTGTGTGTAAAAATTCGTGTTGCCTTATTGTGGAAGGTTTCACTGAATATTTTATTATGGGAATGTTACGGTTTTTCCAAAGCTATTGTTGGGTATTTTTTATGTCATTTACATTTATACCATGAACAATTTTAAAAGGAGTTTGAATGGGTATTAAAGGTTGAGTTGTGTAGCTGTACGCCAAGGTATTGTGATTGTTTTAAATGAATCTCCTTTAATAATAATAGACATCAATTAAACCTATTTTAAATGTTCGAAATATTTTATATAATATTTAAATAAAATCAATTGATAGGTACTAAAAAAAAGATGGGTAATGCGTTAATTGTAAAAATATGTATGTTTACACTTTATAATATGCCATTTTTATTATGGGAATTTTTCAAAAGAAAAAAATTTTTTGTTCAATTTCTAAATTACTCTTCTGATTTTGCATTTGGTGCAATGATGAATTATGCTCATTTTGACCAAGTTGACAGAGGACTACTAAACAGGGGATGTAACCGAAAAGAACCGGAACCCATTGCATTTACAGGGTCCTCCCTTATTCAAGAAGTTATGATAACTGGAACCGATACCAGTATTTTTTTGTTCTCTCTCCCTCTCTCTGGTAGGTAAACACGTTGCGCTTTGTAAAAAGGAAATCCGTTTCATATTGTTGCTCTAGTGCGGAACGGGAACCTATAATACATATGGGTTGCAATCCCTCCTGATAACAATTTTCGGTACAGATTTACTATTTTCCGAGCTATTTTCATATAACGTTTTTACCTTGCATTCCAAGTTATGTCATGCTTTCAGAATTCTCTTATTAGAAAAATGCATTATACAGAGTGTCCATTTTTCGGGTGCCACTATGGCCATATGGTTTTTGTGTAAATTGCAATAAAATTGGTTAAAATATATGTACTTTTTTAATTTATAATAAAACAAATAACAGATAAAAAATAACAAATAGTAAAGAATAAAAATATTAAAGAACTTAATAGCAGCATACAGGGTGTATATTTTAAAACTTGCAGTCGGCCATATTTTCCAAACTAAAGGAGATATTGAAAATCGCGCAAAACCGTTTCGGGGGTATCAAGGGGGAACCAGAATGACGTTATGAGTGACAACCCTTAACCCCCAGCCCCCCCTTTTCAAAAATCCTAAATGGCAACCCCATACTCGTGACACATCATTGGAAAGCTACTGAAAAATACTTTCTAGTGGTACCAATAAAGTCAATATTTATTAAGACAATTTAACAAAAATTTAAAATTAAAACAAAAAATAAAAATTAAACCATGCCTATGTTCAAGATTTGGTCGCTAAATTCGAAGAAACGGGAACTGTTATCAATAAAAAAAAGAAAGCAACCAAGATTGCTTAACGAAGCAGCTCAGCTTGAAGTTCTTGGCCAATTTGCCATAAATCCCTCAATGTCAACATTTAGTTTTTTTTTGTTAATTAAAAATTTTTGTTAAATTGTCTTAATGAATATTGACTTTATTGGTACCGCTGGAAAGCATTTTTCAGTAGCTATCCAACGATTTGTTACAAGTATGGGGTTGCCATTTAGGATTTTTGAAGAGGGGGGGTTGAGGGGGAGTGGGGGGTTGTCACTCATAACGTAATTCGGGTTTCCCCTCGATACCCCCGAAATGGTTTTGCGCGATTTTCAATATCTTCTTTAGTTTGGAAAATATGGCCGACTGCAAGTTTTAAAATTGACACCCTGTATGCTGCTATTAAGTTCTTTAATATTTTTAATCTTTACTATTTGTTATTTTTTATCTGTTATTTGTTTTATTATAAATTAAAAAAGTACATATATTTTAACCAATTTTATTGCATTTGACAAAAAAACCATATGGCCGATTGCAAGTTTTAAAATTGACACCCTGTATGTAACAGTGAGAGATACAGTGCAGGTTAAATGAAAGCAAAGTAGCCTCTTCTTGTAACTAAAAAAAAACGCATTTGGAAATTTTGGAAAAATCTGAAAATAACTGAGATATCAGTAAAAAACTGAAAAGGTCAAATATTGTTTGTTTTATTTTCCCTAAACGGTCGGAAATGGACGGTTTTCGTTACCATCTTTCATAGGCACTTTTTTCCAAGAATCTGAATCTGTTATCAGAATTTTTTGTATTTCTTATGGGCGCCATATTGGATTTTTATTATTTACAAGAAAAATTTCAAACTCAAATGTTTTGCATTCATTTCTCAAAACATCCAAAGGTAACTAGATCTTGTTGAATCAACGTGGCTATAATGGCGATGCATTCAAATGGAGTCCTTTTTTGGCCTCTATATCATTCCCTAAAAATCCAATATGGCGCCCATAAGAAAGTACAGTAGCGTATAACTTCTACATCTAGCATGTTATAGAAATTCTGGTAACAGATTCAGATTGTCCGAAAAAAAAGTGCCCATAGAAGATACTACGTCCATTTCCGACCTAGAGAAATCAAAGCGAAATTTCACATTTTCAGTTTTTCTGTGATATCTCAGTTATTTTAGAAGATTTGTCCAAAATTTCAAATGCGTATCTTTCACCATTGCAGAGATTCCAATGGTAAGTCACGAATTTGAACCATCCTATACTGTGTGTCCTATTTTGGTTGAAAGTGCGGTGTATCTCAGCTGTTTTTAATTTTTTTCTCAACCCTGTGCCACTTTTTAGTGAAACTTAATGTCACAAACAGAATTTAACTACGTTTGTTTGATATACAGGGTGCAAACGAAAAGTTTCGACTTTTGGATGTAATCATATCTGACTACCCAAGTACCTAAGTTAGAAACAATAGCACATTTTTTTTACTTCTTAAAAAATGCGCTAAAAAGATAGAAACTGTTTTTTTTTTAGATATTTTTACGTAGAAATCAGTGGCGTAGTTAAATAATTTTTTTGGACCACCGTTTTTGAGGTTTGACAGAATGTTGGTATTTTTTAAATGCAATGCTGCATATCTCTTAACGTCAACTATTTGTTTGATTACGATGCGCCGCCAAAGGGGTTGCTCCCCTCCCAGGCCCCCAGTTGTAAAATAACAAATAATAAACATGGCGGGATTTCACCTGTAGAAAAATTCGGCTGTTTTAATTATTTTTCCACAATTTTGAGTGGACTAGTCTTTCTTTAGCAGTAAGAGTGGTGAAAGTGATCTCTTTAACCGAGTAAGGTGAAACAAATGATCGTGCATTCTAATGACATCTGTCATTCTTATTAAAAACGGGACGCGGAGCACGAAGTAAGTAGAATGAAGTTCAAAACAGATAACAATACTGTTTCTATGGAACCGACTTTAATGTCTTTCTTTTTAAATGAACGAATAGACAGGGTGTTTCAATTAAGAATAAGGTTAGGCGGAATAACTTCTTTACCTGTCTCCATATACTTGTTGCGAAAATAGCGATTATTCAAGATTTTAAGCAGATTTAAAAAACAAAAAAAATTAAACAGTGTTCAAATTATTCAAAAAAATGCAAAACTATTCTAAAAGGTTTTGGGATTTTTAAAATTTGTTTTAAATCTTTTTTGAATCTTTGAATTAATGTTGAATTTTTTGTTTTTTGTCTGTATCTCTTAATCGTGCGAATATCTCCAAATTTTGATTTTTTAATTTTAAGTTTAACTAAAAAAGAACCCATGGAATGCAAACCCAATTGCAGCTTGGTGTCCCATTGTGCGGAATCCTTTTTATCTTTTTATCATTCATAGGTTCAGGGGACACAATGCCACTTGCTAAAGGTTGCTCCAAATTTAAAAAAACCGCCTGCAATACCCCTACTTGAGTTTTTATTATTATGGTTCCAAACTGAACGTTGGTAATCACTGGTATGTTTTTGGTGTTAATTTCTTAAATGGAAAGTGGGGTCAGTATCAGTTACTGCATTCTTCTGCTGTGGAAGATATGGTTGAACAAATTAATACTAAACAGATTTTATTATTTAATACATGAACATGAATACAACTTGTTAGTTTATCTACATTTTGTTGTGCTATTGGCGGGGCCCATAGCGTTTTTTGACATTTTAAAAATATGGTCGCTCTGCTACAAATGAGACTTTTGAGTTTCTCACCATTTACCACATTCTTTATCTCGAACGGACATGTTATTAAAGAGATCATTACGGTACTAAACTTCCGAATATTTTTTGTTGAATTAACCGATTTATCTTAAAAGGTGAACAGACTCTAAGAAGACACTTCTTGAGAATTTAAATGTATGAACGATGTGGTGAATCGACGGATTTCCACCAATAACAAAATAATGTCTTAACAGTAAACCTTAAAACATGATGGGATAGCTGCAAGACCTAAAAATAATACACATTTGTAGTTACACTTCTGATTACATGAGTAAAGTCAATATAGTATTGAATTATCAACTAATACTTATTCTTTTACGTAAGGAATAGTATAGTAGACTAATAGCTCTTCTTTTCTTCCTTCCTTTCTCTCCTCTCACGTTTCCTCCGGACTTCACCTACACCAGAACTGGTTATCCTATGAGATGACTTGCTTACAGGTTTTAGACTTTCTAAAGGCAAAAGAAAATTTTATTTCCCTGCTGCTGAGGCACCTGGGCACGTCCGCTATTATGGATCTCACGTTAAAACTCATGACACAGGTGGAAGGAGAAGTCAGAGAAAATAATTTAAAGGTAAGTCATTTTCGAATGAAAGTTGGAAATGTGAACATTGATAATCCATAGATATACAGGGAGGTTCATGTAGACCATTCGTTACAAGTTTTTAAACCAATTCCCAAATCAGCAGATGCTCTGATGGTAATTTCTATTTTTTCTCCTGTTAAGGGAGTTCTCACAACCTTTCCAATATAAAAAAAATTCTTTTTTAATGTAAGAAATTTACCTTTCGTCATTCTGTAAGACACTGTTTGAAATGGCATTTCACATGAAACAATTGTTTCCAAAGCCTACCACACCTAATGAAAAAATAAAGGATATTTCTTTCAGAAAATGCCAAATGGAGAATGTTAATAAAAGTGACCCTAAAATCCAAATCTACATTCATTGTTGAAAAACTGAAGTTTTTGACATTTTCTGATAGCTAATTTTGAAAAATCGTACCGGCCCTTGAAAAATTTTTTAGGCTTTGAACGATAAGATTATAAAAAAGAGCACTCACTTGGTTTAAGAGATATGAAATTTTGAATGGACCCGTTGCATCTCGAAATTTTTAGAGAAAAATTGACATAATTATATCAACAACTATGACAGATAGATATGCAAATGTTTGCGTTTGTCAACTTCCGGTATTTACGGAAGCAGCGCCATCTTGAAATTATTTTACTTCATGCCAAACCTTCAAGTTTCTATTTCAACTGCAAGTTTTCAAACTTCCAATGGGCTACGTGAATCACCCTGTATAAGATTCCTTTGGACTTTGTTGGAACAACTGTCGAATACATTTGTTTATAAATGCATTTGATAAATATGTTAGTGATTAATCATTTTTTTCCAGTGGCTGAATAGTCAACAAGTAATGCAATCTTTAGTGTCTTTACTGGACCCGTCTGTCGACTCAGAAAGACATTATAATGTCGCTCAATTACTGTGTGATTTCATTAAAACATCTCGAGAAAGTTTAAAGACTGCGTTTAAAGAAAACTATCCCAATCCCTTACTTGATACCTTAGAATCGTAAGGCAACAATAGTTTCATTTTTTTTAGAATAATACGCTCTCTTGCAGACCTGAAACGATATCATTATTGATAGATCATATGCTCGGCGAAGATAAAGTGGAAAGCTGCATCGTGGGCGGAATTCAAGTGCTTTTACTACTTTTGGAATTATTTGAATATGGGTAAGTTTCATCTGACGATCCGCAAAATGTAGTATACATCCGGCATTTGCTAGAAGAAAAGTCCTAATATTGACTTTAAATTGACAATTTGGGTGACTCAGTAGCCTCGGTCAACTTTCAAAAATTCTAAACAGAAATTTCGATCAACATTTGTAATCAATCTTGGGACTAATAGAAAGATTTGAGACATGAAGAATATCTGGGTCGCATTTTGCATTCGAATAAACAAATTAATTGATTAATAATGACAAACATTTATTCCAAAAATGATGGAAAAAAATTAAAACAAAATCGCTGCAAGAAAGAACTTACAAAGCTTATTTGGAGATATGACCGCGTACGCAGGCGGTCGACAAATAAAATATAAAATCTTAAAATCACAGCTTTTTTTCTTAATCCAAAAAATCTGGTCGTAACTAAGTTTGCGATGTTCAGGCGCACTGAAATTAACACAAAATCACACGTCTGACAATTTCTGAACTTCACTTTGCACAGGTGTTAACTCGCTTTTTATTATTAATTTCTTTTAAAAAAATTTGGATTGAATTTTTATCAGATCTTTAGGCGAGGGAAAATGGCTAGTGAGCGTCGTCGTCGAGGTGCGCGGGCGAGTTTAAAAATTTGCCGCTCCCATAAGATTGGAGGTAGGGCATCGAGGGGGGTAGCGATAGTTTGGGCAGCTTTTATCGGGGTTGACAAAATATATCTGGTGTCCGTTGGGATAGCTGCAGTAAGAAGCCAAAAATCGAAAATTTTTTAGCTCGAAAACTAACGACGTGGAGGAGCGGATTTGTGCCGTGGTGCGATTAAAGTGATGGCATGGTTTGGGAACGGCGAGACCCGGACCACCGCTCCTGAGGATGGCGATTTTCGCGTGTTGACGCCTTCCAGAGCCGAGAGGCCCCCCCCCCCCTTGGCGTGGAACACCTTTTATATATTTTTCAGAATTTTAAAAATACCGAAAGTGATCATTTTCTTTTGGAAATCTAATACACATTTTTAAAGTTAGTAGATGCAGTACAGAGTGTCTCATTAATAATGGTCACAGGCCATATCTACGGAACCGTTAATTGCACAGATTCGGGAAAAAAATTTCGGTAACAAATGCAAGCATAACAAATACGTGCATCGCAAGCATAACAAATACGTGCATCGCAATCTTGTATTAATTTTGCATTATTTCGCTGCAGCACATATTGCTATAGTTCATAAAATATATGGGGCGGGGGAAGGGAAACATCTCTTTAAGGAATTGAATGTAACGCCGATTTAGGTTAACCGATTTTCACATAATAGGCCTTGTTGGAGAGAGCTCTCTTTGTGGAATCAGATTTTATATGAATAGAGTCTTTTTAGTAAATGTGATGAGTGGTAGAGGGCGCGATGTGACATTGACATATACTTTGCAGGTTGTTTATTTCAGGTTAAGTGTTAATTTTGAACTGCCATCATCTCATTCACTTTGACATAATTATCGGTTGCTATATGTTCATTTGTTTCAAATCCAACTTTGATGAATATACATATTGCAATTAAAATTTGTGAATGTTCGTATTTTCGCCATATCTCTGTTTAGAAAACAGGTATCAAAATCAAAAGTTTAATTGATATTCTCACTTTTTGATCTTATTTGATATCATATAATAATTAAAATTAGGTATATCGCTCTATTTGAAATTTAAAAAAAAAACCTGCAAAGTTTATGTTAATGTCACATCGCGCCCTCTGCCACTCATCACATTTACTAAAAAGACTACTCATGTAAAATCTGATTCCACTCCTTCCAACAAGACCTATTATGTGAAAATCTGTTAACCTAATCAGAAGTTACATTCAATTCCTTACAGGGATATTCCCCTTTCTCCATCCCCTATATTTTATGAACTAGAGCAATATGTGCTGCATCAAAATGATGCAAAATTGATACGAGATTGCTACGCATGTATTTTTATGGTTGCTTGTTAGGTATATTTTAGGAAAAAAGTCATTTTTCTACTTAACCATGAATCGTTTGCCCTCTAGCGGCGAAGCTAGAAACTTGAAAATAATTTCCAGCGATTTCTCTTAGCCTCTTTTTTCACGAATCTGTGCAATTAACGGTTCCACAGATACGGCGTGTGACCATTATTAATAGGACACCTCGTACAGTGTGTTCTACTTATGTTGAAACTGCAGTGTATTTCCGCCGTTTTAAAGATGAGAGACTTGCGGTTTTCGCGACCCTGAGCCACTTTTTTGTGAAATCAATCTAGCTACGTGTGGTTCTGAGATACATGTCTTAAATGCAACACCCTGTATATCTTAATGTCAATTGTTTTTCATATTCAATTGACGTATCACAACCTAATATTTTTTAATTTTAGCCATGAAAACTTTATTTTTTAAATAGTAGCCCATGGATTAATAGAGATTTTGTTTTGTTTATTGTATCCATGGTAGTTAAGGCAGCTGATACCAATCTATAAAAATGGCTGCCGGTAGAAACATGTCATTCCAAAATTTTCAAAAATATGCTATGTTACAATTTATAATTACATAAAAAATGATAGGTTGTGATACATCAATATAATCAGGATAAATAATGCAAAATATACAGGGTGTTGCATTTAAAGATACCCACTTTGAGTCAAATTTCCGAAACGGTGGTCCCAATTTTTTTTGCTACGCCACTGGATTTTATGTAAAGATATCTAAAACAGACTTTTTTCTATCTTACATGGGTACATGGGCCAAAAGTCAAACTTTTCGTTTTCACCCTGTATCTCGGAAACAAACGACAGCTGACTGTAGACTCAACCTGTACAAGGATTTTAATTTGCGGATCGGCCTTTTATATAATTTTTCGTTTTGCAAACACGCCAATTAACTATACAATTTTGTTCACAGCCACGAAGACTTTCCACCACGTATCGGACGGTACAATACAATTGTTGCTATCACTAACCGACTGGGCGACTTTCAGTTGTTATTACTAGATCCGCCAAAAGTAAACTTGCAAATATTTGAGGAACTTTTAATAACTCGTAACATAATTTTTAGAAGCAACCAATAACGACGACGTTCGGCTTATTAGATCCACCGCTCGGCAATACAAGGTTGCAAATTACGAAACTATTCGCAACGCTCATATCAACTCAAAACTACGAAGTACTACCCAAGCTAATTAAATTAGGTACCTTTAACGTTCTCCTCGATTTATTTTTCCAATTTCCGTGGAACAATTTCTTGCACACTCAGGTCGAGAGTTGCATTAATTTCGCTTTGACTCCCGCGCCTTTCGCCGACGCCGACATTGAAGCCTTATACGAAGACGTATGTCGATACTTTTAGTCAGTCGTATTTAAAATAATTCTCTGCCATTTCAGTTAGTACTTAATTGTAAATTACCAGAAAGGATATTAGAGGCGTGGAAGCAGAACAATCAAAAGTAAGTGACTCAACAGTATCTTGTTAAATTTTAATTGATGTCACCAAACTAGGACGGAAGATAAAAACGTGCGACAGGGTTACATGGGCCATTTAATGAACATAGCCAATCTTCTCAATGAGAACGTCGTAAACGACATATTGAAGGATAAGTTCCCCGAACTGGCCGAATCGTTTAGTACATTTACACAAACGACCTTAAAGGAAGTTATTAATATGCGTTCGACGGTGTTGGTAATGTATTTCATTTTCTGTTACATGCAGAGGATTTGATATCAATTTGTAGGGAGGTGAAATTCCGCACTATTCAGACGAAGAAGTTGATGAATTTGGTGATGCCGTTTATCCTAATGAACTTCAAGAACAAGTAAGTTTGTGCATTGCAAAATGAAAAGAAGTTCACTAATTTTATATCAAAATTTCTCGCATATCATAAATAAACATACTTAAGAATGAAGCTTGGAATTCAGTATGCTTGTTAACTGGCATTTGAATGAATGAATGAATCTTTTCTTTATTATCTTTAGTTTTACAGTAAACTACTCCTACCGAAGTATTTGCGTATTTGCACACAAGATCTAAGATAATAGAGAAACTAAAATTAAACCCGAGGCTACTAGCCTGTTTGGGTTTTACACATATACTTTTTCATGCTCACTATTTCAGGGTAAGGGGACGGACCGGTCAATATTTTCTCTTTAACTAGTGTGTGTGATTTTAATTACAAAATTATAAGACGCCGCAATTGTTACTTGATATAATGGGTTTAATTTATATTATAGTTGATTAGAAGAAAATTATTACTCAATTATTGTGTAAAAAAAGTCGGTAGTATCCAAGTTAAATAAGTATTTTTTTATGGTTCTTAAGAAAATAGTTTTTGTTTTTATTTCCTTGATATGTAAAGGTAAACAGTTGTAAAACTTTGGTGCTAAGTAGGTGTAAAATTTTCTGAAGTGATTAATGCTTGGTCGAGGGACGTTTACATTTGATTTGTATCTTGTCGTACCATTTTTTTTCCGGATATCAGCACGTTCTTTGGTACTTCTGTTATAAAATATTTTTAACACTTTGTATATATATAAGCTTCCTACTGGCAAAATTTTAAGTTTTTTAAACAGGGGAGTTGTATGCTCTCTTCTTCCCATATTGCAGATTATCCTGATGTAACACTTTTGTATCGTAATTAGTGGTTTAATTGTCGTAGAGTAAGTTCCTCCCCACACTGATAGCCCATACTCTAATTTTGAGTTGGCAAACGCATAGTATACTGTTTTAAGGAAAGCAGGAGAACATAAATCCTTTAATAAATAACATATTCTCATGTACTGGAGTAATTTGTTTTTTACTTGTGCTATATGTGGTTTCCAGCTGAGTTTCGAATCCACCACAATCCCCAAGTATTTCATTTGGTCTACCATCTCTATTTCTAGACATCTACAGTTCGTAGTGCAATTTACTTCATGATATTTTAATGGTGACTCCAAACTGAAACGTCTTCTTAAATAAAAAGTCATATATTTGGTTTTGGGACTCAGTACCATGTAGTTGTTGGTAAACCAGAGTCTTAGGAGAAGCAGGTCGTGTTCCATACTTAGTTTAAGATTCTCAGTGGTACCTGATCTGTAAACAAGTGCTGTATCGTCCGCGAAAGCAGACAATTGTCCTCTGAAACAGCCGTTGCATAGCTCATTTACGTAAATAAGGAATAGGGGTCCTGATAAAACTGAACCTTGTGGTATTCCGGTTTTTACATATTCTGTTTCACTGAGCTTCCCACAAACTCTCGTTTGTTGTGATCGACCAATTAAGAACGTACGGAACCATTTATAAGCAACCCCTCTGATTCCAGCATTCCATAATCGATTTAGTAGAAGTGTATAATCAACTGTGTCAAAGGCCTTCATTATATCTATAAATAATCCTGAACAATACTCGCCTTTGTTTAGTCCATTATATATTTCCTCAATGAAATTTAGGAGTGCATCTTCAGTGTTCGAGTTTTTTTTAAATCCAAATTGCTGTTTGCTAAAATAATCGAAACTATTTAGAAATTTCAGTAAACGATTTTTCATTGCCTTTTCAAATAGTTTTGAAAATACTGATAGGAGCGTGATAGGCCTATAATTATCTGTATTTTCTTTGTCTCCTTTCTTATAATATTATAATATTTCGATTAAGATATTGAAAGTCATTAAAAATCATAGAAATTAGCTTCTGACAATATATATACAAATTTTGATGAACACCTGAAATAAAGCTTGGACACCAATAGAACAAATCTGACTTGATAACTCTATCTTGGTTGCACAAAGGATTCAAATAAACACATTATTAATTGATTCACAATGACAAAAATTTATTCCAAAGAAAAGCTTGCAAAGCTTGTTTGAACATAATACCCCGCACGTAGGCGGTCGATAATTAAAATAATTAAAAATTAAAAAAGAACCAAAAATTATTTACAGGTTTTTTCTAATAATCCAAATCATCTAGTCGTTCAAGATTTGCGATAGTCAGGCGCATTTATTAGAAACACAAAAATACTCGCTGACAGCTTCAGGAAATTTCACTTTTTCTTTATTAAACTCAACTCAATGACTCGAAATAAGTAAGATAAAAAAAATTTCGGTGGCTGCTCGAACGATAGAAACTTTTAACTTTCACTAAGCGGACAACTGCTTTGTTTACTTACACTCAAACCAACTTTTTCTGAATATGGACAAACCCCAACGAACTGAGTCTTCAATTAAACAAAATGGGGCTCACTGCCCCAGATTTAGTTTAAACAAATTGACTCGGTCTTTGTACCGTCGCGAACACTAACAGCTAGCAGCAGCAGCATTGATTCCAGTATTAAAGGGAACCCCACTTCCACACCTTATCTCTTCTAACAACCACGTCCGATAAAATTCTTATCGCAAGCGACCAGAGGTGCCTTTCATTTCACGCAAGTACACGTTTTACAATTAAATAGGCAAATCTAAATACACAATTTATAAACGCGACAAATTTTTTAAAAATATCTTAACTTTTAAAATCTATGGATTTCACCCTATGGGAAACTTTTTTATTATAATTCTAACTGTTTTCTGACTAAAGGTAAGTTCATAGCTCTCCGTTCATACGTTTCCGTTTGTCCGTTAGCCAATCAGAAGACAGCAAATTTTTAAATCGTACGTCGTCCGTTTACGACGGAAAAGTTGGTTGAAGTTGAACATTTACGTTTCCGTTGGTCCGTTTTTAACAAGAGTGAGGTTATGTTTGGTATGTTAAAAGCGTTCGCCTATTCGTTCTTCACGGTAATAATCAGATAGCAATGTGTTCTTACTTTCGTATCATTTTCACATACTGAAAATCACGGAGGGTACACTACAAAATAAAGTTTAGGTTATGGTTATACTTGCAAATGTACAATGTGGACGGATTGCCATGAACCTTAACAAAACGTACTATCCGTTTGACGGATCAACACAACGGATGAACGGAGAGCTATGAACCCACCTTAACAAGTTGTTTTTTGGGGCTCATACCACAGGTTGAATACATACCAAATTCCAAGCTTGTATAAGTTCCCTGAACTAAAACCAAAACAGGATCATTTTGATTAAATCTTATTGTTTTTATTTTGTAGTCATTTGCCCGTTACCAACTCAACAATTTTGTTCCACAACTGATGGATAAATACGAATTTAATGATGATTTTAACGATACGGATACAATGCAGTAAGTGCTTTCAAATTTGTATTACGGTAAGTCGATAAAAAAAAAATGTTTGTTGCAGAACAATAATGGACCATCGAATGAACATGAACTTTGATCTTTCGGAGGGTATCACAGTTCAACCTCAAGAATTGTTTAAACAAGTATGTGCTCAAAATATTAGTACATTAGATGATGCAGATCAAATATTTGAAGATTTCATGAATACACTTGATCCAGGTCAAATATTAGAAGATATCATGAATAATAGCACAGCCGAGAAGCAAGTTGATAATAATTTCGGAACATATAACGTTGACAGCGAGGAGGAGGATGACTCGCCTCCCGTCGATGAGGACGACGCTTTTCTCAGGCTGGACGGTAATGTCAATGTGCATTGTGTTAGGTGTTACCATTACTGATTCATCGAATCAATGAGATCGATGATTTTTGACATGACTTGACTTGTACTTAACACCTGACTTTATTTGGAAAACTGTCAAACGCATTGTATCAGTCAGGTAGGACATGCTCTGTCATTTTGATGGCTTATCTGCAGAATCAACATGTACAGGGTGAGTCAACGATTGCGCGGAGTAACTTAATGCCTTGAAGATAAGATTTTTCGATAGAGTGCTTTTGTATTATGATATGGTTGAATATTCTCCACATTTTAAAAATATTTGGAATTATACAGGGTGCGCTCACAAAGTAGGGCGCCAAAATGGTACATTTTTTTAAATAGAACCCCCTGTATTTGAATGCATTTTTGAATTCTACGTGTAATTGTACGTCTTTTTTATTACATGGTCATTATCCGAAAAGCTAGTAATTTGATTTTTAAGAAAAATTAGGCATTTGCAAGCGTCAGTATATATTGTCAAAATTATTACTTAAATTTTGATTCCAGGTTTTATATCTTTTATCCTGGATAAAATGAAAGTCAAATAAATACATCTACTATGAAACATTAAAAAAATAACTTACAGGGTGTTTTTTTGGTAGGACCGAAGTTGCAAAACTTCATATTAAAAAATCTCACTTTTTTTAAATGGAACACCCTGTATATTTTTCTGTCATCTTTTAGCTCTTCCAAAAACCTTCAACTTTTGATAATAATGTCCTATACCTATTTCTGATATTTTTCAAAATATCTTGGTTTTCTTGGTTTTTATATTCTAATCTTAAATAAGTTATATGTAATTTACATAATAACGAGGTGGCCATGCAAAAAAAAGGCAATTTTTATCTGCTTCGTCCAAAGCTAAAATCATATTTATTTATTCATTTTTCGAATAATTCATTTAAGTCTAACTGGAGAATAAATTTGATAGTAAAAACATAAATAAATATCTTGGTTTTCCTAGTTTTTATATTTTAATCCGAAATAAGTTCTAATTTACAAAATAACGAGGTGAATATGAAAAAAAATGAAACTAATATCACTGACTGGATGATGATTAGGAGTTAAATTAAATTTGCTTTGTAGTCAAATGTTTTTACTTATTCTCCAGTTTTTGGACTTAAAATAAATTGTTTGAAAAATAAATTAATCGATATGAGTTACGTTTTGGACGAGAGAGATAAAAATTGCCTTTTTTTGCATGGCCACCTCACTATTATGTAAATTAAATATAACTTATTTAAGATTAGAATATAAAACTCAGGAAAACAAAGATATTTTGAAAAATATCAGAGATAGGTATAGGACATTATTATCAAAAGTTGCAGGTTTTTGGAAGAGCTAAAAGATGACAGAAAAATATAGAGGGTGTTCCATTTAAAAAAGTGAGATTTTTTAATATGAAGTTCTGCAACTTGGGACCTACAAAAAAAACACAAACATACACACAAATACAGGACAGGGCAATTTCTATTTAAAAAATGTACCATTTTGGCGCCCTACTTTGTGGGCGCACCCGGTATAATTCCAAATATTTTTAAAATGTGGAGAATATTCAACCATGTCATAATACAAAAGCACTCTATCGAAAAATCTTATCTTCAAGGCATCAAGTTACTCCGCGCAATCGTTGACTCACCCTGTATATAGCATCGTCTGTGTAGATGATATTTTAGCCGAAGATAACCTGTAGGGGACCTCGTAAGGGTCTTAAGATCCATCTTGCTAAGGGCGGTAACCTCCTTGGCTTTCTGCAACGAGACTTTGTCCCACTGATTTATGGACAAACAGTTGAAGTGAGGGTCCTATCCTCGTTTTCTGATTGGAATACTCCTTCACCCTTGCAAACAAAACCTTAAATAAATGCACCGCTGACGTGATCTTTGGAGCGCTTTTTTTGTGATTTTGAGTTAAATAGGGTGCAGAGGACGTACGTGAGGGACCTTAAACTTTCTAAAATTTTGGTCCACACATACGACAAGCCTTTTGGTGCTATGTAAAGACGTATTTTTTAAAAAATGGAAATTTGCTATTTTTTCTAGGTGGCGACATTATTTCGGAGAAGATGGTGCAATTTGAGGAATAGCTAATTTATATATACTTTTTGACAGAAAAGTTGACTCCGTTAACATAGGAAATCACTAATCCATCTGGTGGATGATTAATGGTTGAGTATATTGATTTCAAAATTATAAGTTATTTCTGGCCCTACACACACCAAGATACTAACTTCCTTTTTGCTAATTTGGGGTCATGTAAAATTCAAAATAAAATTAAATAACTTATGGACTCGGTTGCATAATAACGTGTAATGTACCCAGACCAGCTCAGAACTTTCACGCCCAAATTATCTGAACTCCAGGGCACATCTAGACAGAGTTAGATATCCTAACCTGAACAACAAAATACTGGGAGCACTAACTACGTCGTGTTTAAAAAGTCGCTACAAAATATGTGTTGCCTGTCGGAGTGAGGATCAAGTAAGGTACACAAGTAAAACGAGTACATTCGTTAAAAACAGAAATTTAATCAAAATAAATTACATTGCAAGAATAAAATTAGAAAATGGTAGTTCACAGAATAAAAAAAATAGGTCCTGAAAAAAAGAACTCCCCAAGAAAAAACCAGCCAAAAACTTAATATTGTTGGTCTCGTATTGGGTAATAATATGTACACGTTACAGAACTCGCACTTTATTAAGAGCTAGAACATAAACTATATACACATATGTACAACAAAACAAAAGTATATGGGGTTCGTGAGCTAAGAATAAATGTCTATGTACACGTCACACACTGGTAACGGCGCACTTGTATTTGATTCCACGATCGCCCTTGTTCTTACAAGAAAAAAGCAAGGGGAAAGCGGTGGTAAAGTTGTTCTGAACGTTTATGCTCAGATGCGATCTTGCGAGAGAAGATGCCAATGGAAGGGTGGCGAAGTTTCTTATACTAGTCGTGCGTATTTGCAAGTGGTAGGTTTTCAGGTGTCGTCCTCTAGCGCGGGGTTAAAGTAGTGGGTGCGCGGGCATCAACATCTTGGGGTAGATCGCGCGCTCCGTACTCTCGCGGCTGCTGCGGGTTATTCGTAAACGGGTGCCTGTAAGGTTTGGCGCGTCTCTGTTTTGGCGGGTGATTATATTAGTAATGGTGGGCGTAACAATATTAAATTTTATAACAAAATTAATTGTTTCTAATGACGTGAATGCATATTAGAGCGGTTCTCAGGAAAATTAATGAAATGTTGAATCATAGGCTCTACTGGAATTCCTAAAGAATTAATATTTGACACCAACAACATAAAAAGAACAAACAATAATAAAGTCACATAGTTTGGGTGGCCAGCCCAAATATCCCACACATGACACTGAGTTGTCTTTAGTTGCTCATGGTTCAACAAGAACCAAACAAATATCAATATGTCATAACATGTTGATCTTGTATGAAAGTGACCTCTCAACAGAGCATTTCACACAGGTACATCTGCGTAACTTGAGGCAAGGCTTACCTAGAAAAATACAATAACATTAATTTAACAAATAATACAACACACTCATGACATAACTTCGTATTTACTCTGTGCAAGAACTTAAGATGTAGTGATTACTGGTTTCTGCAGAAGTAAAAACATTATTTTATCAAGAAGAAGAATATTAATTACAACTTGGTTGTGTCAAAATAAAATATCTTATCTTTGAACTCTGGCCGCAGTCGTCTGAATTCAGAAGGGTGCTGTCTGCCAATAATCTGCAATCAGATAAAAACACAAACCAAGAAAAAGGAGTATTTACAGCACAGAATATAAATTGCAAGAATAAAATTAACGTTTGACACGTCAAGAAACTGAACTTGCAATTAACACTTAACGACGAATTCAAGTTAGAAAGCAAGAACAAAAAGCAAAAAAAAAAACAGAGTTACTTCTACTAGGAGTCGACATAGATGTGACAGCAATGATCGAATGAAGCATTAAAGAGGCGGTTGTAAGCAGCATGAGTAGTATACACGGTGGTGACTTTCGAAACGCATCATAGGGATTTCAATGTAAAATTCATAACATGCGATTATTGGCTCCCCAAATTATTTTAGACCAAAAATGTATTAAGCTTTTTTTTTTAGAAAAAATTTTTTTACATCAATCAACCGTATTGGTTTTCAATTTTTTGCATAATACAGACGGAAAATTTGAAAAATAATCAATAATCTTTGATGCCATGGAATTTTATAATACAAAAACTACACCAATATCCGCCATGCCATGGAATGTCTGCTATAAAACAAATTAAATTCTGTCAAAAAGCAGGTATATTTAGAACAGCGAATTCAACATAAAGACCAAATTACTAAAAACGGTTTCCTAATATAAATTCCATGGCATCGCAGATTATTGAAAAAGATGCGGGTTTTATTTTTCCAATTTTCCGTCTTTATATGAAAAAAATTGAAAACTAATACGGTTGATTGGCGGAGAACATTTTTTCCTACAAAAAACCTTAATACATTTTTGCTCTAAAATAATTTGGGGAGTCAATAATCGCATGTTATGAATTTTTCATTGAAATCCCTATGATGCGTTACCCAAGTCACCACCCTGTATAGTATGTTGTACCTATATTCTTTATTTTCTAGAACATGAAGAAGTACATATTTAGACCACTTTGAAGCTCTATATCTTTTTTAATAAATATTTCACAAATAAGAAATTCATGGATTTTAGGGGTGGTTCGGCGGAGACATAGTGGGTGGGACGTTGAAAACTCTCTGTGGCATGCAGAAAAGTTTCTAAAGTGTATGCCTTGACATTTGACAATACTGGACTTGACAATCGACTTCAAAGCGAGTAGCTTGAAAATCAAGTCAAATAATAAATAGCGTGGTGGTTTTACAGGTCAATTGGCGGGAAATAGTGAATCGGCGGTCGCGCCGATCAGTATGGGCAACGTTTGGAGTAACAACGAGAAAACGGCGGCCGACGCCGACAATATCGGTTGGGCGAATTTCAGTTCGGCGTCGTTCGACAACTTCGAGGCGAACTTTGAAAACGCGACGGACGACGCTCAGCGGGCGGTGGCGACGGACATTAAAGTGGAAAATCTCAAGTTAAATAGCAACGAACCCGATTATTTCGATAGTAAGGGGTTCGCTCAGATGCTTAAGGAGGCGTTAAGTCCCCTCGCGAGTTCGATCGAGAGCCCCTTGAAAGACATTCCAGAATCGGAGATTCAGCACACCAATAAGGAACTTAGGTTTGATAATATTATTGTTTCTTTAAATCAGTTTTGTTAAACGTTTTCATGTGCCACAGCTCAAATTGGGGTTACATTTGTTCCAAAAGTTATCAGATCGTATCCAAATGGAAGTTTTGTATGTTGTGAACGCCTCATTTCTTAAGGAGATTATAAAAGAAAGTTTCTTGCGTCATGGCTGATATGCGTATTACTGGTTAATTTTTATTTAAACGTCAAACCAAATAAACAAAAATGTCAAATTACGTTCCAGATCTGGAATATGGGTGTTTCAGTAAAAAAAACAGTTGCCAAATTCTTGACAGAACAGCTTCCTAGCTCAATACGAAAATAGCGCTTTTAGAAGAGTGTCTAAAATAATAAATAAATAAATATAAATAATATAATAAAATATATAAATAAATAAAAATAAATGAATAAAATAATTTAAAAAAATAATAAGTTAGACAAAAACGTATCCCACGAAAGTTTATTACCACCGTAAATCGTATTTATTTTTGTTTATGCAATTCTATTGTTATACTTGGAAAAAAATAAAGTTTACCCCTTAAATGAATAATTCTACTTAGATCGTGATGATAGGTTATTTTTAATGATACATTCTTTCCTAAATACGAAATTCGCGTGGCGTTTGCATCTATTTTTGTGTGCTCTTTTTGTAAAAAAAAAGATTCCACATTGTTTCCCTTAGAAGAGTAGCTTTTTCGACAACAGCCATAGCACGTTGAAAACACCAGTTCTTGTCCGATCACTGAAGTTTAGCAATCTAGGGCGCGGTTAGTACTGAAATGGGTGACCGCGTGCCGTTGTCTCTTTTTTTTTAAATTTTGCTCATGTTTGTCTATTAATTTAGTCTTGGCGAAAAAAAATATTTTAGTTTTATAACTTTGACATTTTTTTTCTCAGTTTTTTTTGTAATAAAACCTAGCACAATTTTTATAGGTTGTACACAGAAAAATAAGGTCTTTCGAGTAGCTTAAAAAAATTTGAGGTTGCTATTCGGAAAAAAAAAGTTCGATGCCGTTGCGGCGCTCCAAAATTTTTTTTCAAAAATCCGGCTCGTTATTTTTCGTTTCAGTATGTCTAAGGTCCAGTTCACACTGAACGGACCTGTGGCGGAGACGTGACGCAAACAAACCACATTGAGAAGGCGAGATTGTGACATGAAATATCGTCGCACATCGTGATTCGTGGTTCACGTAAGTACTGACTTGGAAGAGACACGCCACTAGCGACTTGGAAGAGACGTGGCGGTGGCGGGAAGGCGGCTGACCGTGCCACGTCGCGTCAGTGTGCGATACATCCTTTGTTTGCATTGGACAGCGCGGAGAGGACATAAGTGTGCCACGTCTGCGCTACGCCTCCGCCACAGGTCCGTTCAGTGTGAACTGGGCCTAATATACTGCTGCGTGCACTGGTAAAACGTACACAAAACACCAAAACAAAACCCTCGCTAGCTCTTACCCTTTACCTATCACGGAACAAAACTTCTCCTCAGCACAGAGGAGAGATTCGACTCTGCTTTCAGTTAACCTGTTAACTTTTAACAGTTGGTGGGTTAGACCAAATACCTTAAATTCCAAGCGATTTAATTTTAACACACACAAGGAAAATGATACAAAAACAATTATTACACATAGACAAAAATTAAAACTTAATAACTTACATTACATGTCCGGGAATTGTAATCCAAATAACAGATATCCGTACACAAAACACAAAATTACAAATTTCAATTGAACAATTACACTTTGAACACACGTTGAAAACATACTCATGGGGGCGCCGACAATTTCTTTTCTTTGAAGCACCATATTAGATGGTCGAAACTTTACGACACTCCTCCTGCGCGAACAAACGTGAAACGTAGAATAATAACTAGCCGCGAACTCGGTTTCCGGCTTTACAAACGGAACTTCTTCTCTCTTCAAACTTAAAAAAAAACGTAATACTGCCCTGACTCTTGGCTTAAAAGCTGATTTCAATTTCAATGACGTAGTTCTGCTCAGAAATGTGCATAAAGCGAATTAAATCTTCAACAAGACGTAACTGCGTAAACTGTGCGTACAGCGAATTTTAAATTGATCGCACTTGGGCCTTGAACTTGGCTCAAAAGCTGATTTCAAACTTCCAAACAAACGTAGTTCTTCGTTGACTGTGGCTAAAAGCGACGCTATCCCTGTGCAAATCCTATTTAAGGCGAAACCATGCTTCCGAAAAATCAAAATTATAACAACGAATCATACACAGTTGACAACAGAAAATATCCCCTCGATCTACGTTAAAAGACCAAAATAATAGAGGTCGAATAATTTTACTAAACAAATTCTTATCAGACATTAATACTAGGAAAAATAAAAATTCATCTCTTAACTACACAGAAAAGGCGATAAATCACATACACCTGTCAATTAAATTAAGCATTTACAATTGATAACAGATAAAAGCAAACAAAATTCCCGGAAATTCTACGTTAAATAAAAATAAAATATAAACAAAAACAACCTTGACCGCTTTCTCGTATGACAATAATAATTTCCATGTCGTTACAATAGAAATAGACCAATGACAAATTAAAAAATTTAATTATGAAAGTTAATTACATAAGAAGTAGACCGCCCTTGTCCATCTTAATTATGATTTCCGAAATTTCATCCTGCCAGACGAAATAACACAGCAATACATATCCAAAATTTGAACAAAATCCGTCGAGCCGTTACTTCGGAAAATTGCCAACGTACGAACGTACGCACATACATACAGACGGAAAAAAATTTCATTCTTTAAAAGTTGCTTAAAATGATCTAAAACGTTGACATTCGATGAAATTTTATAATAATAATAATGCCATTTATTAATCACGTACAGTTATTTTTACGATAAAACATTCTTTACTATACATATACTATGTACGCAACTAAAAGGGCGAAGTTCAGTTGCTAGTGACGAAATTCGCCCACAAGCCCTGCTCTACTACTTAACCCTTACTATAATTTTACATCTTATAACTATGAATAATGAACGTAAAATTACTGAAAAATTATAATTAAAACCATTTATCTTGTACGAGTGCAAAAAAAAACAAACGTAATATCGTATTTGGATCCAATAAATACATTAGTCATTGTTGAAAGATAAAAAAATAAAATGATAAAGAAAATTTCTATTGAAAGAGGAAAAAAAGAAAAAAAGACAAAAAAAAACCAAACAAGAAGCGTATTCTGTAACAAATGATGTCCAAAAAACAGTGATCGCAATAGCCACCTAGCTTAAGCTAGGAAGCTAAAAATCCTACAAACATTCTTATTTGGTCACCTTGTACAATTAAGAGCATTTGTCATTGATCGTTTGCCTTTTGTATGTACAATTTTTTTTTATTTATTTAGATCGGCCGAAAAGAAAGATGTAGATAATCGAAGTAGTCCGAACGTCCCGACCCACGAGCCCGACGACAAGTTGCGGGAGCAACACGGAGACATATGAGCAAAAAGCGACATATCACTTTAGGAAGTGCTGAGATTGTAAGTGCGAATATTAGGAACATTTCCATAAGAATTTTGTAACTCTTACCTTTATTAATTGGCCATCACATTTAAAAGTGCGAATTTAAATTTTTTACCCATAACTCGTCCCCGTATTATTATTAAATTAAAAACTCCTAGTTGAATACTGTTGTTTATTTATTGCAGTTTATTTAAGATTGTGTATACAAAAGGAAAACCAGTGTAGGAAATATTTATATTTTTATTAAATAATTTGTATGACACCGTCGTGTGAATACCTAATAATTCAGTGCAACTTTTTTTGAAGTACAAATCTATTAATCGGCAGTCAGGCTAGTGGATAGCGTTGTAAAGTTTCTTTTAAATGCGGATGAATGGATACACTGTTAATTTGTTGTCTTGTCGCATACATATTTTGGGTGGTCTTACGCATTTCGACATATCTATGAAGAGGCAATTTCGATTTTCAAAAGTAGAAATCGTTTTTGAATTGAAAACGCTAGAAGATTAAGCCTGTAGAGTTTATAATTTTTTTGTTGTGTAAATGTATAAATGTGTTTATTAGTTAAGCGTAATTGTGATAATTTGAAAGTTTGGTGGTGTATCTATATAAATTATATGAAAAGAGGGAAACATCGGTCTAATTTACCAATCGTTCAATTACCTTTATGGCACAAGTCGAAATTTGATAAAAGGTTCACTATTTTTTCTAAATATTCGTAAGGGTTTATGTGTTGTACCGCATTTAGTAGAAACTTGTTTTTTGTTTTTATAACAAAAGAATTTATTCGATAACAAGTGTGGTGATGGTGCTGAAAATTCTAAAAAATCATTTCAAAATTTGGATCATCTCAGAGTGATTAGGTTATTTAAGCGAGTCTTGTTTATTTTTAATATACCAAGTAAAGTTACCGTTATTGATGAGGCGTTTTGGTTCTGAGATGTTACATTTTGTGTTCCATCAGTATTTTAATGTGATCAATATGAAATTGTATATGTACGCAATCGTAGAATTACTTCATTGTGCCTGTAAATGCAATCAGAACATAAATTCGATATTTATGCAAATTGTATCATCATCGATTAACTGTATGGAATCCTAGCTTGGATGAAAATACTTAAATATAAGCTCATCAACTGTTAAGTATCAATAGTCGGACAGTTCTTTCGTGTAAGTACAAAGATTATTTCCATGTAGTACGACCAATATGTTTTATAAATATTAATTGTAAGTCTCATCATTTCGACGTTCTCAATTTGAATCCGACTGTATAACTAAAACTTCTGTGATTATATATAACGTGACAAAATTACTTATCACATCATTTTACTTTTGTTAAAATGTACATTCAATGTACATTCGTACAGTGCCTAGGCATAATTACGTAATTGTATATTTTTAAAGCATCCACTTGTTAATAATATTTCGTTTTCATGTACATTTCGGTTCTAATAAAAATTTTGACATAGTCTTTAATGTGCATTTTATTTTCACAGGACACCTGATATATTTTTAAGACTTTTTTTAATTTGAATTACCTCTGATATGATCTTCTTTTCATTTTGATTTAGAAATGTATTACAGAAATGGTTCCAGGAGTTTCTAGATTGAGTGGTAGCAACAGTTGAACGTTTAGGTCTTGAAATCGCCTATTTTTTCCTTTACTTTTACATGTGTGTTAATAAAGATATTATCTTTATTATTATTGTGATAAGTTTGTGGTGCTACCGTCCATTAATCTTCATCAAATAGCACAGACATGTTCAGTTTACATCAATGATCCTGCCTGTTTGCTTCATTAGATGTATATTAGACATATTTTGAACCTATTTGGTTTGTATATGGAACAGTAGTCAATAAAGGGGATTCTCTTATTTGCTGAGATACAAAAAATTGACAAATATAATTTTATATGTGGCATTACGATCTGTCTGATTGCATATTCAAATTTCCGGTTTAACCTGAAATCGATGCAACTTTGCTTTTTCAAAGGTAATGTCGATGTTTTTTTTTACGATATTTAAAAAAATGAATCAATTTTCTGTATGTATGAGTCAAAGTCAAAACCTTTTGCGATTCAAAACAGTGAGACCTCTGGTGGTAGCACATTGTAATTACGATTGGTGGGATAACACCATTTTGTTTATTTACAATGGGCAAAAGTAAATATTGTAGTTTTTATGGCTGTAAAAGTAACTACACTTGCAAAAATTTAATTTGCTATCGATATAATTACACCTTAAAGAGCAAGGATAGTTAAAAACGTCACATTTTATCATTCATGTTACTTTCAAGAAATTTAAATGTGACCAGTGCAATTATGCAAGCGAACTAAGGATAATTTAAAAAAAAGTCGTCTAACGCATAACATTGCAAAGCTTTTAATTGTGAACAGTGCAATTACACAACCAACAATAGGAGAAATGTACGCCCTTCTTTGATCCACTCCACTTTATTTAATAACTTAACTCATGGAGATTTTGTTTTGCTATGTCATTTCATTTGAAAAGTATAAAATAAAATCTGATACACCAATGTAATCAGGAAAAAGAATATAAAAACTGACGTTAAAATATACAGGGTGTTGCATTTAAAAAATACCAACTTTGGGTCATATCTCCCATCTACAAAACACCCGTCCAGCTATAGCTTTAAATTTAGAAATGAATAATCTGAATATTGAAATTGAAAGAAATGTTCATTAACATTTGACATAATTCTTGGACACGAAAAGAAAAATCTGACATGAAAAACTACCCGGGTCGCACAATGGATTCGAATAAACACACAATTAATTGATTGCTAATGACAAAAATTTACTGCGAAGCACATGAAAGAAATAAAACAAAATCCATGAAATAAAGAAAAGCTTAAAAAGCTTGTTTGGACATATTACCCCGTACGCAGGGCAAATAATCATGTCGGACAAGGTTTGCGATAATAGGCGCAGTTAACTCACACACAAGCGCTGACTACAGCTTCTGGAAACTTCCCTTGTTTTTGACAACACTGAACCGCCGCCGCCTCGTTTTCTCGCTGTCTCTAGTATATAACGAAACACCACTTCCACCATAAACTCTTTCTTTATGAATTTTCAAATAAATCGCCAATCGCAATGGAACGCGCCAAAACGTCCTCAGTTCTCCAACATGACACGCGCAACGTCTGCACCTCCTCATCAGTAGCAGAACACGTGCGTTAATCAAATTTCGCCTGATAATAGAATTCCTTATCGCAAACACCTTTAAATTGAATAATTTACCAAAGCGATAAAATTTAAACGGAAAATTAGGCATCTCAGCTAATAAATTGAATTAAATTCTCATGCATATACAGGATATCCCATCATTATTTTTGGTATTTAGACCGAACTAACGCCTCCATGACATTGTTTACACAACAATATGTTTGACTTGGAATTTTAATGGAACGTGTGTGAAACATACATTACAAATGTACGCAAATTTACAAGGCTAAATCATTTACATTTACTACTCTCTGCCTTTCTCTATCGCGTGAGTTATTCCCTTATTCTATACACAGAAAAAAAAGGAATAAACCTTATCCTCACTTTTTTCATGCATATTTGACGACCTATCACAAAAATTATTTTTAATTCAAAATAAGTTACTATAATTACTTAAAAGAGAAATTCTTTATTAACTAGCTTCTAGCGAGTTTATAGTTTTGCGGTGTCTGTCCGTCCTTCCGTTAGCACAATAACTCATAAACGAATGGACCGATTATTGTAATTAAATTGACACGTAATTGTGACAAAACGAATATTCGTATATCATGGAAGTTTTTTCAATACCGAATAATAAAGCAATAGGTATACAATGCTATCAAAAATGAGTTGCGGTCAAGTCACCTTTGGAATGTTTGTTTACGTGGGAAATCGTACTTAACTTGAATTTCCAAAGGCGACTCGACTGATTTCCTGTTATTATATTGGTGTGTTCTCAGCATATTCAGAATATGCCAGACGAACGTATGTATTCATAGACCATTCTATGGATATTTGAAATATATATACCTCTTCTAGCCATAGACATATGAGTACCTAGCATGTTAAAAGAATATTTAAATATCCAATGTTATCTGGGATAGATACAGTAACTATACTGTATTCATTTTAAGAAGGTAGCGGTAAAAAGCTAAGGGAAGCTTTGACCTTCACTGTGATTGGTTAAAACACGAGTCAGTATTACGCTGAAACATAAAACGAGTGGCGAATTTTGCAAGCGGTTAGTATCTATTGTCAACTCAACTCTTGAAGTGTCATTAGCTGTTAATGTCAAAGATTTATTTCTGTTTGCAGTATTGGATATTTCTACTTTAAAATAATTTGGTGCCGTTTTAAATTTTTCCTGTGTGTGCTAGTCTTCAAGCACAGCGCCATCTACTACCTTCTTATAATGAATGCAGTATAGATATAGGTACTTTTGAAGTATCTAGTAACAAATCTAGATACATTTAAAAACACGAACGATCTCTGTAACTAGATACATTTTTCATTGTATCTGGGCGTCTTAAATATTTAGGTAATTTTTTTTGTTTTGTACAGGGTGAGTCAACGATTGCGCCTTGAGGCTTTTGCATTATGATATGGTTGAATATTCGCCACATTTTAAAAATATTTTGAATTATACAGGGTGCGTCCACACAGTTGGGCGCTAAAAAGGTACATTTTTCTGAATGGAACCTCTTGTATTTTAATGCATCGAAAAACCTCATCTTCAAGGCATAAGTTACTCCGCTCAATCACTGTAATTAAGCGTTCGCCCGCAGACTGGTATCTCGGATACACCTGTAACATGGCGTCTTATGGAGCCACGCATACTTCTAGCATACAGTATCGGCGATAAATTTCAGACTCGCTAGTCCTAGTCCTAGCGATCGATTACACAAATTTAATTTAATCAATGATATATCAAACCTAAGTTCACTGCGTGTTTTTCAAAATCATTTCTATTTAGCGGTTTGTAAAAATATCCACTACCTGGCTCGATCCCTCGATGTGCTTGTAACAGAAATCCTCAGATTAAGACGCATTCTAATTATTACTTTGGTAAAAACTACTTGCGTATTTTCTACTGTATGTTCTACGGAAATAACACGTCACTGAATTGTCGGGAATGTCAATTGTACTGCGGATGATCGGTATTCTACTGTTGGCTATCTCTCTCACATATGTTGGCACCAGTTGGCACAGATTCAGTGGTTGTAGGAAATACCTATGGAACAATACAGTTTGTCTCAGGTAACAGAGAGAAATGGCAATGTACTTTTTCGCTAAGGATTCACTAGACCTTTGAAATGAACGTTCAACGTACTACTTCAATCTCTTTCTACATAGCATCAGGCAAGTGCAATAACTTCAAATACATATCAAAGGCCTCGTAGATCCTTCACGAAAATATACATTCATTCTGTTTCCCTATGGTGCGTTCTTCCTGGGACATATGTTTTAATGGCCGTATGCACCGATAAATTTAAGCGAGGCTTAGCTTAAGCGTAGCTTATAATCCATGGCAAACGATTATTGCAACAATGGTTGCCATGGATTTTAAAGCAACGCTTAAATTTGTCGATGCATACGGCCATAAGTATATCAGATATTATATAGCATCCTTGAGCATAACCCAATGTTTACAAAGCGCTCCCACCTATACACGCCATTTGTAAATTACACCGGCCCTCTAGTGTTAATAACACTACAGCAAAGTTCTTAACACCAACATAGCCAGTTGCAAATGTATGCAAAATGTGTATTCTGTATAATTTTTGCTTCCTGTATGTGGAAAAGAATTGCATATTTATTTAAAAACAATGAAAACCTAACCTTCTTAATTAGCACATTTAAATAGTATTCGAAGTTATTCTTTTGGTACATTCCCAACATTATTAATAATAATGAAATTGATAACTCACAATATGCTTACATCAAAATGCATGAAGGGAGTTACCGTTGGATATCCTTTAAAGATACAAGTAGGAACAAAATTTCAACAAGAATTACCTTACATGTTATTTATAGGCAGTCGACGTGAAAACGTCGGAGGTAGAGTTTAACCCAGAATTCATATCACGTTTAATACCAAAAGTCGACTGGAATGTGCTTTGTGGTGCTGCGGAAAGTATAGGCCATCTCGACGACTTACCGAAAGAACTTGTAGAGAATTATGAGAGCGACGTGGAGTTTTTAAAGAAGGCGCATAGAGTTTTATTAGAAATTGATATTGTTAATGGAGAATTAATATGTCCAGAGACAGGTCGCAAGTTTCCTATTAATAATGGCATTCCAAATATGTTGCTTAACGAGGATGAAGTTTAAATCTATTTTTGTTTCTAATTACGTAGGTAGATTGTTCCCTCAGTTGTACCTAAATCTTACACTACTGTAGAGTCTTAAGCAAATATTAATAAACTGATGGTATGAAACTATCTACAGTAAGTACTTTTTAGTAGTTTCTGAGACTTCGATTTGCATACCTACAGACTTATGAGGCGGTTTTGCTAGCTCATTTTTCAATCGCCCTTAAAACTAGTGGATTTTCTATGAATTTTAAAAGTAAGATTACAACCTTTGCTACATTTGTTGGTAGTTTGTCCATTGTGCTTCTAGTAGGTAGTATTTGCACCGTCTCACTAGACACATTTTAAATCTTTCAAAGGTGCATGGAATTTATGATTTGTTGTGAATCACACTGGACACATTGTAATTCTTAATCGATATCGTGTGTTTTTAAATAGTAGTTATAGATAATTGCGAAATGGCAATGGGCACACTAAGAGTAACTTGTCAGCACTTTTTTGCAAAAATATCAAGATAAAAAAAAGTTGCAATTTCTTTATTGTTCTTATAAAATAACAAATTATTAAATATGCAAATATAACCACCGTTGAAAATGTAGGTACATAATTAAATACAGTCCCAATCATTCCACCAGTAGTGGAAAATTGTTAAAAGTGTGAATACAAATGTCTTTTGAAACTACATTTGTTATTGGTTGCGTACTCGCATAGCGAACATTTGAGATCCATAGAAGTGTTGTGGATTAACAGATGTGTTATTAAAGTGGATCTATAACGTGTTGAAAATTCACAATGCGGACATTTTAAATTCTTGGAGGTCTTGTGTGTTAAAAGATGCCTTTTTAGATGGTATTTGATATTGGTAGCATAATCACATTCGGTACATTTTAAGTTCTTGGAAGTTGCATGTATTACCACATGATTTTTTAAATAGTGTTTGTTATGGGTAGCATAATCACATACGGCACAATGCAAATTCTTGGAGGTCGCATGCATTAAAAGATGATTTTTTAAGTAGTATTTGTTATTAGTAGCGTAACTACATTGTGCACATTTTAGATTCTTGTTGGAAGATGTGTGCCTTAACAGATGTTTTTTTAAATACCTTTTGATATGGGTAGTGTAACTACACTGAAAACATTTGAAATTCGTGGAAATCTTATGTTTTAACAGATGAACTTTTAAATTGCGGTCGTTTTTGGTTGTGTAACTACACTGGGAACATTTGTAATCCTTAGAAGCCATGTGTGTTAAAAGATGATTTCTTAAATAGTCTTTGATATTGGTAGTGTAGCTACAATGAAAACATTTGAAATTGTTGGAAGGTTTATGTATTAATAGATGACTTTTTAAATAGTATTTGATGTTGGTAGCGTAACTACACTGTGAACATTTGAAAGCCTTGGAAGTCTTGTGTGTTAAAATATGATTTTTTAGATGGTATTTGTTATTGGTAGCATAATCACATTGGGCACATTTTAAATTCTTGACAGTGGCCTGTGTTCTGGAAGTTGTGCATCTTAACAGATGTGCTTTAAAATGGTGTTTGTTATTAGTAGTGTAAAAACATTGGGCACATTTTAAATTTTTGGAAGTTACTTGGTGTTTTAACATATGTTTTCTTAGATAAGATTTGTTATTGGTAGCGTAATAACATTGGGCACATTTTAAATTTTTAGAAGTCAGGTGTGTTAAAAGATGATTTTTTAAATAGTCTCTGTTATTGGTAGCGTAACTGCATTGGGCACATTTGAAATTCTTGGAAGTCTTGTGTTTTAAAAGATGACTTTTTAAATAGTATTTCATATTGGTACTGTAACTACAATGAAAACATTTCAAATCCTTGGAAGTTTTATGTGTTAACAGATGACGTCTTAAATAGTATTTGTTATTGGTAGCGTAATCGCATTGGGCACACTTTAAATTGTGTCTTAACAGATGTATTTTTAAATAGGATTTTAGATACGTTGTGTAATGGCAGTAAGCACATTTCAAAATTGTTGAAGCGTTTGGTCCTTCTACATGCCGAATATTCTTATGCTTTTGCGATACGTCGCCTACATAATCGGGTTTTTGAAACGCATTACTTTGCTCTTCCCAGCTACCAGTAATATTAGAGTAATCTGTACTAAATCCAATGTCCTTATGTTCCTGTTTTATACTAATTGTCAAAACATCATTGGTAAGAAAAATCTTTTGATCGATGAATGCATTTAGTTCTTCTTCTTTTACTTCAACTTTTACAACTGCAGCCATCACAGAACGTAACTGTAACATTTATGTCATTTAACTAATAAGTAACTTTAACATAGTACCTACCGCAATCGAAAAGATGTAAATAAACCATATATATATAAAAAATATAGCTATATATCAAATAAACTTACGGAACTTTACCAACGTAAGGTGTAATGAACCGTCTGTGTCTCAATAAACTACTTAGGGGAGTTTAATCACAGCCGTCTATAATTACAAGCCATGCTAACGTTGTTCGAAAGTCGCCGATTTAAATTTTAATGGCGGCGTCTTCTTGCTCTTGTAAAACGGCATTTTTCCTCTCTCCTGTGTTTCGCCTTGGTGGTTTTAATACAGAAGAAAGATACTTAGGCAGCTTACAGTTGTACATATATTTTATTTATTTACAAATATTTGACTTTAAAATTCGGAACCCTGTAAATAGGAAATCGGCCTACCACGCAGTGTTGCCATGTCCGCAAAGGTTCAATAAAATAAGGTTTTATGTCTAGATTGAAGTATACCGGGTGGTGACTTCATGACTTGAACAACGCACGAACTCTTCAAAAAGAGGAAATTCAATTGTAATTTTTTCATTTCTGATTACAAGTTTCCCCAATTATTTTAGAGATAAAGTCTACTTAGGTGTTTGGTAGAGAAACAAATTACGAATCCATGCATACTATAATAGCTTTTCAGTTTTTGAATTTTGAAACCAAAAAATTGAATAACTAAAAAAAACTGGCGCTTTTCAGAAAATCAGCGATGGCATCAGTTTGAGATTAAACAAAGCTAACTAATGGCTAATGCAGGCGCTTTTGTTTGATTTCATAATTCCATGGCATTACCGACTTTATAAACGCGACAGTTTTTAATTTTTGATAATCAGACATTAAAAAATTACTACTGAAATTCCTATGTCGCGTTCGTCAAATCACCACCTCGTATAGTAATAATAAGCCTGTGTGATTTTTTTTTAGTGAAACGTTTCAGAAAATGCGCCGCCTTGTGAGTAAAATGTGGAATTACGTCAGATTTTATCTACGAGTAAAAAATAAAAGGAGAGAACCTTGCATTAAAAGGGGACTTGACGGAAATGGACCAAAAGGAAGTGATAAAAGTGCGAGAAGAGTGGGGAGAAACGCATCATTATTGGCAGTGGTGTAATAAAACACAGCTAACATCGTCTCTTTCTGTTTTATGATAAGTCAAGTCGACATAACTGACCAGCGCAAAGGAAGTGATATTTTGACGACTTCCGTCTCTTGTTATGCTATTTCCCACCACCGTTATATTCTCTCCTCTTATTTTAACTCTTAGGATTTTATCTTCTGGCTGTTTCTACCCACAGTTTTTTTAATGTGCGCATTCCGAACAATAATTTCCGTTATACAGAGTGAGTGACTAAAAAAAGTGTTGTGTTCCCAGAGACATGGAGAGAGGAGATCGCTGATCGACGAGTGCGCATCCAAGAAAGGGTGCGACCTCATGGGCGCTGCCATTTTTACACCCGTTGTGTCATGTTGTGTTTATAGTGGTGTTATTTTAGATTGTGTTCGTGTTTAGGAGAGCTTTTTTCGAGGTTTAAGTGTTTATTTTGTAACGTCAACGTCACTGGCATTTTCTTTTGTTCATTTGGATTGAGATATTAGTTTCTTCCTACGGAGCTGCTGCCGAATAGAGTGTAGTGTATGAAGATTGCGTTAGATGTCTCTGGGTTGCGTCAGTAAACCTTTATAGTCCTGTTCAAATTTCGCGCTTCAATGGGTGTCAAAATGGCAGCCCCCTTGTTTTGTCACTTCGCGCAGTTTCATCATATATATAAGAGAAGTATATGGATAAACGAGTGGACACGCCTATCGCCAACGTTAGTGGATGGAAATATACTTCTGTCATTAGTTGGGAACTAGGCGCTAATGCGCGTGCCTGTTATTATGTAGTGTTATTTACCAAGCATTTACTCCAGTTTGACATAACGGATTGAGGTTAAATTGTTTGTTTTGTTTATGAGTTATTGAACTTTTGTTTAATTTTAATTTTAATAGTAAAGAAGCCTTTCGTAGTTATATAAATCAGTATACGTAAGTGATACACAATAATTGTAAAGGAATACCTAATGTTTGGCAATTTTAGTGTGTTCATTACTTAGAAATAAAGAAATGCAGGTACTTGTGGGAAAGTGGATTCTTCGGTTTCATGGCACAAGTAAGTTACAATGCAATTATCTGCAATCAATTCATTTATGCCCTACTTGTTATTAGATTCCCAAGTGAAAAAAGCAACAAGAATCGGTGACTGCAAGCATGTGAACTATCGGAATTCGATGATGTAAAAACAAGGTTGTGTTCTCGTCATTTTAACCGCTATGACTGCATTGATTTGGATGCACGCAAGCATGATGGGGGCACGAAGTTATATGGGGGTCACTTAACACCTAAAAGATTTCCAACTCGACAATGTTAATTTTATTTTAAAATCAGTAAATGTCTTTAATTTAATTGTGTTTCTTTGAACATTGGTAATGTATCACTTTATATTATAGCTGATGCAAACTTATCCAATTTCATGTTATATTCAAGATATAATCCCTATAGGTATATTATTTCAATTGCAATTTAAGTTTCTAAATCGTTACAAAGTTTGCCTTCGAAGTTGAAGGGTGTAACTGTAAACAAACTCCGCTGAGGAAGCTCGAAAGTTCTCCGTGAAAATGCTACAGTTTCCAAGCAGAACGATACGGAGTACTTTGAACCAGAACGCACTGGGGGGCACGTGAGCGCTGATTTGAGTTGGCAGTGAAATCATTCAAGTAGGCCATTGACTGCAGGTCCCGAATCCTTGTGTGCCGAAAACAATGTTGAGGGCACAAAAAAGGGAAGATTCAAATTGTCGTCGTCCCTCTCGGTGAAGATGCAAGTAGGGGAATCGAAGCGATATAGTCAACAGGTAAGAAACGTTTCGGCGGCGATTGGTCTTGGGAGGGTGGGCCTCGGCCAGCTAGTATACTTATCTAAAGACATCACAGGATCAGACAATAGTGATAGGAGTCGGCAGGTGGAATGGGGCCAATGTGGTGAATATGAACTTGCATGAAGCGAATAGAAGTCTGGGTGAAGTTTCCGAATGGTGCGTGGTTGTGTTTACATATGGTAATTGCACACAATAATGGTTTAATAAAATTTTAACCCTATTTTCGAGTTATAGGTTATGAAATTTGAAATTGGCGCTACTTAAAAGTAGGCGGAGAGAAGTAAATATTTACTTGGGGAGTTTGCGCATAAATACAGAGTTCAGGACTAAGGAATAGGGCAGCTCTCTTTTATGGCGAACAATTTGCACATTGCAATCATAGGCGGTTATCCATATACTTCTCTTATATATATGAGTTTCATGCGCTATCTCCTCTCTCCATGTCTCTGTGTGTTCCTATAATTAATAATTTATATTTTTTAATAATACATGAAAAAGATTAAGAAATTAACTAATTACAAATTTAATCCGACGGTTAACATAACAATGGAACCTACAAAGAATAAATTTACAAAATTAGCTAACTAAAAACATGCTTAATTTGAAACACATTATTTGTTTCTTCTGAAACCTCTGTTTCCTGACGGAACCATTCCTCTCCACATCATTTTAAGTTAATTGTTAGAACGCGCCATAAAAATATACGCATTTTATAAACAAAAGTAACTAAAATATGTAAATGCCAATTTTTAAACTTGTCACATATTTATGCATGCTTCCCAATGGATAACAAACTTTTATAAGGTCAGATATAGTCGGTTAAACAAATGAATTTCAATAACTACTCCTACTATGATGCAAAGATTCGGCACTTTAAGTTCCCTCTCAGTCCAAGCCAGGGAGAACAAGTGCTTAAATCATTACTACGTATGTAGGTATGTGATATCGGTTGATAAGCGTATAGATTGTAGTGCCATGCAGGGTCCTCGGCAGGATCAGTAGTAAAAGTCAACTTTAGATGATTCATTTGTTTTAATAGGTGCTTTTTAAGAAACGTTTTACTTTTTGTCCCAAAATCTCATTTAGCACATCTAAAATCTTTAGAACTTTTATGTGTTAAAAGATGTCGTTTGTAGTCATATTTAAATTTTGTGCAATAATCACAATCTGCACATTTTAAAACCTTAGAAATTCTATGTATTAATAGGTGTCGTTTAAGATCGGATTTATAATTTGTTTCATAGTCACAATTAGCACATTTAAGATCCTTCAAAAGATTATGTTTTAAAAGATGTTGTTTGAAAATACGTTTTTCATTTGTCCTATAATCACAATCAGCACAATTAAAATCCTTAGAAACTCTATGTTTCAAAAGATGTTTTTTAAAGAAGTATTTATCATTTGTGCCATAATCACATTCAGGACATTTAAAATCTTTAGAAACTTTATGTGTTAAAAGATGTCGTTTGAAGATATGTTTATAATTTGTTCCATAATCACAAGCAGCACATTTAAAATCCATTGAACCTTTATGTTTTAAAACATGTTGTTTGAAGTGGTGTTTATCGTTTGTCTCATAATCACAATCAGCACATTTAAAATCCTTAAAAACTGCATGTTTTAAAAGATGTCGTTTGTAGCTGCGTTTATCATTTGTGCCATAATTACTGATATAGATAAAACCTTTAGAATAAACGGTTTTATTCAACAAAATTATTGGCAATGACAATATAGGAAATGACATTAAAATAACATTACAAACTAGATTAGAATGAGGCAATAAATAATGTGTTTGTATATTACCACATTCATCCACACATCATTTTAAAATATAATCATTGTAACGGATTGGGAGCCTACGTTCCCTAACTGATCTTCATGAAATCGCTTCGTCAATAAAATTCGATGGTGATTCAATTTGTTCTGCAGCCGATTGGTCTGAATCAGTCGTTACTGGCTGTTCTACTCTTTCACTTTCTGAATCCAAAAACGATCTTGGTTCGCCAACTTGCTCTACAGGTGATTGGTCTGAATCAGAAGTTTCTGGCTGTTCTATGTTGATCATATCCGGAATTCTTTCACCTTCTTGATTCAATGGTGCTAAGTGACGATTTGAAACAGTCGATTCACGACCATCTGCAAGGCGAACATAAGAGTAATCAGGGTTTACATGAAGCAGTGTGACTTCCTCCACAAGTGGTTGGTATTTATTGGAGCGATTGAATTTCTGCATTAGAACTTGTTCCGAATTCGTCAACCATGTTGGTAGCGAGACCCCATTAGAAGATCTTCTTGTATGTTTAAACATCCTCTCATGCGGCGAACAATTTGTAGCTGTGCACAGAAGGGATCGTATCGAATGTAAAGCTTGTGATAATACTTTTTCCCAATTATCTACTGATAAGTTCTTTGATCGTAATGCCAACAGGATTGTCTTCCAAAGGGTTCCGTTTAATCGTTCAACTTGACCGTTTCCCCGAGGATTGTACGGGGTAGTCCTACTTGTAGCTATTCCTCGTGAATTTAGAAAATCTTTTACCTCCGAAGAAACGAATGAAGTCCCTCTATCTGAATGAAGATAAGACGGCATACCAAATAGCATAAATATGTCATTAAGACATTTGATTACTGTCTTAGAGCTCATGTCAGCGCATGGGAAGGCAAATGGGAAACGTGAATATTCATCGATAATAGTGAGTATATACTTATTCTTCGTATTAGAAGGAACTGGTCCTTTAAAATCAATACTTAATCTTTCAAATGGCGAGGTAGCTTTTACCAAACCAGGACCAGGCGTAGCAGACCTAAAATATTTAGGTTTTATTTCTGAACAGACGCGACATGAATTAGTCGTTTTCCTGATTTCTTCTACAGAAAAAGGCAAATTTTTCGATCTCACCCAATGTGTCATTCTCGAAACACCAGGATGGCATAATGCGTCGTGTAAAGAAATGAGTTTATCAGAGCGAGTCTGCATATTAGCACAAACACGCGACAATGCATCTGCAACATCATTCTGCTTTCCTGGTCGGTACACAATATCATACTTGAATGGCGCTAATTCCAGACGCCAGCGCTGTATTTTCTCGTTTTTAATTTTACTTGATAGTTTATTATTAAACATGAAGGATACAGATCGTTGATCAGTAATAAGACGAAATGGTTTGCCAATGAGGAAATGACGCCATTTCTTTAACGATTCGACAATTGCATATGCCTCTTTTTCTATAGCAGCGTGGTTGTGTTCACTTTTATTTAGTGTTCTTGAGAAAAATGCAACCGGAAAATTCTTTGTGTTTGATAAGGCGTGAACTTTTTCCGAAAATCTTGGTATCCATTTGCTAGTGGGCAAACAAACCCATAACTCTTCGTAATGAAGGTAAATCATGTGGCGGCGGCATACTAATGAGTGGTCGAAGGCGGTCGGGATCCGGTCTGATTACATGATCCTTTATATGATCCCAGGATATTAATTGAATTTTGAGAGAACTTACTTTTATCTTTGTTAATAGTCAGCCCATATTTGGAAGCGGCTGCCATAAATTTCTCGAGATTCTTGTCATGCTCCTGTAAAGTTTTACCGCAAATGGTTATATCATCCAAATAGACGTATGTTCCTTCCAATTCTTCCTCTCTAATGATCCAATCAATAACTCTTTGAAAACTTGACACTCCATTAGTTACACCAAAAGGAATTCGGCGAAATTGATAGAGGTTTCCGAGCGCTTCGAAAGCAGTATATAGTCGTTCTTCGGATAAGATTGGAATCTGATGGTAAGCACTTTGCAGATCGATTGCACTAAATATAGAATAATTCGATATATTAGATACTAATTCTTCCATATTTGGAAGAGGATATGCGTCCAGCAGCGTATACCTATTTATTGTCTGTGAATAGTCGATTACAAGACGCTTTTTATGAGTTGCATTCTTCGTAATTAAAACTTGAGCTCTCCAGGGAGAGGTGCTTTCTTCGATGATCCCTTCCATCAACAGTTTTCGTATTTCTTCTTTTATAAATTTCTTGTCATCTTCGCTATACCTTCCAGACTTTATAGCAATAGGTTTGCAATCAGAAGAAATATTTGAAAATAAGGGTACCGCAGGTACAGTAAGCTGCCGCAACTCCACACACTTTGATAGGTTCTTTCGTTCCACCAAAATTTAATTCAAGAGAATGCTTTTTAAGAATATCGTGACCTATAATTAAATCAGCGCACAAATCCTTCACTATCAGTAAATGTAAATTTTGATAATCGTACTGGCCGACTTTAGCAGATACCCAGGTTTCTCCTGCAACTTGTGATGTTAGAGAGGTTGAAGCCATTGAAATACATTGGTTACTAGGTTTCTTTTTAAGTCGTAACAAATTAAAATACGATTCATCTATGAAACTCAAACTACTACCTGTATCAATCAGTGCTTCAGCTCGGACTCCTTGAATGTATGCTATTACAGTTGCTTTCTTTAAAGAGCTGGGAGAAGCTGCTACAATACCTATACATGCTGAAGTATTTTCTCCTCGTTCCAAAACTGCAGCATTATTTGGCTTATTACTGCGGCACACTATCGCGAAATGTCCCTTCTTATCACAAAGTTGACAGGATTGGTTGACAGCAGGACACTCCTTTCGGGGATGAATGCGTCCACTTCCGCAAAAGAAACATTTTCGTTTATTTTTGTAAGAGCTCTTGTAAGAGGGCGAAGCTGCGACGGTATGTTCCTCGCACTGATCTTCAGGCTGTGATACTCCTCCTCCAAGTTGTTGAACAGCGTTTAAGCCAATAACGTTGTATTGTTGGGAATTAATCTCTGCCATCTCTAAGGATAATGCTTGATTGTACGCTTCATCGAGGGTTAACGTCAGATTCTCGAGTAATCGCTGTCTTATCTTATTTGACTGGATTCCCGAAATAAATGCGTCACGTATATTGTCAGATCGATTAGTTTCGGCGTCCACGCTTTGAAACTGGCATTCTCTAGATAATAGTTTTAAGGCCTGTATGTATGCATCGATATTTTCATCGTTAAGTTGTTTTCTAGTAGCTAGCATGTGCCTAGCGTAGATAATATTCTTAGGTTTGATAAAAATCGTATTTAGAATGCTGATAGCAGCGTCATAAGTTGAACACTCACTGATATATGAGTATACCCTTGAAGACACATGATTGATTAGCAAATTCAACTTACTGGGTGCAAAAAGAAGCAAATCTTCTTCTTCGGTCGGTGTATATGCCAAGAGGAAGTTCTCAAAGGTTCGGAGCCAGTGCTCCCATTCCTTGGAGGCGGAACTAACTGATGGATCAATATCTTAGACCATATAGTACATGGACTGCTATTAGCCCTATGCTTTCAATACAAAATGGGTGGTCAGGGATAGAGGGCACTGTAGTCGTGGGTATGTGAATCTCAGGGTAAACTAAAGTCGTATGAACACCACTCGGATCGCGTAAAGAGTAGCTTTTATAATAACTGCGTAGTACGGGAAGCTTTAAATACTCTTGATTATCTTCAATACGTCCACAAATAAGGATAGGTTTGCTTTTTTGGCATATCTAGACGATTAATTAATTGACATTTGTTAATTTATAGGTTGACAGTCTCAAATCGTATCTAATCGGACAACTTCGGACAGACTCGTTTACCCTGAAACTCACATACCCAGGCGATGTCCTTGACCGTATTTTCGTTACAATTAGCAGTCCATGTACTGTATGGTCTAAGATCAATATCCAATCGAATGGGTTTCAGAAACTTTTCCATTATTTTATTTTGTTGAATAAATTGATATAGATAAAACCTTTAGAATAAACGGTTTTATTCAACAAAATTATTGGCAATGACAATATAGGAAATGACATTAAAATAACATTACAAACTAGATTAGAATGAGGCAATAAATAATGTGTTTGTATATTACCACAATTACACTCGGCACATTTTAACTCATTAGACATCCTATGTTTTGAAAGGTGTCGTCTAAGATCGAATTTATAATTTGTCGCATACTCACAAATAGCACATTTAAGATCTTTAGAAACTTTATGTTTTAAATGATGTTGTTTCAAGATGCGTTTATTGTTTGTAGCATAATCACAATCCGCACATTTAAAATCCTTAGAAACTTTATGTTTCAAAAGATGCCTTTTTAAGACTTGTTTATTATTTGTCCCATAATCACAATCGGCACATTTAAAATCCTCAGAAACCTTATGTTTTAAAAGATGTTGTTTGAAGCTGTGTTTATAATTTGTTCCATAATCACAATCCTCACACTTAAATTCCTTAGAGGCTTTATGTGTTAAAAGATGCCGTTTGTAGATACATTTAATATTTGTACCGTAATCACAATCAGCACATTTAAAATCCTTTGAAACTTTATGGTTTAAAAGATGTTGTTTGAAGTTGCTTTTATAATTTGTCTCATAGTCACAATTGGCACATTTAAGATTTTTATAAACTTTATGTTTTAAATGATGTCGTTTCAGGATGCGTTTATCGTTTGTAGCATAATCACAATTAGCACATTTAAAATCTTTCGACACTGTTTTACATTGAGTTAAAAGCTGACGTTGAAAGTTAGAGTGCTGCTGTACTTCTCCATTAGAGAGAGATTTAGAACACCGTGCAGGAATAATTTCTTCCTTTATTGTGTACAAAAACTTCGTTGCTTATCGAAATCTGCTCCTGAAGAAAGGAATGGATTTCTTCTTCTTGTTTTGGTTCGATTTTAATGAGTATTGTGTCATCTCCATCCATACCTAACAATCATAAATTGTGTTAATGTTGTAAATAAATATAGTGAAAATCTGTTTTAATTGATCAAAAATCGATTTTGAGTAACAACATTTAAAGGTGAGTAGGCGAGTAGCGTATATTGTACTCCAGCACCTCCACACAACGACTCTGACATTTCGTGAGGTGAAACAAATCTTTGATCGCATTGTTTACCATGCATGTTAAATAAAAATTCGGTCTTAATGAGTGGTTTGTAGCAGTCCGTACGGTTTAAGAGATTAGAGTAGTTTTTCACGTTTGATTTGCATCTCATGATTTACTCGTAGAAATTAAGGTTGGGTCAGTTACGTGTTACATTACAGTGTAGTTACAGCCAGCTGTCTTGCAGGAATTTTAAAAATTCAGGCTTCTTTTCTTGTTGTATTAATGTTTAATGGCTGTAGAAATTCATTGTGGATTTAAACCTATTTTTGCTGTAGACTGTGGCTCAACATCTAATCAAAAGAAAGGAAAGAAATTACTGGAGGCAAACCATGTGCAACACATTTTTGAAAGAGCTGGTCAGATCACAGCAAGGGTAGTTACACAAACAAATGTTTCGAAAACACCATATACAGTAATATTAACAGTAGGTATTTACTTTGCTGCTGCTCTTGAAAGTTGACTTGACAACTCACGTCCTTTGGGTTATCGTGTGTCCCTTGAGAGACAACTTCAGCTTCTTGAAATGCAGTTGCACTTGAAGGTAAGTCAGACGAAACATTTAATTTCCGTTTCTTGAAAGTTTCATAACGTTCAAATCGTTTGCTTGCATCTGCACCCAGTTTTCGTGTTTGTTTGTACGTCTAGAAGAAAATAAAAACCATTAAACAATAAAAATGTGAAGCACTTCTCTTTACTGATTTACCTTCGGAAAAATAGAGGGATTATATGATGGATTGCTGGCAATATTTGATCTTGCATTTCCGACAAAATGCGAACTGCATATTCGATCTGTTTTTTTAGGAGTCCATGTTTTGCCATTTTCAGTTCTAATAACAAACGTGCAAATTAGTTCGTAAACACGATTTCTGACAAGAATTGTCTCCGGAAACACCATTTTTAATATAATCTTTGATGGGTGAAAAGTGGACAATATCAGGAAACCATCTACACAACAAGTCGGGAGCAAGGGGCCGTTTTACAAGTCTTTTAACGCGGGGATCCCTTTTAATAGCTTGATCATAACCTCAAATTGGATTACTGGACACAAAAGAAAAATTACAAAAAAACGGCCGCTCTGGAGACGAAACTATCTAAAATAATAGCAAAACAGATGTGTACTTACACTCTTCTCACTTTCTTTATCCAATTTTCTTTTTTTTGCAACTCATATGGTCTGTTGGGAAAGCTGTAGAATTTTACAGAAGAGTCCGTATTTATGTACGAATTACTGCATCCAACAACACAACAAGAAACTCTGGACGAACGAAAAGTGTTTTTCGAAGTCATAATTGTTTTATTTGGAGTAAGCTTGTAAATATTACGATAGATGAACTTGTTTCACCACATCTTATGTTAAATTCGCCACTAGACGGCGCCACATCCGAAGTACATTCGTCATCATTTTACACATAGTCGCATACTGCAATACCGACGCGTATTTTGATTCTAACTTCACATATGTATACGAGGTATGGAATAGAGAGAGGAGTGTTTCGTAAAGTGAGGGAAATGAAACGATACGCATGCATATCTTTTCTGTTCAAATGGAGGCTGAAAATGCAAACAGCTGACTTAAGTAAACAAGACAACTTTTTTGTCCACCATGAATTTCGAACACCTTTTGCGATTGACCCGAAATTCCATATCACAATGGGCATTAAGCACTAGGCTACTGTAGTTAATGAATTGTGTTGTAGCAAACTTCGTCTGATTATATTGTGCTTACTATCAGTGGATCAGTGGCTTTACACTATAATATTTGTCATATGATTTCTCATCTTAGACCATTATAGTACGGACTGCTATTAGCCCTATGTTTTCAATACAAAATGGGTGGTCACGGATAGAGGGCACTGTAGTCGTGGGTATGTGAATCTCAGGGTAAACACCACTCGGATCGCATAAAGAGTAGCTTTTATAAGTAACTGCGTAGTACGAGAAGCTTTAAATACTCTTGATTATCTTCTATAAGAATAGGTTGGTTTTTTTTGCCATATCTAGGCGATTAATTAATTGACGTTTGTAAATTTATAGGTTGACAGTCTCAAATCGTGTCTAATCGGACAATTTCGGACAGACTCGTTTACCCTGAAATTCACATACCCAGGCGATGTCCTTGACCATATTTTAGCACGTTGACTGCATTACATATCCTCGGGAATATGTGGGTTGCTTTCCGTGGTGACGAAGCGAACTTTTGCCAAACATTCGTTGTGTGCGAAAGCCATATCTTCCTTGATTTTCAACGTATATAAGTTTTACGTATAGCTTTTTTATGGTCGTGCTTTGCATAGTCAAGTCCACTGAATTTTTTGGTACATATCTCCGGGGACATGTAACGCACAGGACTAATACAAATTTAATTGTGTGCGGCACATGCCCCCGGAGATATGTACAGTTTTGCAGCTACTTCTACGGTTATTCCATCATACTGCATGACAGAATTGCGCAAGTTGCATTATCTTTGTATTCCGTAAACTTTTCTGTAGTTTCGGTCTAGTTATTGTAATGATGGTCCAGGCCAACCTGGGTACTATCTTCCATGTTCCAATACTAATCACAAATAATAATAAATAAATATCCCTCAATTTTATGAAAATAGTGTTCGTTGTAATGTTTTTTATTCGAGTTGATTGCATAATTTAGGGTTATACAGTCTTCTTCACTTTCTTGCGGTACCAGTCGCCGGAGATATGTACGGTTCCAGAATTAAATAAATAATAGTGTTAGCTTACAGGTCAACGTGTTAGTTACAATTAGCAGTCCATGTACTATATGGTCTAAGTTTCTCATACATATAATAGGCGCTTTCTTTCGGTGATCCAAACGCATATGAAGGCGCTTCTTTCATCCCCTAAGATGTCACTGGCTGATAAAGGTTAGTTTGTGTAAAACATTCCATGCTCATGCTTCCAAAGTTTGTGGTTGTAGATTGTGACAATTATGGATATTGGAGGAAGTTGCAGCTTGCAGATCAGAGGAATTGTTAAAAATGAACATAGACTACATAGAAGATGGAGAATTAAAACTTACTTGGAATCAATTACATTAAAAGTCGATATGACACGTCAACGCAATAGTGGGGATGAGTGTCACGGCTAGTTCTATCGGTAGGCTACGGTTCTACCTGGGACACACTGTATAATAAATATACAATGATGGTAGGATTCGATTTACGAAACTTCCTGTATGTCATCTCCTCTGTCAGTTGGTATTACAGTTCCCTGTTTCTATTATAAAAATATTTTTATAAAATGCCAAAAATTGTTTATTTATTTAATTTTTTTATAGAAGTTGTTAAACAAAATTGTTTATAAAATGAAATTTGCAGAGCACCTTTCCGCCCATATCACTCCGGAATGGAGAAAGCAATACATTAACTACGAGGTATGACCAAACCTGATCTTCCTCTTAAAAATTTGGATTTGTCTCATAGGAAATGAAGTCTCTGATTTATGCCGCCGTCGAACAAATCCCATGCGATGATGTGGATCCTGACCATTTGTCGAGATACTTTGCGAAATTCGACGAGCAATTTTTCCACTACTGCGACAAGGAGCTAGCGAAAATTAACACCTTCTATTCAGGTACGTCTAATTGCTCGCTGGCGGTGGAATTGTTTCGGCTGTTGCTCAGTCAATTCCAATTACTTTCATGTCTCGTGGAATTGGTGGTTTCGTAGGGACTAAGGATGCTTTGTATCTGTTAGTTGCTTAGTTTATCCGGCCTCCTCTTGCAAGTTTCCCGGATTGGGCGGATAGAGTTTATTATCCAGTTTCAATAATTTGCTCCTGGTGTAGATGTTCTTTTTGGAAAAACCACCAGCTCAATTAAAAACATTATACGCCACTCCTGCTAAAATACTTTGTTTAGTCTTTACCTCTTACAGAGAAGCTCGCGGAGGCGACACGAAAATCAGCCAATTTGAAAAGCGAACTCTCCGAAGTGACCAACGATCCCAATTCGTTTCCGAAGAAGGGCATTCTTAAAAACCGAAATGTATCGGCCCGAAAAATTCAAGATCTTAAATTGGCGTTTAGCGAATTTTACCTGAGCCTAATCCTTTTGCAGAATTATCAAAATTTGAACTTCACAGGATTTCGAAAGATTCTAAAAAAGCACGATAAGGTGGTTGTTTAGGTCGCGTTCGGTAAGTGACGTAATTCAAATTGTAGCTTTTGTCGGTCGATTTTGGCGCAAAGTGGCGAATTACTCACGTGGAGAATTGCCACTTTTACACAAATAAATATATCGATAAAATCATAGCCGAAACCGAAGCGACTTTTACAAATGAACTGGAGGGGGGCGATCGACAACGGGCGATGAAACGATTGAGAGTACCCCCTTTAGGGGAACAGCAAAGTCCATGGATTACGTTTAAAGTTGGATTATTTTCGGGAGCATTTATAATTTTGTTAGCATCCATTATGTTGTCAGGTAATGCTCAATTTGTCACACCATGTGTAATGAGAGAGGTATACTCCCTATCGTTAGTATACGGATAAAGCTAATGCAATTTATATTGTCGATTCAATGTAAGAAAAAGACGTGAAATTTAGGCTGAGTGGATTTCAACGATATGTTTTCTTACAGAAATCACGTTCATGCTCACTGGATTGAAAACATTGGAAAGGGAAAAAAACAAAAATTAATTGTAGACATTGAACATTTTCTACATAAAATCCGCAACAGTATATGGTTTTGAACCATTTATCAATAATAAGCATTTAAATGCGTGTATATATACTTTTAAGTTGTGGTTCACAGTATCTTTGGATCCTTCCCATTTCACTTGGTTAATAATTTTTCAGTGTTTTTCCGCTGTCTGTAGTGATGGCTCAAGGCAATCCCTATTTTTCCAAAATAAAAATCAGTTGTTTTTCAAAACTTTCAAGTGTTTTGGTTGTTTTTGTTTGCACGTGTGTTTGTAGCATATTTTTCATGAGTTGCGAGAATTCCATGTTCCCGTCCGTCTGAGGGTTTGAGATCTGAGTAATCCTAATTATTATACCACTTTTTCACATATGCGACTTTTTAATATTTGCATGAGATAGCTTAAATTGGACGTCTCTCTCTTGCATTGTATGCTTCACAATTTCCCCTGCAGTTCGTATACCTCTCTTGTTATACAGTTGTTTTTCCAACGTTAACTCATTTCCCTTTTCAGTTTTATTTCACTACGAAGGCAAAGACGATTGGCGAATTGCCTGTCGACTTTATAGAGGAACGTTCTTGCTAATCGAGTTTATGTTTCTATGGGGCGTTAACATATACGGATGGAGATCGTCGGGCGTTAATCATGTACTAATTTTTGAACTGGACCCCCGCAATCACCTCTCGGAACAGCACGTTATTGAACTCGCTGCTGTGTTTGGAGTTATATGGTCCCTATCCGTCTTGTGCTTTCTGTACAGCTCTCAACTCAACATTCCCCAGTACATTAATCCCCTAATACTCCTGCTGTTAATGGTCGCTTACTTTTTAAATCCGACCAAGACATTTCGTTACGAGGCACGATTTTGGGCCCTTCGGGTTGTGGTGTGTATAAATTGGTGTGTTCAGTTTGTGCTTGTTTTATTTGGTTTACGTAGTTTTTAGCTTCCGACAAATTTTGTTTGCTTCTCTTTGCTTGTGCTGACGTGTTCGGAAGAAGGTAAAATCGGGAGGATTAGTTCGAAAACCGAATGCAGAGCTCGGTTCAGAATTTCTAACTTCCGGTTAGGTGTGGGAATGCAGTTGAGACATTGTCGAATAATTTTACATAAAAGTATCCCCATTAGCACAACGTACATGTACACCTAGGGCATTTTAATAGGGGGAGGAGATCTCACAATTAATATAACAGGAAAATTTTGCAAAGAGTAGAAAAGTAACTATTTTCTTAAGAATTATGAACAGTTAAGGTTGATGACACTGAATGGCTATTTCTTCCAAAACAAAACGTAGATCCCGCTTAAACTTGAAATCGAAAAGTGGTACATGATCAGATCAAACATCTAAGGCAAGGCCCTCTTACGTTAGTTGTTATCAACCCTATTATCTGAAGTATCTTAGGGAAGGAACGCAAAATAAAACACTGAAATGACCAAAAGTCTGTTTAATAATAATTATTATTATGAGGATTGTAAAAACCAGGAAAGTGGGTCGTACGTTAATGTTTGAAAGTAAAGCTAAAATGGTGCCGCACTGTTGAAAAAAAAACAACGGCCAAGGAAAAAAGAGCACCGCTGAGAAAAACCTTGACATTTGATTAATAATTCTAAAAAAACTTGGTGCAGTAGTTTTCAAAATTATCAAGTTTAAGAAATAATTAAAAGTAGACCGTAAATGTATATACACAAAGTTGGTTACAATCAAGGTACATATACACATAATTCAATAACTTCCACAAATTTAAATAAATGATCAAACATGATGTGCATGATACGGATTAGCAATTAGACGGAACAAATGGAGAGCAGAGGTATGAACAGAGTACATACAAAGCAAAATATCATAAAAGTTCCTTGCAAAACCATGAGGCTTGTTTACGTGACTTAAATTTCGCATAAAGAAAAAGAAAAGCGCAGTTATGTTATGGTTCAATAAAAATTGCACTGTTCACAAATAAATAAATGAAAACGAATAATTTGTTCATTGTGAGAATGATGAATGCATAAATGTTAGGTTATAAAACAAAAGCGAAGAGCAAAATTGTGGAATTCTGTTTACACGACAACTTGCAACCATCAGTCAAACATAAGAAAGTACGTGATAGTATATTACGATAACAGGAACAGGTAAAGAAATATTCACAAAAGTCTATGAATAATATACACACAAAAATATAGAAACTCTGATACTATAACAAGAATTGGCATAGAGCCATCCCCGAGCGTGGTTTACTAACGTGGTGATTTTTTAGTTTTTTTCTATCTTCTTCTGCCGGAAAAACTGAAAATCACCACGTTAGTAAACCACGCTCGGGGATGGAGCCCGGATGTCACCGACCCCACATCATGTAGCCCCGCCCCTAAAGAATTGTTAATTATGCGGCCCGGTAGGTACAAGTATACTCCTCATCTTTCTACAAGCGATCTTCTACCGGGGTCTCATTTGCTGCCAGCCAGCTAGCCCGCCGGCCAAAGTTTGCTGCCAGCCACCGTTTTTCAAATAAAATTGCAAAAAATGCGTTAAAAAGAGACAATTACAAAAAAGTTAGATCACTGTTTGCTGCTAAACAATGGCCTAACGCCCTAGACGGTCCTAAAACTGTCATCTAAATTCAAATTCAATATGGGCATAGCTTTAGCCATATAATACGCAATGCCAAAAGTTGAGTCGAATCGATTCAAAATTCACAGTGCCCTTTTCGCATCTCGACCATTTATAAACCGAATTGCAAACTTTCTTATTTATGGAAGCATTCAAATGAAATTTGATACATAGCCACTTGAAACAAAGGAAAATCTAACGATAGTTTCAAAATTATGTTTGCGCATGCGCAGTGTCAATTTTCTTATTTATGGAAGCATCCAAAAATAAATTCTTCTTATAAATTGAAATTGAAGTAGGACATCAAAATGGATTGCACATATGCAACGCTATCTTTCATATTTGTGGTCCGATTTTTACGATTTTAATAGAAGTTGCATCTGACAAATGAGAAATGAATGCAAGTAGAAAATCGCTTTTTGTAAATCGTTTACGAGTTCTTTTTAACTTGTTGTCTTTAGTATTGAGTGAGCGGGGTTTCAGCTAAGGCTGCTCTGCCAACCTAACCCACTACACATTTACAAATACCCATGCCCGTACCCGGATTCGAACGAGGGACCCTTAGTACCGCAGTCCAGCTTCAACTCAACTGCGACACACGGGCCCGCTTAAGAATGATGTGATTGTTTGTAAAAACATCCAATCACATGTCTGAATAACACTGTTAGCTGACAACATAGTTAAGTATGCCGTATGGCTTTATAAACCGGGCCGATAATCATTTTGAAATTAACAATTTTGTGATTTTCCCTGTTTTTCTTACCTGAGCGAAGATTTGGATTTTACCGTATTAAGTTTTAAAGTTTAAAAAGAGCACATGCTCAAAAATAAGTAACCAACAACTTTTATTTTATTGAAAATACATTTTTATTTTCCGTTTGGAATTTTACATAGTGTTTCATGTACAAGGTGTCCCATTTTCGACACTTTTATAGGCGTTATGGGCTCTTTTTGGGTCAAACTTGCAATGATAAAATCAAAATTTGCACATTTTTGATACGGAGATAAATCAAACAATTTTCAATTTCAGAATGATCGTATATATTCTTAGTAAAAACAGAAACAAAAAAATGTTTCTTGAAAATTATTGATAAATAATCTGCCGTTTACAAAATAAATAATTATACAGTACTATCGGGTAAAAAAGTTATTGTATCTAACTTAATTTTATTTAAATGTCATACCCTGTATATTTAAATCTAAAAATAGCATATTAAATTCTGTTTTTTTAAATTTTACACTGAAAAAATTCAATATCGATTCAAAAAGGTTCAAAAAAGCTTTCTTAAAAATTCAAAAATGTTTGTTTGTAGTAATTTCTTCTTCTTTTTCAGTGTCAGAAAAAAGGGCGATAGTTCGTAGAAAACAGTTCCTTTTGTTAAGACCTTTAATTATAGAATACCATGAATGGGTAAAACGTGTGGTTGCCCCCCCCCCTCGCCTTTCCCATTTTCAAAAGCTTTACTTGCCACTAAAGGCATGCGCATGTAAAATGGTATTAGACTCTATTAGTGTGACGTCAAAGTTGAGCGGGAAATTCGAAATGCTGGACTTGGCTGTTTTATTGTCGAAGATATAGACCCCTATCGTCCCATACATTAAATATCACTTTTAAATAGGTCCTCTTTACGGGTTTATACTGACCTTATGCGCATTAAATAAGCATATCGACCCTCTTATATCGAAACACTGATTACTTAACTTTGACGGCAAGTAAACGACCAAGTCTAGCAATTGGGAAAATGTAAACACAAGAACAAGGTCATGATCATTCCATCTTGCCAGCCGTAAAGTGTAAAATATGGTAGACATATCTTTAATTTTTAATTATAACGCAATTAATGGATTTTATTTATTTTATTGCTCTGTTTTACAGTTAAGTAATCAGTCTTTCGATATAAAAGGGTCGATATGCTTATTTAATGCGCATAAGATCAGTATAAGCCCGTAAAGAGGACCTATTTAAAAGTGATACTTAATGGGTAGGGCGATAGGGGTCAATATTTCCGACAATAAAACAAACAAGTCCTGCAATTCGAATTTCGCGGGCTATTATGACGTAACCGCTAATAGACTCTATTGGTTGTCGCATGTAAAAGTTTAGGACAGTTCCCATAAAAGTAGTTCAACACGGCAAAAGTGGTTCCTGACCGACGGAGAACACGCAAAACAATAGCACCAGCGCTAAAAAACGCAAAAAAAGTACAATCTTTGCCGATCTACCTTTCATTGCATTGCTGGTTACTGGTTAGTCTTTGTCTTTCGTGTTGAAGAATTGAAGAAACAACTCACACCGGAGAGCCTTTATAATTTCAATTTCTAGATATCAAAATTAAAACCTCTCTTTCCTAATTTTTGCGCCTTTTGTTTTGTCACATTTCTTTGAATTAAACGAATTATCTTTTACACATTGTATAGAAAGTGGCATATTTCATAGGAGATTAGATTGTACACTTGCAGTTGAGTGTTGACCATTACAGTAAATGTCGTAAATTGCTCCACTGCTGAAACCAAATAAGTACGTTGGGCGTTTGCTGAACTGTATTTCGGTTGAAATTGTATTTATGTCTTTAAAACGTAGAGAAAAATTTTAATGAAAGTGTGAGAGTGAAGGAACTACGTACGTTTTTCGGAACTAGATTTACGAGGACGCATTTCGTAACTAGGCGCTCCTCGACTAACTATAGCGCCATCTCAGAACGAGGGGACCGCATATCGGCACGCTAATGAACGTACGATTTTCTATTTTTACGGTTAGTTACACGCCTTTAAAAAGCAGATGACAGCATCTCCTGAGCGAAAATTAGCAATGCCAGTTTATCCTATTTGTTTGTAACTCTTATGGCGTTTTCGATTGGCAAAACTCGCGCTGCACGAGTTGCAATTTTTACGTTCTATTGGTAATTTTAGGGCAATTTTCTGTGTTCCATTGGCAAATGTGATGCAACAATTACGCACTCAGTGCAAATTTCGACGCACGAGGTCCGTGCGACAATTTGAATTTGTTTCTTGCGTTGGGAGAGTTTTTTTGTCGTCATTTAGCGATAGCGAAGATCGATGAAGTAGCCATAACTTCTATTTTACAAAAAAGTTGCACTTACTCATTAAACTGAACGCCAAAAATTGGTCCTTTACAGGAATTTCAAATTTATATTCCTCATCGTTTATCATAAATAATACTGAAATCGTTTGTCATTTTTTTTGAATAGAGATTTGTCGATTACCTAAATCTAAAATGAGGTTATGGACAAATGACAACAAATATTTACGAATATTTATGTTCCATTGAGAGCAATTTTCACATGCATTTCTTCAGTTTCTCGTGCAACACTCGTGCAGTACGAGTTTTGCCAATCGAAAACGCTATTATTGTATTTGCTCTATGGAATAGGCCATATACAGGGTAAGTATAAAGTTTGTGTATCTCCGTTATTTAGAACATTTTTTTAAATAGTAAATATTGATGCATTAAATAATCTTAATGTCTTCTTTTTCGACTTCCGGTTTTAGACGGAAATGACCTTAACCTTTAGTTTTTAAATTGCAGCGAACCTCGAGAAGGAAAATGGAATTGACCACGACCAAGATTTGACAAAGCTTCTGTAATTTTGGGCGCCAGGTGTGAACAAGTCACACCAAAAAGTAAATAGAAAATATAAAGTACGAATAAAATAAGAATGCAATGTTTCTGAATCCTCAGGCAGTGGCGGGTGTATATAAAAAACACTCTTGTCTTGGCCAAGAACAATACAATTGCAGTTTGGCAACTGCCCCAGTATTTCACGTATTGCATCGTAGAACGTCTGATCCTAAATACCATGTGTTAGACGAGTTCCTGCTAAGCAGAACATATCATTATAGTTTTAGCTTTACATAAGAGAACGGTACTTCATGTATAGGAGCGTTAATGATCGTTACATCCAAAAAACATACGACCCAAATCCAATTAATTCAAACGTACGTACCCCATTAATAAATGGGTTTCGGATTGCGGTATAGGTCAATGAAAAATCCGTAATTAAATTAAATCATGGGATAATCCAAATAAGAAATCCTATGAAAAGATATCAAACATTGTCCCAAAAGTATGAAACCTGAACTCTTCTGCAGCCCCTAAACTAGTTCGAACCTTAATCTTCTGCTTGCTAAAATGTTAGCCGAATTTAAGTCCTTATGCCATAACTTTCATGTCATAAGTTTGTGAAGTCAACCAAGGTATAGAAAAAAGGAATGTGATAATAAATTACTTAGTTCGATGCTTAAGTAAAATTGTTCGATAGTGACCCGCCTTGAGTTTACACACCTCTTCCAGGTTTTACTATGCTCCTGTAAATTTCGGTGTGATGGTTCCATTTTGTTGATACGGTAAACATATTAATAATAAATGTGAGGAACAATTGTGTATTGTGAATTATAGGGGAGGGTGCTGCTAGCGCCCATGTTTTACGTGGGCTTCGCCGACTTCTGGATGGCCGACCAACTCAACAGCCTTGTCACCGCATTTACCGATCTCCAGTACTTTATTTGTTTTTATGCGACCACCGATAGCTGGTCGTCGGCATCGAGTAATGTTTGAGCGCTTACTCCTAATAGGTGCCTAATCTGCGGTAATTGTAGATGCTAATTATTGCGTAGAGAAATTTATACCGATTCGAGCTGTTGTCGCTTGCCTTCCTGCATGGTTTAGATTCGCACAGTGTTTGCGGCGATATCGGGACACGAAGGAAGTATTTCCTCATTTTGCTAATGCTGCCAAGTATTCGACTTCATTTTTTGTTGTAATATTCACGTCTCTTTATCACATGCACTCGACAGGTACAAGCTTCTAACAGTTTAATGCGATGGAATATACGTTTTTTATTAGATTATAAGTCTGCGACGGAAAATCCGTTTTTGTATTTTTGGATTACCGCCTCCTTAATCAGCTCGTGTTATGCCTACACGTGGGATATCAAATTGGATTGGGGGCTGTTCGACTCGAAGGCTGGCGATAACAAATTTCTAAGGGAAGAAGTGGTATACTCGTCAAATGTATGTGATTGAGGCCTAACTAAATTACAGGCAGGCGCGTTTGCGAAATCCACGTGACGTTAGGAGTCATAGAAACGCGCATTGTCCTACACTTTATTTATTTCTTCAAGAAGCATATAATATAATAATAATAATAATAATTTTTATTGTATAAAGATTTACATCTTATTACAAGAGCCTTCATAATTATAAAATGTCGTTACAAAAAAAATCATAATTTATAAGTTTATAAACAGAAAAAATTTATATAATTATATACCGGGTGATCGAAAAGTAGTGCACCCAGTTTGAATTTCCCGTAAAACTAAACATTTATAAAGTTGGTAACATGTAAAAGCAGTGGTGGATCAATTTAATCACTAATACATAAATAAACTACCTTCTAAACATATTTGCCAATTCCTTAAGTTAAAAACTTAAAGCGCCCAATTTAAACTGTCTGCAGTTCTTTTTGATCACCCGGTATAATGTATGTATCAAGAACCATACCAAACCTTATCATGAAATTTCACTTTTTCAAAAATGTTGATGGTTGAATTGTTAATGAACCTTACACCAGAAAAAGAACTTGCCGTGTATTAATTGTAGAAATGAAGTAAAATACGAAGGGGATAGTTTATATACGAAATAATGCAGAAAACTGAAATACTACTTTATTCGCACTCAAAAGCAACTCTTTCTATAAAATAACGGAGGCTATGGTCTGAAACTTTCTTGATCATAAATGGTGTAGTTGTAGTTCATGATGAGAATAAATAAACTAACAGTGTTAGGAGTTTGCCATTTGCTTGACTGCAAAGGTCACGCAGTTCGTGCAAGCGTATTGCCCTGTAATTTACATAGGCCTTCATTTGTCTTTGGCCCACAAAGTCTCATGCCACTCTTGTAGTGGTTTTACTATTTTGCGATTGTGGAAGATTTAATCCTACGCTTCGGCTGGGTGCTATCCATCTCTCTTATTGAAATGAGTTACATACATGCGGATATTATGGTTACTATTCTGGCACCGCTCGAAGTGTTTCGGTATGAAGAATCAACGCTACACGTTAATAAAATGTAACGATTTTAGGAGATTTATATGGAACTACTTCCGCTTAGAGAACGAGCATCTCAATAATTGTGGAAAGTTTCGTGCGGTACGCGACATATCGGTGGCTCCAATAGATTGTTCCGACCAAATTATTATTTTACGGATGATGGACGAGGTTGATGGAGTAACAAACAGGCACAAAAAGCGATGCGTTAAAACAAAAAAGAATCCCAGACTAACGTTAGACGGAGAATCGACTGATGATAACATGGATAATTGAGAAATTGGCATTTACTTAATTATGTTAAAAAAATTATATTGATTTTTTACATATATGTAAATAAATGATATACTTTTCCTGCCTTTCAGACTGATTTTGGATTTCGTTGAGGGCGACTAATTGGTAAATTGTGTGTACAGTCCGTACGAGATGAGCAAGCAACACATATAGCGAAGAATCGGACTGTATGAGATACTTACTCCACAGAATAGTTGAATCGAAGCATACATAGCAACAAAACACTGATACTTCCCGTGAATACATAAATAAATACTTAATATACAATATAAAGGCCTAATCACCTGTACAGTATAACAAACGGTGCTTAAAACAAAAGCATGGAGTACACCTTGCTTCAATAACAAATATTTTATGCAAAATAAAAATAATAACAAATTGTGACATGAAATTCCATGATTAATAGTTTAGTACGCGAAAGAATAAAATGGTTATGACCTGTAAATACACTTCAAACCACAAGAAACAAAATAAACGGCAAACCTGCCATTACTCGCCCCACCTCGGTTTCGAATACCGTTAACCGAAGGGAAGTCTTTTGTTGTGTAAAATGTAAATTCCGCTGCACAGAATGGTGAAATATGAAGACGCTAGGGTTGTTGTATACACAGCGTTTCGTATTTTTTTCATACTGTGATTGTTTCAGTTGTGAAGTGTGTTGTCTAACCGTAGAGTATGTATAAACAGAGCCGATGAATTTTTTAAAAACAAGCTAAAGGTATGTTTTGTGACAGCTTAAAAACCAGGACGAAAAAGTACAAATTGGTGTGCTGGCAAAATAACCCCAAAGTAATCAAAATTGAAACGATTGTAGTGTACTTTAACCCCCAGGTCCTACGCTAACTTCACACTACAAGAACACGGAAATAAAGTCAACTCGGTAACGTTTAAAAATGGCCACCCGAATGACTGTTCCCTCCAAAACTAAACAAGATGCCGCTTAAATTTGAAAAGTGGCACGTGATCAAACATCTAAGGCAGGAAGCACAGTAGGGAAGGAACGTAAAATAAAACACTCACATTGTGAAACGTTTGTTTAATAATAATCGTGATTAGTATGATTGTAAAAGCTCGGAAATTTAAATCGAAACAAATTACATTGCAAAAATAAACTTTGAAAATGGTAGTTCACCGAATAAAAATAGAAATAGGCTGGGAAAAAAAGAGCTTACCAATAAAAAAAACCAGCCATCAAATTGTGTTGTAAAATAAATTGTTTGTAATGATGTGAATGCGTAACATAAAATTATAACTCACAAAAAGTAGCAGGTAAACTTCAAGAGGTAACATATAGGGTAAAAACAAGTTTTGGGACCAAGATTCTAAGAAAGGGTGAAATACACAGGATGTGACTCATGCAATAAAGTCCTTTTGTTAAAAGCAAGATGGAAAATTACATGGTCTTGTAGGCAAATTTAACTAAAACAAGATATGTGGAAATTATTGAATCGTAACTCAGCGTATTAGTGTAATATCGCCCCCGCAAGATAGGTAGCGTCGGCCCTCGTTCGGGGTTTCGAGCCTACAGTTGAATGTCGAAGACAATCACGGAATTAGGTGTCGTAGCTCAATTTTGACTACAGTTTTTAGCACCCCTGTGACTGCTTCATTCACGGAGAAAATGTTAAGTTACATAGAATAGTAATTATTATATGTATTCTATGGTATGCATTTTATATGGTTGCCAATATTAAAATAAGAGATGAAAGAAAAAAGTTAAGTTTCAAGTAGGTAATCATGTCATCATGTAACACGTTTAAGATGTACAGAAGTTTTTCTATATTTACTTTTATGATAATAAACATTAAAATCTAACAGAAAATGGTTAGTGACAAACAACAAGTCAGTATATCCATCAAACGAATCAGTAATTTCCACATATTTAAAACAAAATGATTAAGACATATGAATGTTACTTCAGGGACAAGACCAAGTAATCAACATCAATAAACATAAATTAAGCAAACATTACACCAAAAATGTAAACAATTACAAACAATAGCATAACGGAATTTAACATGTCATTCTGTATTGCGGTTAAATCAAGTAAATTTCAAAATCAAAGATTGAAACTCACAAAAAATATAAAATGCGGCATACAAAACACAAATACGATATCAAGAAATGCAAAAATTACTACCTGCATTAAATAACACAAAATAACAACAAACATTTTTGGAGCGACGCGTTCACGACCGCCATTCAAGACAAGATGCCAAACGTGCTTTCTAGGTGGCGCAGGCGGCCTTTCCCCACCTAGAAATTGCATGGTTGCCAACTCTCAAAAATGTATGTATCGTCGTAAGTTGTATATACAGGGTGGAACCTCTCACGATTTACTAGCAAAAACTGTTGACTCGAATTTTACAATACCGGGTGTTGCCCCCATCACCTGCTCTAAATGCTTGTGTCATCCTTGGCATGTATCTACAAGACTTCTGTATGCACAGAATATTTTATAGCATTGTAAAAATGCAAAATCTAAGTAAAGATAGGTAAATCTTGTGTTTGTGTGAACGTTTGTTTTAGCATTGAAAGGAAATTAATTATTTCATTTATTCATAAGCCAAGTTGGCTTTTTATTTAGCTAAAAGGGAATTAGAAATAGAAAGTAACAATTGCGGTTAAAAATGCAATTTTATTTCTGATTCAATTTCAATTTATTTTTTCTCTGGCATACGTACATGCCTACATAGGACGCGTGTCATACATAAAAAACATTAAACATTCACGTGACACAACATCAACGTATTTGTTGATAATAATAATAATAATAATAATGTTTATTGTTCTACAGATACAAAGTATCCAATAACAGAACAAAATTAAAGTTTGTTACGTTTGCGTAAGCGGCACTATAGACAAAAAAAATGATAAGCAAGATAAATAAAATAAGAGTAAACCTATTACAATGTAATTAAGTAACTAAATTAAACCATGACATTACATAAAAGAAAACAAATATCAAAATTTCTGATAGCGGAGAAAAATTAATGTCTGCATGTCTACAGTATATGTTAAAATTACGCGACATTATGAAGGAAGGGGATTTTGATCATATGTTAGTTTTGGGAATGGGATTTAAGAATGCCTTTTGAAACCGGGAAGTGCGTGCTGGGACAGATATGTTAAGGGATTCAAGTAGGGAAGGACAATCAACATGAATGATGGTGTAGAACATTTTGTTGACAAGAAAAATGTATATTGTTGACTTCACGTGTTCTGGAAGCAGGTCGTACATGTGAATACATGCATATACAGGAGACCAGTTTGTACAGTGTGCTGTTGGGTAAATGATGTAGAGTAAATTAATATTTATGCTGCAGTCCGTGTGTCTATTCGGGATGAGCTAAATGCAGCGGGTCTTTGTAACTAAAATAACAGCAAGGAGATTCTAATTGAATACGTTTATCGTAACCTAAGGTTGAATGACAAAGAGCTTATGGTAGGGCAAAAGACCATTACGATCTAGGGCCAGGTGGTAATCGGCCTCAGAGGCCAGTTCTTCAGGCGAGATGTAATGCATCTTCTATCATAAAAATGAACAAATATTTTGATTAAAAATAAATATTCGTTTAGGATTTACCGCTTACACTGTGAATATTTAGTCGCGGTGTGTCGTCAACATTTAGTGTGCAAAGGTTTGCAACAGGGTCGAAAAGTAGGGAGACTATACTGCATTCATTATAAGAAGGTAGTGATGGCGCTGTGCTTGAAGATAAACACACACAGGGAAAATATAAAAAATAAATAATTGTAAAGTAGAAATATCCACACTGCGAACAGAAATAAATCTTTGACATTAACAGCTAATGACATTTCGGCAGTTTAGTTGGTAACATAAACTACCAGCTTACAAAATTCGCCAGTCGTTTTATGTTTCAGGTACTGACTCGTGTTTTAACCAATCACAGTGAAGGTTAAAGCTTCCCTGTGCTTTCTACCGCTACCTTCTTAAAATGAATACAGTATAGTCAAGTTGACTACTGTATATACCTTTTTTAAAATTCATGTAAGACGTTTGCATTGTGCTGAGGTACAAAATACCACTCATACCGTATTTCTAATTATGTTTCCTTCATAACATTTTTTTGGGGACGTTTACCGTAAGTAATCCTTCTCGAATAACATTATACGAACTCTTACCTTTATGTAGCAATCCTTGCGCCATCTAAATGTTCACATTGTAACCCGATCCGTTATCTGTGATATAGCTTTCTTTTAAAACTTTCCCATCGAGATTTTTGTTGGCGCGCGCAGGCCTTGTTGAAGAACTCGAATCGATCTTGACTTGTATTTGAGCTACACGCCATTATACTTACTTGACATTATTGTCTACCTTTTTGAGATATTATATGTGGTGTTTGTATTAAGATTAGTGAAGTTTTTCTCTTATTATCTTACTTCCAACTTCGCTGACGCATTTCTGCGGATTTATCTTACAAGTTTAAGGCCGTTTACGGTATGTTATCTATGACGCTCTCTCTCTCTCTCTCTGAAGGATGAGGGTTCGAAGATCAAGTACAACGGAGAAAATTCCTAAAACGCCAGAGATAATAAATCGCGGCCACACTTACATATCAATAAATCCGATGTTATATCCTCCAAATTTAGAGAAGTGCTCAAAACTATAACTCGAGAGTACACCACAACTGGTTAAATCCCCAGAAACATTACTTTGTGTAATTAAACCAACACGGCTTATTAATACACTTCGCTTCACGTGTCGAATCGAGGCCTATTGTCGGTCGAACTTGTTTGTCGAAAGAATGAGGCCGGAAAATGGAAGCCATAAAACCAGCAATGCGGATTGCACTCGCGCTTTAAGAACCAATCATAATTCGTACACGCACGACATGACACCTAAATCAGATATGCCAACGAATCTCAAACAATTAATTACAGTGACCGTCAAGCAAAAATAATTTATAAGAACTTGCAAAAATAAAACTGGACACTTTTTCATCCACAACAGAAATTTGTTTAGTAGGTATGATAATAGGTCGTAAAGTATATTTTATACTGCTAGGTCATTATATAGTTCGCTGGGCGTGTGAGGTGAGGCGGCGCAGCCCCTGAACATCCAGTTAATCATTACTTTTCTTGCCAAATAAATGAATGTGAAAGAAATATGCCACGTAACCTTCACAATTATATTTCTGTTTCAGACCAACAGGCTTACTCTACAGTTGAAAAGAAAATTTATTGTCAACTTTGATGTGGTTTTCAAGGAAAAGACACGATTGCTTATTTCTACTGTTAATATACTATAACTCGAACAAAAAATGGTTCAGGTATCACATAATTTCGTCGTTTTATTGTCTTGCTAGGTATATACAGGTCTTGGTGGACCACAAGTGGATGATGGCGGCCGTCTATCATACTGGAACAGTGCTCTCCTTGAGTGAAACGCTACATTCTCATTCGTGCTCTGTATCGGTACAATTCTTGGCAGCCCCTGAAATCTACTGAAGGATTCAGCTCTGTGTGTCTTGTTGGAACGCCGTCTGCTGTCTCTATAAGGACTGGAAGTCATAATAAAGCAGTGTATAGGTAAATAACTGGTCACAATCTTACCTAGTCGATCTGTGACCGCTATCGGCATTCGTACTACAGTTGCTAAAAGTTTCAAAGTCTGTGTGGACCTTTACGCGCAATGTAAACATAATTGCGGCAAATATCACATTGACAAACCATAAAACAATACCCCTCGATGCTAGAAGTATAAGCACACCACACGATAGGAGTTCGTAAATTTGGAATGGATGTTTATCTTTCTTCTAAATCGTTCCGAATTAATGAATTAAGAGAGGCGTATCTTCCACTTACCTCATTAAAAATGTCTACTAGTATGGTGTAATCGATAGATAAAAGCAAAACTAGTGTAAGGTCAGCAGCGCAAACCACTATAGTCCAAATTGACCAGGCTAAAAAAAGTTTTCTAGGGTTCACCTTTCGAAATATTGCTAAAATATGAGAAGCTTGTACGCTTGAGGGTGCATTCAATGGTGCTCACCTATTATGACACAGAGAGACAACACCGCCCAAAATACGGCTATGCCCATAAACAAAATGACCCAAATGTGGAACTCTTGCGGCCTTATAAAAACCTTGCCGCCCAACGCTATGCTAGCGGACGGATAACCTTCAACAAAAAATCCACTTGGAATCTACCACCTTTAAGGACCAAAGGCCTCACCTGTAAGATATCCCCATATAATTGCGTAGCCCAAACTTCCGCCGTGCGTCGATCTGTTCGGCGCCGGAATCCATGTCTCGAAATGTACTAACAAGGCCAATAGGCTTAATACGATCCAAGTTACTCCTTGAACCTGGAAGAAACTGTTTGGTACGGTAATTGAGAAACACTTGCTTACAATTCCCAAACTCCCAGCCGCTACTACGAAATATTTTATTGCATTATTTCCCAACATGATATTGGCGATACATACCTAAGCGTTAAAAACGGGGCTTTTCTGATAGCGTATCTTATAGATAAGGGAAACGTCAATGAATTGATCTCCGTTATCAAAAGATGTTGTAGACGACTATTAATATATATCTCGCAGTTTATGTTATGAGTGTTTATAGTGCATTGTTATTTATATTAAAAATCGCAAAACAATAACCGCTTTTATGATTTAGAGCACACGCGGTTGGCGAATTGAAAAACAAATTCTGTTTTAATGTTAGGGGATGTTGCCTCAACACTTAGGAATCTCCATGGAACATTTTTTGAGTGTGGTTTACCGAAAAACTCGAACCATACGCCTTCTCTTCCTTCGATTGCAAGATGCTATGTAAACGCATACTTAGCGATGACGTCATAATACACCAATGACGTGACACAAAACATGATAGCAAATAGAGGTTAAAAGCAAGTTGCAAAACAAAGAAATGGTTGACTTACAAGCAGGTAACAAAATACGGTAGCTGTGACGCTTTTGTTCAAAGCAACATGGAAAATTACATGGTTTTGGAAGGCAACTTCAACGTTTAAACTACAACACATGTGCAAATTACTGAATCGTAACATATATCGTAACTAGATTATAAAACAAAGAGTTTTTGTTAGCAGAGTCTCACCCCTGGGACGAATAACTTGTGCTCTTGCGGGATATTGAAGCCCATAGTTGAGAATCGAGGTAAACCATGGCATCAGATGTGTAACTAGTTGGGTTACAGTATTTCCCATCCCTGTGACTATCTTTTTACGGTGAAAAGTGTCAGTATACATACAAGCCCACACACACCAAGGAAATCGATAATTTCCACAAATTTAAATGAATGATTAAAACTCTAAACTAAACTTTGGGTCAACAGTATTGAAAGGTTCCACCCTGTATATACAACTTGCGGCGATACATACATTTTTAGCGCATTTCCACAAAAATAAAAAAAAAATGCGCTATTGTGGCCACTTTGTCCGTCCGTCCGTCCGTCCGTCCGTCCGCTAACTTTGCGACGCTACTAGTTTTTTATCTTAAGAGCTATTGTTCTACTTTTTTCGCTATTTGGTTCGTTATGGTGTCGAGTCTTGCACCAAGGAAGGAATTTTTTCTGTACCGCTTACAAAAAGTTATTGTAAAAAAACAAAAAACCGTTTTTTACATGTTCCATAATTTTACACTTTTGCCGTTTATTAACGATCCTAGAGATCGTTTATAATTTTGCATTGCTATCTCTCGCCTGCCGGTTGATCTCTCCGTCTGTTCCTTTGTCTGTCTGCCCATCTATCTGTCCGTGTGAACCATAACTTTGTTTAGAAATGTTCGATCGCTTTTACATCTCCGTTAGTTATGAACTGAATTGCATGAAATTCAATATGGGCATAGCTTTAACCATATAATACGCAATGCCAAAAGTTGAATCGAATCGATTCAAAATTCACAGTGCCCTTTTCGCATCTCGACCATTTGTAAACCGAATTGCAAACTTTTTTACTTATAAAAGTATTTGAATGAAATTTGATACATAGGCATTTGGGATAAAGGAAAATCAAAGGCCAATTTCAAAATTTGGTTTTGCGCATGCGCAGTGCCAAGTTTTTTATTTATGGAAGAATTTAAACGAAATTTGATACATAGGCACTTGGGATAAAGGAAAATCAAAGGCCAATTTCAAAATTTGGTTTTGCGCATGCGCAGTGCCAACTTTTTTATTTATGGAAGAATTTAAACGAAATTTGATACATAGGCACTTTGGATAAAGGAAAATCAAACGCCAATTTCAAAATTTGGTTTTGCGCATGCGCAGTGCCAACTTTTTTATTTATGGAAGAATTTAAACGAAATTTGATACATAGGCACTTGGGATAAAGGAAAATCAAACGCCAATTTCAAAATTTGGTTTTGCGCATGCGCAGTGCCAACTTTTTTATTTATGGAAGAATTTAAACGAAATTTGATACATAGGCACTTGGGATAAAGGAAAATCAAACGCCAATTTCAAAATTTGGTTTTGCGCATGCGCAGTGCCAACTTTTTTATTTATGGAAGAATTTAAACGAAATTTGATACATAGGCACTTGGGATAAAGGAAAATCAAACGCCAATTTCAAAATTTGGTTTTGCGCATGCGCAGTGCCAACTTTTTTATTTATGGAAGAATTTAAACGAAATTTGATACATAGGCACTTGGGATAAAGGAAAATCAAACGCCAATTTCAAAATTTTGGTTTTGCGCATGCGCAGTGCCAACTTTTTTATTATGGAAGAATTTGAAATTTGATACATAGGCACTTGGGATAAAGGAAAATCAAACGCCAATTTCAAAATTTGGTTTTGCGCATGCGCAGTGCCAACTTTTTTATTTATGGAAGAATTTAAACGAAATTTGATACATAGGCACTTGGGATAAAGGAAAATCAAACGCCAATTTCAAAATTTGGTTTTGCGCATGCGCAGTGCCAACTTTTTTATTTATGGAAGAATTTAAACGAATTTGATACATAGGCACTTGGGATAAAGGAAAATCAAACGCCAGTTTCAAAATTTTATTTTGCGCATGCGCAGTGCCAACTTTTTTATCTATGGAACTATTTAAGTGAAATGTGATACTTAGGCGCTTGGAACAAAGGAAAATCTAACATTAGTTTTAAAATTTAGGTTTGCGCATGCGCAGTTCCAACTTTCTTATTTACAAAAGCATTGAAATGAAATTCTTCTCATAAACTGAAATTGAAGTAGCACGTCAACAATGGATTGCCCATGTGCAACGCTATCTTTCATATTTGTGGCCGGATTTTTACGATTTTAACAGAAGTTGCATCTTACAAATGGGAAATGAATGCAAGTGGAAATGCGCTTTATGTAAATCGTTTACGATTACTATTTAACTTGTTTAGAGTTGGCAACCATGCAATTTCTAGGTGGGAAAAAGCTGCCTGTGCCATCTAAAAAGCACGAACGGGGGTTACGTTTGGGATCTTGTCTTAAATGGTAGTCGTAAACGCGTCGCTCCATAAATGTTTGTTGTTATTTTGTGTTATTTAATGCAGGTAGTAATTTTTGCATTTCCGTATATCGTATTTGTGTTTTGTATGCCGCATTTTATATTTTTTGTGTGTTTCAATCTTTGTTTTTGAAATTGACTTGGTTTAACCGTAATGCAGAAACACATGTATGATACCGTTATGCTATTGTTTGTAATTGTTTACGTTTTTGGTGTAATGTTTGCTTAATTTATGTTTATTGATGTTGATTACTTTACTTGGTCTTGTCCCTGAAGTAACATTCATGTAAGTTTTGATAATTGTATTTTAATATCTGGAAATTACCGGTTCGTTTGATGTGTGTACTGACTTGTTGTTTGTTACTAACAATTTTCTCCGTGAATGAAGCAGTCACGAGGGTGGAAAAAAACTGTAGTCAAAATTGAGTTACGACACCTAATTCCGTGATTGTCTTCGACATCCAACTGAAGGCTCGAAACCCCGAAACCAGGGGCGGGCTACCCATCTTGCAGGAGCGGGATTACGCTAATCAAAGCTCTTCAGTTTAGAATCTATGTGCGATAAATGAGTGGCGATTCAATAATTTCCACATATCTTGTTTTTAGTTAAATCTGCCTACAAGGCCATGTAATTTTCCATCTTGCTTTTAACAAAAGGACTTTATTGCACCAAAGATGAGTCACATCCTGTGTATTTCACCCTGTCTCAGAATTTAGGTGCCTGCTCCTACCTGACCCATTGTTCCCAACAACTTTGCTTTTAACCTTGAGTGTAACCAACATTGTATACCTATATGCATTTACTATCTTTGTTATCTACTGCTTAAACTTTTACAAAATATTTTGTTAATTAACTTTTGAACTATATTAATCAAACTGCGAGGTTTTTCTTAAGTCGTACTCTTTTTATCCTTATCAGTTACTTTTGCGATAGTACGACATCTTTTGGCTTTGCTAGCTTTGTTTATATTAATCTACACCAACTAAATTTCCGGGCTTTCACAATCATAATAATTACGATCATTATTAAACAAACTTTTCACAATGTGTGTAATTGACATTGACGCATAAACAATAACTGTAGTCGAAGAACAACTGAAATCAATGGCAATACATTCAAAGGTACGTTACAGAAAACAAGTAAAAAGGTTTTCGCCCTAAGGCGTGTAACTTTAGCACATTTTCCAAGCATTTATCAGTATTTCACAACAGGCTATGGCTATGTTTTTCTTACTAAAAGATCTATGGTTACAATTTCAAAGAAATACCTCCATAAATAACGGAGTTGGCACTGCGCATAGATTGCGCATACTCGCATTTAATGTTTACAATGTGAGATATGTTTGCCTTCGACAGAAGCATCTGTGATTAAAATTTCAAAACGATATCTACTCGACAGTTGATATTGCCCATCCTGCACATGCGCAGATTAATCGGGAAGAATTTCCTTAGCCAGGTGCCAGAGCTATAAGCTACCGAATTCAAAAAGAACGAATTAAATATATTGAAAACTGTAGAAGTAGTTAAAGCCTCGGATAGACGGACAGACGGACGGACCGAAAAAGTGGCTGAAATAGCGCTCCCAACTTTGTTGTCAAATGCTCGTCAGAAAATACTCATCGGCACCAACACAAACACGTAGGTATGTATATTAATTACCATTCAGCTGTATCGAAAGCATTTTATGAACAAACGTTAAGCTTTCGACGAAATTTGAAGTTTACCTTCGACTTCAGGCCACGGCCGTCTGAATTCAGAAGGACGCTATCTGCCAATGATCTGCAATCAGATAAAACATAAAAAACGAGAAAGGGGTAATGATAGCGAGGAATATAAAGGGACAGGCAAAAACTAACGTCACATCAAGCGATGCGAATACTGTAAATCGTAATCAACATTTAATGGAACAGGTCTACATAAAATGCAATGCCATCCAGGTTCTGCGTAGGTATTTAATTTAATCCACAACGGTTGTCGACGTAGCTTAGGTATGCGCAGGTAAATATTAACGAAGTAACACAGGAAAGAAAAAATAAACCAGAAGATCAAAGCCTAAAAGAATTAATCAGTGTTAAAGCAAGCATTGCGTAAACGGTCTTAGAGCTTGTAAATATATCCGCAAAAGCGTCAGTGAAGCGTCGAAAGAGAAAATGTTCACCAAAGATATCATACGGGCATGACGCAAAGTCTAAGAAGAAAAATGGCGTATAGGTTCTATACAAATAACGATCAAATTTGTTTTATAGTACAGAGAGTGCACACGCAGAAAGAAAACCGCCATGTTTCCTTCAAATTTGAATGTAATAGCACAAATCTAGTAGGACATGTCCAACTGGCGAACGAATTTAAAACTCGTTTGCACATCACGCGCATTACGTCATCGGATTGACAACTCCTAAAATTTAAATATACAGACGTAACTTCCATGGTTACATTCAAATCTGTAGGAAACATGGCGCAGCCAATACAAAACTTGATCAACGTATGGCCATACTGCTAGTATAAAGTCGCTGTACTGAAACTACAGTGATTTTATAGATACTGTGTGGTCATATGGTGGTGTTATTTTCTATTGGTAGTTGGGAGATCCGGCATGTTCTCTTTCGGTCAAATACACCGAATTGGTGGAAATTAACCTAGAAACAAAGGAGATGCATCCTCAATTTTTTATTTGCGTGTAAAATAAACCCAAAATACAGTATTTCAAAGCTGTGTTTTTAGTTTAAATTTAAAACGCTTTAGTATAAATACGTCACAAACCTACAACTAATCACGTAGAGGTGAGCCGGCAACATTGTGCGAGGCCCAATCGCCCACGCGAACAAACGCTTGTGACATTCTCCTGCAATATTGCCAAGTCGCGATGTCATCTGAATGGTTCTAGCAGCTGATTGGTCGGCCTTATTTCGGCACATAGCCCGCCACAACCATCTTGTCTCGAATAGACCCCCGATACAGCACATTTTCATTATTTTTTTTCTAATGAGTCACTATTTTTAAATAAACTTTGACTTTCAAAGAAATTGTTTTATGGTTTCGGGTATACGCTTATTAAATTAGGACTACGGAATTCAACTGTACTGTAAACTAGGGATGTAACGGAGCTTCTGTTCCGATTCCGAAAGAGCGGAACTTCCGATTTAGTGTGCACTTTCGATTCCGATTTCGGTTCCGACAAATTTTAATCGGATGTTATATCGGAGGTTTATGGACAGGGTCGGTGCGGCCACAATCAGTGCGTTTGCGTACAAATACGTTTATATTTGTCGCGCGGGGAACCTTCCTCACCTCCTGCCTTCTGTTGATTACCTTTTCACTTGTTGTGTTCCTTGAGTATAATTTGCTTCTTTTCGAGTTACTTAATTTGTTCTATTTACATATTAGTATTGTAATCTAAGATATGACATATCTCTTCTTTAAGGTTCCGATTTCGGTTCCGATAAACCAAATTTAAAAACTCCGCTTCCGAATTCGGTTCCGATGTAACCACTTCCGTTACATCCCTACTGTAAACCCCTATTGTGACATAATTGTTGTAACTATAGCAAAATCTACTAATTTGGTTTAACCAATCAGCTCAATGATGAATTGGAAAAAAAAACATGACCGACATGGAGCATTATGGCCTTACTGTCTTTATACAGTCACTGTACTGCCACTACAACTACAGTGACTTTATAGAGACAGTGGCGACAATAGAGTGTCTAATTTTTGATTGGTCGTTGAGATCGGGCGCCATTTTGCGTCAAATTTCACGTGTTTCCGGTAATAGATATGGTCACGCGCATTCCCACGCGTTGAAGTACAGGTGCCATGATATTCCTACAAAAAATAGTATCATGTCAGATGACAGCCTGACATTAGCGACTTCTGCAGTCAAATGGCAGCGTCTGGGGATGAAAAATTTGTGTTTCGATGGCCGTGAATTCAGTACCTTAAGTGTATTTCCGCGTGCAATTAGCATTGGAGGACAAAGACATCGAAAAATAATTGTATTGTACGTGTTGCCAACTTTTTGACGCAAAATGGCGGCCAAACTCCTATTGTCGCCACTGTCTCTATAAAGTCACTGTAACTGCAACTACATCTGCACGATCTCTACCGGCAAAATAAAGAACTATGAAATAAAAACTCTGCCAACAAAACTAACTATAGCACGACCTTACACGAGAAATACACATATGGCATATACCTAGAAAAATATAAATTTTAAATGTTAGTTGTAAACAACGTTGTAATATGCTCGTAATATTATCAACGGAAATGTGCGAAAACTTTACATTGGAATTAACAAAACAATTGAGTACCTAGTATTAAGTAAGTAACGTATTGCCAGTATCCGCAACTTTTGCTTCACCTACCGACCATGGTACGGTACAATCGTCACTTGATGGGACACCGATATCTTCGTTTCATTTCATTTTATTATTTGTGATCTATACAATAGTATTTTCACACGTCATCAGGTACAATTACATAATATTTAAAAAAAAAGACAAAGGACACGAGAACACAAAGTACTGTTGATTTTAAGACTTAAATGTTATCAAATTTATCTTTTAAAAATTCTTCATAAGAATAAAAAGCTTTTCGTTTAAGGTAACTATTTACAAAGTTTTTAAATGCGTGCAAATCAACAGTAACCGCGACTTTTCCTTCACTTACCGATCATGGTCGAGTACGGTACAATCAACACTTGATGCGACACCGTTGTCTTTTGGCCTTGACCGAAATTCGTATCTTTATCCCCATATACGAAAACATAAACATTTCCAATGTTCAAACGGAATAAAATTTCAAAGTTAAAAAATGTTTTTTTCGCCAAACCTTTAATTTAACTTTGGCAGTGTAAATGTAACCACTGTTACACAAGGCAAGACCCCCATTTAACTTGGTTTAAGGGGTTGGATTGAAAAATGTTTGTTAAATACTTGGAGACTGATGTCAGTGGGTGCAAATATGACTTGTGGCCTCCTGAAGCATCACAGGAAATTTAGATCTAAGTTTCAGTTACCCAGTTTTCCAAAAGAATTTTTAGTATGACAATGAAACATGCAAAAAAAAAGGTATTTATAACCTAGGAGGTTACGTGCAGCTATGCCAGGATTAATTCTAATGGCGCAAAAAGTTTGAAAGCAAAAAATCTATATAATTAAAGATCTAAAAATTATCAAGATACATACATTCTCATTTAGTTTGATAAATTTGAACCCTGAAATCTCGATCCCAGTTAATTTTTTTGATCTCTCAATTAGGCAAAAATAGAAACAATAAGTAGCAACCAAACGAAGTCAATTAAACGAAAACGTTTACCAGAAGCGCGGTTTTAATTCAGAAACGAGAAAGGCATTTCTGAATTTTAAAAAATCTACGAAAATGGTCAATTAAGTACTTGAGTTTAATTGCGTAATTCATCAAGTAGGTAAACGCTTCTAAAAATGCGTGTTTTAATTTAAAATTGGCATTTTGCCCGGATCCTTTTTATAAGTATGATTTTATAAACGAAGAAAATGGTTTTACTTTCGGTTTGGTTTAATGACACAAAAATTGTCAGTAGCTATTTGGGGAAAGTGGGAAACAGCTGAGCGGATCGATAAAGGTTTTCCCTTTTCACGGTGAAGTGGTTTCGCGTTTTAATTACATTATGCGTCATATCGTGGTCGGATGAATTGCATAAAAAAGTATCTGGAATGATTAACCACAAGTAGAGAATTGTGTTACGAAATGCAAGTGTATATTACGTGTCCGATTATTTTACCTGCAACAGTACGGATTTCTGCGCGACTGTGAGGATTTACTCGTTCTACATGAAAAACTAGGCATGCGCTGGTATTGGGGGTAAATGCTTCGTCTTTTGGAGGAGAGATAGGTCACCTTCGCGTTTTCATTGATACAAATTTGCCGGTTTTCGCTTGCCAGTAACTCGCCGACTTTATCGCAGGTAAGTGCCTATACATGTTTGTATAGTATACCTCTATCTCATTACGCGACATTGAAAGTTTAATTGGGTCTAATTAACACTTCTCACTTTGTAGAATTTTGAAAGAGCTCGAAATGTCTACGAGGGATGCGCTCTTGGCGTCCGTCTCGGAACGGGTGGAGACGTCCGGAAACAAAGTTAGCGTTGTTGGTATCGGGCAGGTGGGAATGGCCTGTGCTTTCAGCATATTAACCCAGGTGAGTGCCTGCAATCATTGTTCGATGGGCGATATCCTCTCTCTATTCAAAGCAATATTCGTGGGCCAGGCCAACTATGAAATGAGCGCAAAGAATGTCCGTTATTTTCTTATTTGAAAATATCGTTGATCGTTCCCGCCTTAATTTTTGCGTCCGGTAGAGTTTTGATGTGCAAAAGATTCTGTCTAACTAAGCAAAGAATGTGCCGTTACCGTTTCTTGTTAATTCAAATATTAGGCAACCATTGTCTGTCTGTCTGTAATGTTTCATTAGGGCTTACAATTCAAAATTAGGTACCTTACATAAAGTAGTCCGTGGATTACTGTTTTTAACACTCTCTTTAATATCCTATAAAATGTGTGTGCATAGAGTAAACAACGTTTTACTAGGTACTTAATAAATCGCAAAATATTGTAACAATCGGTAGTATTCCATCGTTACCTAACATTATCAATCTCACATTATTCGTAGATTTTTTTCTCGCTTCCGGCGTGTAAACAATCATATCTGTCTGATAAACAAAAAAAAAGCAAAAGTAAAGCCGAAAATAAACATGAGAAAGATAAAGATGATAATTTAACTAACAATACACGACCTTGGTGGATCATTAACTAAATTGTTACTTAAACCGTTCTAGGTATGCGTATCCTTTTTTAGGTAACTCCACGCTTCTAAAAATGTATGGTTCATACTTTTCTCATACTGACACAGAAAGTCTTCTTATATCATTTCTTCAGAAAAATGTAAAGTGGTGCATAAATAATGATTTTTGGGCTATAACATAATTTCTCACGGAAGGACAGACACATACTACAGACAGATATATTTGAAAACCCAGACCTGATTCAAAAATCGGACGATCGTTTCGAGATTTAGTACACCTACAAACCTATATGTCAAGAAATGACTGTTCGAATATTTTCAATTCTTAGGATGATTTAAATTTCTCCTGAATTCAACTCTCGTGAAATTATTATTCAGTTTCTTTGGGTTCTTAAAAAGATGTGTAGGTATACTAAATTTCGAAACGATCCGATCTTTAAAACTTTGCTGAAAATTTAATTTTAATGCACTTAAAATTGTATCCGATGTTTGGCAAAAATTAACTTCAACGATAGATCGCTTGCAAATTTATCTGCCGAAAAAAACCGTTGTAATCGCCAGACATACTTTCGTTCACGTTCGCTATGAAGCGACTGCGAAACTAAAAATTCAAACTCTATAGGTATCCTTTGGCAGAGTTGGCGCTGCGTTAGTTCAAACCTGCCGCATAAACCCCTAACTAACTCAGGGTTGGAAAATAAAGCGAGATCTGTCACAGCAGTAGTTCGTTCTGGGCATATGATCTTCACTTCGTTACCACTGACCAATGGGGTTGAGCGCCACTCAATTTCTACCTTGACTCTCCCCGTATGAAATTGAGAAGATACGAGGGTCGTAATGACTGTACAAATCAAGTTATGTACCAAAATAAGTACTGGTTTATTCTCAAATAAACTCAAAGTAAAATTCTGGCCACAATTGGATAGCGTAACACACAAATACAAAATAATCCCCCCAAAGGTTACTCACAACTTCTAGTAAATTCGCTGTACAATTGAAATTCCCCCAATTTACTAAGAATGGATCTTAAAACAACTTCCCACAAACAAATTGATATTCCGGACACGTATAGGGTCAAGTGCAAGTAAAACATATAAGGCAACTCTTACCTTGAATGAGATTAGATGTCGGCGCCAAGAAGTGAGCCCAGTTTTCGCATCCACCTGAAAACAATCAAAAGAAAAACCTTTCAAGCCGCAGAGTTCGGTATACCTATACAGGGTGGGCCATTAGTGTGTGGGTGGACGATTGTGGCTTTATTAACGCGCATATTTAAAATTCTTTGTGGGGGAACCTTGAAAGATCCTTAAGGCTACAACCTAAAAATATTTTCACCGACATTGCAATTGTTATACAGGGTGATTTATATCAAAGTTGCATTTTTTAAATGGAACCCCCTGTATATTATTACATATTTCCATGCCTTGGTCAATTTTAGTGTGACTTTATGTATGACACATGATATCTAAATTGTGAAATCCCGGGGGTTGAAAGGGGTGGAAAGTGGTGTTTTGCAAATTGTGGCAAAACTATTAATTTTAGACGATAATGTTAAACGTAAAAGTTATAGAGATTAAAAAAATGAGCAACTTTTGTATCTACACTATTTTCACATTACCTCCAATTTTCCTAGAAAAACTGGAAAAACTGTTTTTTTCGTTTTTTATTCTTATTTTTGCGAAAAAAATGTCGTAGGGGTTTGAAATTTGGAGGAAACATAGCTTGTTTTATGATAAAAAAGAAGATAATTTTTTGGGCCCGTAAAGTTCAACCGTTTCCAAGATCTCACGATTTCTGAGAAAAAACCACCTATTTTTCAAGGGGATGAAAAATCTATTTTTTTTCATCGTACAGAGGTGCGCGGGGTAGCAAAATTTCGGGAAGGCTTACATTTTAATAATCAAAAATAAAAAATATTATTCCAATAGAAAAATTTTAAGAAAAGCTGCAAAAACGGGGGGAACAGTTTTAAGATATACCGTTTTTGACAGTAGGTAAATAGCTTTTTTTGCAAATAATAAATTAACGTATTGGATTCCGTGCTAATAAAATGTTTTTGAAATCTGTCTTCCCTCTCCTCTTTAATGTTGCTAAAATATTTTCTTTTGTTTCCTAGTGCCCAGCCCAATTGCCTTAATTAAACAACTTTATTATTTCTTTTTTCTGCATTTTACCGCAATAAAAGCAATTTGAAGTAAAATCGTAAAATCTTTTGCTTCCTGAACAATTTGTTTTTGTTCACTAACTCTTATTCCTGCCTATTTTACAGCTGATGGGATTAATCCGGGCCTGTTTATCGTTAATTTACAGAAATTATGAATAAAATCCTCATAGTTTATTCCAGGTTTTTACATCTCAAATCATTTGCTTTGGCCGGTAAAACTAACGTTCTTATTGCAGATTTTGCAAGTTTATCAACAGGCCCAACGCAATTGCATCAGCTATAAAACAGGCAGGTTCTTCAGTGAACAAAAAGAAATTGTTCAGGAATCAGGAAGCAAGATAAACCGATTTTATTTCGAATTGCTTTTATTTCGGTAAAAATGCAAAAAAAAAGAAATAATAAAGATGTTATAACTAAAACAGTTGATCTTAAGATAACAAAAGGGAATATTTAAGCGAACATTAAAGAGAAGCAAGAAGACAGATTACGAAACCAGGTGTCAAATTCTTGACAGAATAGCTTCCTAGCTGAGTTTTCTTTTATTAGGAGGACCTACCATCCAAATTTCGTTTTAATTGTTCCATAAATAAGAAAATTGCATTTCTGCGCATGCGCAACCGATTTTTGCGCATGAATTTTGTTTGCTTTTATTAAAGGGACTTACCATAGAAATTTCGTTTAAATTGCTTCAGAAACAAGATCGTTGCGTTTTGCACATATGCAACACAATTTTTTGACTTTGACAATTTTTTTCTCCGTTTTTTGATAATATAACCCGGCCCAATTTTTTGTAGGTTGTACACAGGAAAATAAGGTCTTCCAAATAATAGAATAAAAATTTTAGGTTGCTATTTGAAAAAAAAAGTTCGATGCCGTTACGGTGCTCCAAATTTTTTTTTCAAAAATCCGGCACGTTATTTTTCTGTTCGGTATGCCTAAAACATATATACAAAATTTCCACAAAATCCGTCGAGCCGTTTTCTCAGAAAATTGCCAACAAACGTACGTGCGTACGTACGTACAGACGGAAAAAAATTTTATTCTTTAAAATGGTCTAAAACGTCGACATTTGATGAAATTTTGAAATGTTCAAAAAACGGCTATCGCAATAGCTACCTAGCACATGCTAGGAAGCTAAAAATCTTTATTAACATCCAACATGTTGATTTATCATGTCAAAAACCGTGTATATCTTAAAACTGTTTTTCCAGTTTTTGGCGATTCTCTCGAATGTTTGCTATAGGAATAATATTTTTTATTTATGTTTATTAAAATATAAGCCTTCCCGAAAATTTTGCTACCCCGCGCACCTCTGTACGATGAAAAAAAATAAATTTTTCATCCCCTTGAAGAAGAGGTGGTTTTTTCCAGAAATCGTCAGATCTTGGAAACGGTTCAACTTTACGGGCCCAAAAAATTATCTTCTTTTTTATCATAAAACAAGCTATGTTTCCTCCAAATTTTAAACCCCTACGACATTTTTTTCGCAAAAATAACAATAAAAAACGAAAAAAACAGTTTTTCCGGTTTTTCTAGGAAAATTGGAGGTTATGTGAAAATAGTGTAGATACAAAAGTTGCTCATTTTTTTAATCTCTAGGTATAACTTTTACGTTTAACATTTTCGTCTAAAATTAATAGCTTTGCCACAATTTGCAAAACACCACTTTCCACCCCTTTCAACCCCCGGGATTACACCCGCGGAAAAATTCAGCTGTTTTAATTATTTTTCCCAATTTCTATTCAATTCACCTGCCTGAAAAACCCGGTTTCGCCCGGTAACTAATTTTTTTTGTAAAAAAATATTATATAGCCTGGACTATGCCTGAAAGGCCTCGATCTACTCGAAATCTGTTTCTATACCAGGTACGGTACTTAATTGGCCAAATCCTTCAGAAGGAAGTGGTGGTCTAACTCATAACTTAACCGAGATGGCAAAGATACTGAGTAAGAAGCTAAAAGGTTACGGAAACGTGTATGGAACTTGAACTTGAACCCTAAAAGAAATCAAAGGTAACCCCTATTCTGCTACCTACCCCTCGAAAAAATTGCAGTACAGCAAATTACAGCCGAAACCTAAAGAAGGGACACTCTAAATCAATGAAATGAAAATGGTAGTACTTACGATAAAAAGGAAAGAACGCAATTGTATATCCTCACTAGAAGTATAGGTGGATCCCGTACACTAATTACTTCGGAATTCCTAAATTATGAATTCAATCGCCAGAGGTCAATATATTCGGAAGTAATCAATCAAGCTGGCAATCGGCGCGGCAAAATTGCGTGGTTAAATTCCATCAATAGATGGAGTCATCTATCAAATCGTTTCCAGACGTTACGGGGATTTTTGAACAAGTAATAAACCTAAACCGTAAACAATAATAATGCTTCGCAATGAAGAAAATAAATCGCTACCACTCCCTCCAAAATTACGTTGAAACGACTTGCTCGAGGATGTGTACCTGTCCTTCCAAGGATTTAATAAACAAACATAAATAAAACGAAAGCAATGAGGAAGACTGAAATTTAATTAATTTCATTAAAACATTAAAACCTCTCACTACCACGATAGTAGCTCTAGGGTCTTGATTGATTGCAAAGAAGGAAAAAGAGCTACTGAAATCCTTCCAGGAAATGTGCTCTTTTACTCTTCTTACTCTCTTAACCGTTTCCAATTTTCATTTTACAATCACATTATAATAGTTTATCGGGGAATTTCATTTCCATCGCCATCATGATTTTACATTGCAGTCCAGTAATTCTAGGAAATATAGAAAAAAATCGTACAGTTCCAATTTTGCTTATAATCATGATTTTAAATTGATATATTATATTTTTTGCGCATTTTTTAAGAATTATAAAAAAATGTGCAATTATTTGCGATTTGTCCGTCCGGACCCACTTCTACCGTTTTGAATTACTTTTAGGGGAATGGTTCTAGAGTCCTGGAATTTTTTGCAGTAGGTAGCCTATAGCTTGAAGGTGTGCCAGACGGCCATCAAATTTCGTTGTCTAAAAGGGCCCCCCTCCCCACGAATTATTTCCTGAGATGCTGTTTTAGAAAGTAAAACGTGCATAACTTTTACATACGACAACCAATTGGTCTCAGATTTTGCATAAGCATGACTTTAGTGGTGCTAAGTTAAAATGTAGAAAATGGGGGGGGGGGTTAACATGTTCTACCCTTCATGGTATTCTAATGAAAGGTCTCATCGAAATAAATTGGTTTGCACCTGCGACTCTTCCAGATCAGTGAGCGACGGGGCCTGGAGGGTTTAACATTAATTTTATCTCTCATTGTATTCTAATTAAAGGTCTCAATCAACGAAAGGAACCGTTGTCTACCAACTACTGCCCTTCTTTCTGTCCTCTTATCAAAGTACGAGGTGGGGGGGGGGTTAAAAATTAATGTTATCTCTCATTGTATTCTAATTTAGCCCTCCTCCTCGACCTCTTATCGTGATCGGATATATTCCTTATACCTCAAGAACGGATTGCCGGAAGAGGGTACTCACAGAGGGCGATTGGTGATGTCAAAACAAAAGCTATTTCAGTTAAAAAAATGCGCTTTATCTGCACAAGAGTTGTGCACAATTTATACTTGTTTTTTTAATGTTTTCGCGATATCGAGAGTGCGGTAATGTTTACGTTCGGCTTTATAGAACACTGTACATTGTTTCTCAGTATATTTTGAGCCCCAATTATTAAGGATCCTCAGATCCTTTATAGTTTTGTATTGTCGTCCGTCCGTCCGTCCGTCCGTCCGTCCGTCCGTCCGTCCGTGTGCGCTCTAACTCTTTTTAAAAGTGGCCGATTGTGTTGAAATTTGGTATACGGGTACGTTGGACATTAAGAACGGACGCTATTGATTTTCAGGAAGCTGGTTCAACAGGAACAAAAGTTATACGACTTCGAGTGAATCGGGAACAGGAAAAACTGCGAACTCAATATAATAAAAATTAACATATTTCATTCCCTAGGTCATGTATCGAGTTCGGACTTTCGCTAGATTATTCCCTATGACTCTTAGATGTGTAACAATTCAATATAACTCTTCTCTGTGGTCTCGGTCAAAAGTTTTAGAGCAAAATGTACCCAAAATTATTCTTTACACATGAATTTAGAGTTGTAAAAGCTTTCAAACGCATTATCTTGATGCTGAAAGAGTTGATAACGTGCACGTTTGATAACCGCATGTGTGTGATTCAAAAATGTTAAATTATTTTTCTGAGGCCACATGGATTTTGATCAAAATATGTCAAAATCGTTAATTCTGCACCAAGATCGTTGGGAAAAAGACTACGCGCATTATCTCAATGCCCAAAACATGAATTTGATGCATTTTTGGCGACCACGTGGATTTTGATCAAAACATGTCAAAATCGTTATTTATGCACCAAGATCGTTGGGAAAAGACTAGGCGCATTATCTCAATGCCCAAGACATGAATTTGATGCATTTTTGGCGACCACGTGGATTTTGATCAAAACATGTCAAAATCGTTATTTATGCACCAAGATCGTTGGGAAAAAGACTAAGCGCATTATCTCAATGCCCAAGACATGAATTTGATGAATTTTTGGCGAAAACGTGGATTTTGATCAAAACATGTCAAAATTGTTATTTATGCACCAAGATCGTTGGGAAAAAGATCAAGAGCATTATCTCAATGATCTAAACATGAATTTGATCTATTTTTATGGACCACATGGATTTTGATCAAAACATGTCAAAATCGTTATTTATGCACCAAGATCGTTGGGAAAAAAACCAAGAGCATTATCTCAAAGCCCAAGACATGAATTTGATGCATTTTTGTTAACTATAAAATGTATTTTGTAAGATTAAAATAAATTGTCGTTAAAAGTGATTGTAATACTGAGGATCCTTCGATATTTCGTTGTATCGGTTTATTTTCATCAATTTTGGGACACAAAAAATAGTTAAAATAAAAGACTGATTGAATTCGGTGTACAATATCCTAGAGAATATCCCTTAATATTGCAAAAAGGTATTCAAGAAGAAAGTTATGTGTTTGTAATCATGTAAGTACATAGTGGTTTTTTTCTACTAGGAAGAGACGCTATGTGGTGGTAGCTTTTATTTTGGATCGCGTTTTGGATTTAAGTTTTTTGGATTTTTCGCAGAAAAAGTAAAGTAGACAATTGCCAGATTTATTTTTTCCCGTAAAGTAATTATTTTGATGATTGTAGAGCGAGTTGCAGTTGGTTTTCAATGAGTTTTTTGTTGTTGTGTAATTTCCAGCGTCCCAAGAATTTAATGGGGTTTTTGCCTGGGTTCTTGATTGCAGTGGAAAGTTATTTCGCCGTTTGGAATAATAACATTCGCGTTTGAATAAACCAGGCGATTCGATCTGGACATATGAAACTGATAAAACAGAAATGAGATAACGATACAACTCCACCTATGACATTGACACATATTTTCGGTATCAGTGGCTGCACCTAAAAATTATCGATAAACATGATTGCCGCATAAGGTAAGATTTATCTCAAAAATTATCACTGGCGAAATTAAACTTGGGTGTTACCACTCTACCGATACAATATTCGATGCAGGAAGTGCGCATCCCCACCACTAAAAAAAGTGAACAATCAGATATTGATGGGTACGCTTTTCTGGGATTGTGGAAGGATTCTGTTGTTTGAGTATATGAAAAAGGACACTTCAATTAAGAGCGGCGCTAATAAAGATACGATAAAAACCATTCCAGAGAAAATACCTCAGAATTTTGGCGGTAAAACTGTATCTACTGCTATATAGCTATTTATATCTGTTGTTTATTTATTCATTTGTTATACAATAGATTTATTTATCTACTTACATATTGCTATGCGCCCACGTTGTGCGACACATAGCCTCGATCAACTTTTGAAAATTCCACAGGATTACTGACACAAATCTTGGAACACGAAAAGAAAAATCAGACCTGAAAACTCCGGATGTGCAATCTATTGTGCAAATGGGTTCCAATAAGCACACAGTTGATAAAAAATAAAATATTATTTCGAACTACATGACACATTAAACAACATTTCTGAAAAAATAGAGGCCTACACAGCTTGTTTGGTCAAATTACCCCGCACGCAAGCGTTCGACACATAAAATAAAGAAAATTCTTAAATCTCCTTCTTCAAGTTTTTTTTACAGATAACGCGCCAATCATAGTTAGCCTTGATAACGCCAGTTTCGTACGCCGAACGCCCACATCGTTGAATTTATGAAGGTATTCAAATAAATTTCGAATGTAGACAATGCGCAATGCTATGTAGACACTTCGAATAGAAGTAAAACTAATGCCCGCTTCAAAATTTGTTTGTATTTATATACGCTCCACTATTTTTCATTAAAATGTATAGACTTCGACGATAGGCGGCTCATTTGAAAGAGAATGGGGTAAGGATCTCGTGCCAATCGGTATTTTTTCCTGGTCCTAGCATTAATATTATTAGGAGGAAAATACGGTCTCGTCATTTATGTTTACATAATGACTTTAACTGTTTTTGTGATGTTTTGTCATGGTGGAATGACTTTTTGCAACATCTAATTGAATTTCATCGACGAGAAGGGTTTTATTCAGTGGCGGAAACGGCAATTTTTGCATTGGTGTTTTGCCTTAGATTCCACTTGCTTCATATCTAGGTACATTACATAAAAACCTACCCTCGTTGCATTAGCGATACTGAGGTGGATATATAAACTTTGCTAACGGAACAGGTAGTCAATTACATAAAACTGTAAAGACCACGACGGAAGCGGTTTCTGTGGAAATCTTACCTCAATTTGAATTCGGCGCCCGTTCACTTAATTAGACGTACTTGACAATAACAATAACAAACAAGGCAAATGTAATGATCGATATAATTCGTTATTTAAATAAACTGAGAATATAAATCAAGCTATCTATTTTGATGTAAAAGATGCCAAGGCAGATGGAGTTCTTCCAATTCCGCCTTTCGTACTTCTCCCAATTGCGATATTTTTAAATTATGTTATTTGCAGAATGTCTCGACCGATTTAGCGCTGGTTGACTGCGTTGCGGAAAAACTACAAGGGGAGCTCCTAGATTTACAACACGGATCGTGTTTTACAAAAAATGCGAAAATTCACGCCAGTACAGGTCTGTAACGTCGTATTTTCTGGCAGTTGAACTGTAACTTTCATTCAAGATTACTCGGTGACGAGCGGATCGCGTATCTGCATTGTGACTGCGGGTGCGCGTCAACGCGAGGGAGAGTCACGGCTTGACCTGGTCCAGCGTAACACGGACATACTCAAATTCATCATTCCGCAGTTGGTCAAGTACTCACCGAACACAATTCTTTTAATTGTCAGCAACCCAGTCGACATTCTAACGTACGTCGCATGGAAAATAAGCGGTTTGCCGAAGCATAAGGTCATCGGTTCCGGTACTAACTTGGACTCGGCGCGGTTCAGGTTTTTGATGTCTGAAAGGCTGGGGGTTGCACCCACAAGCTGCCACGGTTGGATTATCGGCGAACATGGAGACTCGAGCGGTGAGTAAATGAACCATATCGACTCGATTGATTCATTTCTGTAACAGTGGCGGTGTGGTCCGGTGCCAACATCGCCGGCGTCAATTTGCGAAAGATCAATCCGGACATTGGCACCGATAAAGACCAAGAGGAATGGGCCAAAGTACATCGGCAAGTGATTGATAGCGCGTATGAAGTTATCAAATTAAAAGGTTACACTTCTTGGGCCATCGGCCTCAGCGTTGCGGCTTTGGCCGCTTCCATCCTAAGTAATTCCAGAAGAATACACGCGGTCAGCGTATATGTAAAGGTGAGATCGGCTCGTTATTTTACACAGTAAACTTTGAGCATCCAATACTTTAGGGCCATCATGGAATTGAAGAAGATGTATACTTATCATTGCCAGCGGTAATGGGGGAGGACGGAGTCTCCGATATTATAAAACAATCCTTAGAGGAAGAAGAACTGGAACGTTTGCATAAATCGGCCGCGATTATGCATGAAGTTCAAAAAAATTTACAATTTTAATTGTCTGTAAATTGTCGTTAATGACTGAGCACTTTTCTTCTTGCCATTGCAACGCATTTATCATACGTACTGCAGTATTATTTGACTTAGCAATACGATCGGACCAGCGATTTATGTAGTCAATTTTTGTTTAGTTTAGTGCTTGCGCCTTTTTTTTTTAAATGGCAACCAAAGAACACTTATCTATAGGTAGGTACCTATGCCAAGAGGTACAATCTAATGTTTCAAATAAAAGTCAAAAAACCTTTGTCCATATTTTGTTTAAATATCAAATACAACTATAGTGTAGGTTCGAATATCTCCGATGTGGATTAAAAGAGTATTCTGACAGGTACTTTTGTTTCATTGTAGGTACAGGTAGGTACTTGAAATAATTCGGTAATACTTGGGTACAGGTGCACACATGAAGTTAAGCCACTCCCTTTGAATTTGTATTTCGTATGGGACATTTTTTATAATTAAAAAGGTTCTTTTCTTTCGGCCTTGCGTGGTGTTGAAGTGAAGGTTTGTAGGGTGAGTAGGCTCAAAAATCAGACTTCGTTTAGTTTTTTTAATTGGTAATCCAAATATTTCGGACGCAGTTTGCTGTCCTTCCTCAGTGGGACCAAATTGTGTGCACTAAACACGTCGTTAACAAAATGGTGGACGCCTCCATTTCTTGGTGAACAATTATTACATCAACAAGCCTACTCACCCTACAAACCTTCACTTCAATTTTTTATCATTTTCAATTTCTGTTTTTGAAATTGTCATGATTTAACCTCAATACATCACCTGTACGAAAAATGCCGTTTGAAATCGTTTAGGTTTTTGGTGTAAAATTTTGTCTAATTTATGTTTCGATTACACGGTCTTAGCCCAACTTAATTTTATATATTTGATCACTCATTTAAATTTATGGAAGTTATCAAATTCTTTGACCTACTGACTTTTTGTTTGTAAACTAAGATTTTCACCGTAAATGAGGCGGCCACGGGGGTGGTAAATACCTGTAAGCACATTAGTTAGTGACAACCCCTAATGCCGGGACTGACCTCGACTCTCAACTGTAAGCTTGAATTCCTTGGACGAAGGGCGAGATTCTGCTAACAAAAACTTTTCGGTTTAGAATCTATTTGCGATATATGAGTTGTGATGCACATACTTTGTAGCTAGTTTGATTTGATCAGCAAGGCCATGTAATTTTCCATCTTGTATTCAACAGAACGGGTTTCATTGTCACCTGTTATAAACCTGTGCAAAAATTTGCGTTACTTCTGAAAGGTTCCACCCTGTATATACAACTTACGACGATACTTGGATCATATACAGGGTGGTGACTTGCGTAACGCATCATAGGGATTTCAATGTAAAATTCATAACATGCGATTATTGGCTCCCCAAATTATTTTAGAGTAAAATGTATTAAGGCTTTTTGTAGAAAAAATTTTTTTACGTCAATCAACCGTATTAGTTTTCAATTTTATGCATAATAAAGACCAAAAGTTGGAAAAATAAAACCCCTATCTATTTCAATAATCTGTGATGCCATGGAATGCTATAATACAAAAACTACGCCAATATCCGTCATGCCATGGAATGTCTGCTATAAAACAAATCAAATTCTATCGAAAAGTATTATATTTAGAACAGCGAATTCAACATAAAGAAACACCAAATTACCAAACACGGTTTCCTAATATAACAATTTACAATAAATGTTCGAATAAAGTCGCCATTAAATGCAAGACAGTAACCAAGTCGATCATAATAGTTATTTGTTTCATTAGTACAAAAAATGTCAGTTTTCGGGACGAGGAAGATAGCGGAGTCCAGCAACCTTCCGAGTCCCGAAAACGCATTTTTTGTACGAATAAAACATAAATTTTTTTCTCCAACCCCCTTTACTTCAAATTATATTCGAATTTAGAGTCAGTCACAGTTTCACTACTATAGTATAAGAACTTCTGCTTTCTTGTCCTCACGTGTCATGCCACTCTAGTTTTTAGGTTAACTTATAACCTATTCATTCTTACTTCTTACTTCTCACCTCTCGCGACTTTGTAGGGAGCAAATCTTGAGGTAGCATGTTTTGCCGTTTCTATAATCTCTGGCGGAGTGCAATCCATGTCGCTATCAGTTTCAGTCATTTTATTGTATACACAATCAATATTGTTATATTTTGTATTGAAATAAAAAACTTACCATCCAGTTTTTTAATTAAAATTAATTGCAATTAACTTTTTCAAATTTTCAATTCGCAAAATGACAGATAATAGTGCAATGGGTCTGAAGTAGATGGCGTTACGCGCGACGGCGGGTTGTATACGTATTAAAATTACGTTCACCGAATATGTAAATTACGTTACACATGGTTTAAATAAAAATAGCGAGCGTAAATCATTTTCAATACATGTACATACGTATAGGTAACAGCATTATTTGCATTGAATATGCAAAAATATTTGATTTGTATGTATAGAAATATCTTACAACCTGCAATGTAAAACGATGTCAATGTGACATATCTCCGTGATTGTAATTTTTTAATTGGCCAACTTTCAAGGTCAATTTCTTTTTGGTACTAGGACCAAAAGTATCCACTTTTTGTACAGTTGCCATGGTGAAAGCGATTAATCCGCAAAACGTCAATTTTAGGTACCGAACACTGTCACAAAATAGCGTCTTATTCAGATGGTTGGAGAAAAAATCCATTTCGAACTGCTGCTAATTGATAACTGGTTTTATTTTTCCAATTTTCCGTGTTTAAATGAAAAAAATTGAAAACTAATACGGTTGATTGACGTAAAAAATTTTTTTCTACAAAAAACCTTAATACATTTTTGCTCTAAAATAATTTGGGGAGCCAATAATCGCATGTTATGAATTTTACATTGAAATCCCTATGATGCGTTGCGCAAGTCACCACCCTGTATACATGGATAGAGTTATCTCATAAGCTCTACTAAAAGACAACCGTCGCCAACATTCCAACGTGCATTTTTATGCCTATCATCTTTTACTATTAGTAAGTTGTAATGTATTTATCCTTTACCGGGTTGATTGTAAAAGTGCGCAAGCTTGGCGATTGTAAGGACGTTTGTCCGTTTGACATCGTATATTCGCAGCTGTTTTTGTTATTTAACTTTGCTTGACTTTACATGGGTATATATAAAACTAAACTTTTAATACAGTGCTGTAGCACTAAATTGACCTATAAAGATGTATCTATCTATTCATGTAATGAGAACCTTTTTTACCATAAATAAATAATAAATATTGCATTGTTTATAAACATTGTGAGGTAACAGATTTGAATTTTCTGATTGGTTACCTTCACTGCAACTGTACATGGAATAACAACATATAAATTGTACGTCGACAAGAGAGATACAGCACAAAAGTACGTAGAGTCTTGAATCAGAACATGTTGGCGACATAGTGTAATTGCATCGCTCCATCGTTGTTTCTACTTTATATGATCTAAGCGACGATACATACATTTTTGAGAGTTGGCAACCATGCAATTTTTAGGTGAGGAAAAGCTGCCTGCGCCATCTAGAAAAGCACGAACGTGGGTTACGTTTGGCTTCTTGTCTTCAATGGCGGTCGTGAACGCCTCGCTCCACAAATGTTTGTTGTTATTTAATGAAGGTAGTAATTTTTGCATTTCTTTATATCGTATTTGTGTTTTGTATGCCGCATTATATATTTTGTGTGTGTTTGAATCCTTGTTTTTGAAATTTACTTGGTTTAACCGCAATGCAGAATCATGTGTGATACCGTTATGCTATTGTTTGTAATTGTTTACGTTTTTGGTGTAATGCTTGCTTAATTTATGTTTATTGATGTTGATTACTTGATCTTGTCCCTGAAGTAACATTCATGTAAGTTTTGATAATTTTATTTGAATGTGGAATGTGGAAATTACCGATTCGTTTGATGTATGTATACTGACTTGTTGTTTGTTATTAACAATTTTCTCTGCGAATGAAGCAGTCACGGGGGTGGTAAAAATTGTAACCATTTGAAGTACGACACCTAATTCCGTGATTGTCTTCGACATCTAACTGTAGGCTCGAAACCAGGGGCGGGCTACCCATCTTGCCGGAGAGGGATTACGCTAATCAAAGCTCTTCAGTTTAGAATCTGTGTGCAATAAATGAGTTATGATTCGTAATTTCCACATATCTTGTTTTTAGTTAAATTTGCCTACAAGGCCATGTAATTTTCTATCTTGCTTTTAACAAAAGGACTTTATTGCACCAAAGATGATTCACATCCTGTGTATTTCACCCTTTCTTAGAATCTCGGTATCTGCTTACCTGACCCATAATTCCCAAAACTTGTTTTTAACGTATATGTTACCTCTTGAAGTTTACCTGTTACTTTTTGTGATGTTATAATTTTATTTTACGCATTCACATCATTACAAACAATTAATTTTACTACACAATTTAATATTAATTTGACGGGTGGTTTTTTATTAGTAAGTTCTTTTTTCCCAGGTTTTATGTGAACTAGGTACCGTTTTCAAAGTTTATTTTTGCAATGTAATTTATTTCGATTTAAATTTCCGAGCTTTTACAATCAATAATAATTGCGATCATTATTAAACAAACTTTTCACAATTTGAGTGTTTTATTTTACGTTCCTTCCCTACTGTGCTTCAGGTCATAGCGTTCTTTACAACTAACGTAAGGGGGCCCTGCCTTAGATGTTTTATCACGTGCCACTTTTCAAATTTAAGCGGGATCTCGTTTAGTTTTGGAGGAAATTGTCATTCGCGTCTATGACTTGCATTTAATTTGTGCCTGTGTGACCATTTTTGGCGAAGCGATTTTACGTTCGAATTAGGTGCTTCCGACGACAAAATGCAACTTTTTTTTTTGATAGTAATGAAAAAATCAGGGATGATTCACCTTAATTTTTTATTCAATGCTTAGATTTAGGCTTTTGCGTCCGCCCGGTCAGTCGCAACTGCCAGCATTTATATCGCGTCTTCAACGAATTGCCAGGTTTTCAGGGACACACTCAATTTTTCACACAAAACCCTCTCCCACTATTAATTTACGATCGCGCAACTTGTCGCATCCACGGCCCCAAGCGTAATTCTTTCTCTGTTTAACTTATTTCTGAACGAAAACCCGACTCTTTAACGTTTACCTTCCACGGACCATCTCCCTACTATCTTCAACCCCAAAAATATCCCCCAAAATTGCTGCTAATCGTATCCGCCAACCGGGATTCGATTCTTTTTACTAATCTGATTTTTAGAATAGCTACTTGCTAGAACATTCGGCCGCGGTGACCTAGTTGAAATTTCTCATCCGATAACGAAGCCGGACGATCACGTACGTATATCTCATTAATTTTTGCTTATGACGCGTGAAACTGTCGCCTCCAATCTTTCACGCGCAATTAATAGTCGGGGCCGTATCCGGGGACTATTCGTATAAAAGTTTACGCAACAACATCCAGACACTCAATTTGATCGACCGTCGCTGTTTAGGTGTATTGGGTGTACTTATACCATCTTGGAGTAGGATTTCTGATTTTTTTTACAAAAACAGAAAAGACATGCTCAAAAACCTAGCTAAGTCGCAAGATCCATTTTACAACTATGTGATGGTTGGCGTCAATAATTAAAGAAGAAACGCGGAAATCATACTTGAGATTATGTTTCATGAGCAGATACAGTGCATTACATGCCTTAGTCTTCTACCACCTTGTATGGGGGGGGGGGGGGGGGCACGTTGAACGCTTAAGTAAAGAATTCATAGTGCATAGTGCCGTAAATCAAAGAGATATCGAGAATGCCTTCTTGGAATGTTTGGGGGGGGGGGGGGTCACAAACTTATAAATTAAGATGGACTGCTAATACTGAATTGACAAATGACACCTACAAATCAAATCAACTAATAAACAATCATTACCCTCACGTTTTCTAAATAAATTACTCTGACACATGTCATTTTGCAAGGCTGCAATAGTCTCAAAATTTGAGCACTAAGAAAATTCCCCTAGAAAATAACTAAAACGTGCACATCATGGCCGCGCCCATGCTAGGGCCATTTCTACCTCTATGCAACTGTTTGATCAGTAGTTCATCTTAATTTATAAGTTCGTGGGGGGGGGGGTGTTTGTTTGCAATAATTATGTGGAAATGAGTTGTATTACCGATATGGGAAAACGAACTGACTTCATGCGACAAAAAAATAATTTTAAAGGTTGCGTATCGGGAGCTCGCTTTGCAGTTTAAATTTTTCGAATTTTATTGAGACGAACTTTGCCGGAAAGTCAGCGCACAATCGGTTGCTTTCAAACAAAATTAGTGAAATCAGAAATAAAGTGTAATTATACGCAAATCACAATTAAATAAATATATGTATTGAATTTAACAGTGCAGTCGCAGAAGTCGAAGAAACGGTACGGTAACTCGAGCGCCACCAATGGGTGTAACCTTGTCCTTGGTCAAAGTCGGCGGGATCCGAAAGTTGTCGAAAACTCCAGGTATACAAACGGAAAGTGGGAGTCGGAAGCTCCAAAAAAAATCAATCCGAGTAAACAACAGCATTGTGCGAGTTAAGTAAATTGTAATGTATTAGGGAATTTTACTATTATAATTGGTAACGGAACCTACCGTACCGGGAGAACTTCATGTATATATGTATGTAAAAATGACAGTGCACAATAAATGTAATTATGTTGAATTATATTTTCGTATTTTACAAGTATCATACATAACAAGTGGTGTCAGAAGTGGAATTACAACTCGTGTTTTGTGATTGCTACCACAGTGTCTGTAATTGCAATTTTGGTTATCAAAAATACACCAGGTGCCAACTATCGTGATCGTCTCGTCTAATGATATCGGCGTAATCATTCCGTTGCACGTGTGTAGTGACCTTTTGCCTCTAAGCCTTTTGCTCTTTCGCGCAATTCATTATAGCATTGATTATACACGTGTATAATCAATGATTATAGTAATCAAGGACTCGATTTATCAACCTAACGTACAGGATACTTCAAACAATCGATATGGCAAACGTACCTCCGGAATTATTGCAATCATTCGCGCAATTAATTGCAACCGCTCTGCGGGAAAATGCTGGTGGAAACCCAAACGTCCAGGCGGAGGCCACAGTTTCCCACTCAAAACCACCGGGATTTTCTATGTCGGAATATCGTACGACAGATGGTACAACGGTACAGGACTATTTCAAGAGATTTGATTGGGCACTCGAACTAAGTAAGGTACGTGAAGATCAATTCGCAATGTATGCTCGTGTTCACATGGGTTCTGAGCTAAATAATGCACTCAAATTTCTTGTTAGCCCAGCAGAACCTGAAACTGTGTCATATAATGATTTAAAACAAACACTGATAAATCATTTTGATCGTGCAACAAATAAATATGTAGAGAGCATACGTTTCCGGAATATTGTTCAGCAAAAAGGTGAATCATTAACCAATTTTGTCCTTCGCTTAAAACAAGGAGCTGCCAAATGTGAATATGCAGCATTTCTTGACCGCATGCTAATCGAACAACTACTTAATGGGCTGGAATGTCGGGAAATGTGTGATGAAATCATATCAAAGAACCCGGAATCATTTAAGAAAGCATATGAAATCGCACACACATTGGAGGCTACACGTAATTCGTCAAATAATGTGAGGACAGCACACCCATCGGCAACTGTGGAAAGTACAAACAAGCTAGGGTACGCGCCACCAAAGAACAAGCACAAGAAGTCTCAATTTCATAAGCGATCGTCATCACGTGGTCAAATGCAAGACCTCAAGGGTTCTCAAGGAATCGGCCAAAACAGTAATGATGTTCAATCATCATGCAATGGGTGCGGTGGTCAACATGCACGTGTCAAATGTCCTTTTCGAGATGCCTCGTGCCACACTTGTAACAAGAGAGGTCACATCTCAAAGGTATGTAGAAAAAAGTCATCTGCTCAGAGTACCACTAACCAAGTAATTGAAGCGCCTCAACCGGCCAATTATATTGATATTCTCCATCAATTTAACACAATTAATGAGATAAATGGAATGTCTAAGCAGATGATCAACGTAAACATTGATGGTCATGATATTAAAATGGAATTGGATACAGGGGCACCTTGTGCCATTATGAGCAAACAATGTTTAGATTCAATTAATCCTAACTTACCATTAAAGAAATCTGACCGCCAGTTCAGCAGCTATACAAAACATAGTATTAATTGTATTGGTATAACATCTGTCCGAGTTACAGTTGGCAAAACGTCAAGAACTTTGGATCTTTATGTTGTGGAGGAGAATTATGACTCTCTTTTTGGACGAGAATGGATAAGGGCTTTTGTTAACGAAATCAACTTTATTCAACTATTCTCTTCACGTGATCAACTCCATACAATTTCTTCAAAGGTGCCACAACTTTCTCGAGAGCAGCAGCAACAAATTAGTAACTTGCTATCACAATATGATGACATATTCAGCAACACGGCAGGGAAACTAAGCGGACCACCAGCTCAAGTACACCTTAAGGCAGATGCAGCACCGGTTTTTGTTCGCGCCCGAGAGATACCTTTGGCCTTACGTTCCATATATGCTAAGGAGATCGATGACAAGATAGCAGCTGGATTCTTCGAAAGGGTCGATTATTCAGAGTGGGCTTCGCCAACTCATGTAGTAGTGAAGAAAAATGGTAACATTCGCATCACTGGGAATTATAAGCCAACCGTAAATCCACGGATGATCATTGACGAGCACCCCATCCCGAAAGCGGAACACATTTTTGCTCGGATGAAGCATTCCAAACTTTTCTGTCATCTGGACATCACGAGCACCCCATCCCGAAAGCGGAACACATTTTTGCTCGGATGAAGCATTCCAAACTTTTCTGTCATCTGGACATCACTGATGCCTATACACACTTAGCAGTTGATGACAAATTTCGCGAAGTATTGACGTTGAATACACCAACCCATGGTTTGATTTGTCCGACCAGAGCTATCTATGGATCAGCGAACATCCCAGCCATATGGCAACGTCGGATGGAAACGGTTTTGAAGGACCTTCTCAATGTCGTAAACTTCTTTGATGACATCCTTGTCTTTGCCGAAAGTTTTGAACAACTGCTGAGAACACTTCAAGCCACCCTGGACCGAATGCGCCAACATGGGTTACGCCTCAACCGATCAAAATGTGTCTTCGCCACAAACTCAGTAGAATTCTTAGGACACAAAATCGATGAACGAGGTATTCACAAATCTGACAGCCATATTCGAGCAATACGAGACGCACCAAAACCGTCAACGCCAGAGGAATTAGAATTGTTCATTGGTAAAGCAACCTATTACAATCATTTCATTCCAGACCTAGCAACGATAAGTCGTCCACTCAGAGATATGTTGCTGGCAGAATCATTTACATGGACACCTGAAGCAACACAGGCTTACAACGAATTAAAAAATATTTTAATTTCGCCACAAGTCCTGATGCCTTATGATCCATCTCTCCCACTAGTATTGGCAACAGACGCAAGTAAAATGGGTCTAGGAGCAGTCTTGTCGCATCGCTTGAGCAATGGTGTAGAAAGGCCAATTGCTTACGCAAGCCGCACATTGAGCCTTACAGAACAGCGGTATCCTCAAATGGATAAGGAGGCTCTTGCCATCGTCTGGGCAGTCGATAAATTTTTTTATTATATATATGCTCGCCATTTTGTCTTAATAACAGATCACAAACCTCTCGCACAAATTCTTCAGCCTACGAAATCTCTTCCAGTTTTGTGTATTAGTCGAATGGCGAACTATGCCGACTATTTGTCACATTTTAATTTCGATGTTCAATACAAGCCAACTAAACTTAACACAAACGCTGACTATTGTTCTCGCTTACCAGTAACAACGACCCACAAATCAACACATGCTGTGTCATCAATCGTACTGGAGAGAGAGGAAGAAGAAGACGGGTTTGACAACTTCACCCTAAATCAAATTAAACAATTACCTGTTCGAGCTAAAGACATATCTAGGGAATCGCGGAAGGATGATCATTTGGGGAAAATAGTACAATTGTTGGAGAGGGGACGAAATCTTGGTCGCTATGGATACAAGGCCCCCGAAAAGAACTACACCCTCTCTGGTGGATGTTTGCTGTTTGAACACCGAGTTGTCATTCCGCCAATCTTCCGTCAACCTATCTTAAACGATCTACATGCTGCACATGTCGGCATTGTAAAAATGAAAGGAATTGCTCGATCCTTTGTGTACTGGCCTGGGATCGATGGAGAAATTGAGCAGGTCGCAAAATCTTGCAATGAATGTGCAAAACATGCACACGTACCTCCAAGATTTCGAGAACACCATTGGGAGTACCCGAAAGGGCCTTGGGAGCGCGTGCATATTGATTATGCTGGGCCAGTAGCCGGCATGATGTTACTAATTTTAGTAGACGCATATAGCAAGTGGGTTGAAGTAAAAGTAACAGCGTCGACTACAGCCTCATCAACTATAACCATCCTCGACGAATTATTTGCAACATACGGCGCACCAGTCACCATTGTTTCGGACAATGGTCCTCAGTTTACATCTGAAGAGTTCAAACAATTTCTCCAGTGGAGTGGAGTGAAATATCACAAGTTGTCAGCTCCGTATCACCCATCAACGAACGGTCAAGCAGAGCGCTTCGTACAAAGCGTGAAAGATGCTCTTAAAGCAATGGGCACTAACCGAGATACGTTGAAATCAAACCTTAATGAATTTCTACGCCAGTACAGAAAAGCCCCAAACGCTACCACAGGACAACAACCCTCTCTTCTTTTCCTTGGTCGTGTCATACGTTCGCGACTAGACTTGGTGAGACCCGAAGATACGTATACCAGAATGACGGAAAGAAACCGTAACTCGTTTAATCCATCATTTCGCGAGTTTCAACCAAATCACCTGGTTTACTTCTTATCTGGAAATCCACGACTGGATAAATGGTTACCTGGACGTATTATAACACGCCTAGGTGATCTGCATTACGAGATCGACTTTGAAGGTAAACGCTTTAAACGTCATATTGATCAAATCCGGTCATGCCAACAAACTACTAGTCAAAGTTCTAACCAATCTATGACGACATCTTCAAGTGATAATTCTTCAGCACAGAGACGAGTTCATTTCTATAATAAACCTGAACTGGTTCCTGAAAGAGCTGCAGAATTACCCGAAGCACAAGCTGTTGCGATTCCGCCAGGATCACCAGCTGTACCTCAACGACAGGAGTTCCAGGCCGCGACTCTACCCCAGACTGAACGAAGGTCCACGCGGATTCGGCATGCACCCCGACGATACTCTCCTGATTAAGAAAACAAAGGAGGGAAGAATTGTAATGTATTAGGGAATTTTACTATTATAATTGGTAACGGAACCTACCGTACCGGGAGAACTTC